CTGATTGACAAGCCTGGAAAACTCCAATGGTGCGCTAATGCGTCCATATGGAGTGATTCACAGTCTCAGAAGAATTTTTGATGATTTCGCAACATTTCCTACGGCGCGCCGCTCTATAAAAACGTCAACGTAGGGGAAAATGCCGCTCACAAATGAGCCGCAACTGGGGAAAATGGGGAAATACAGAGTGCGATTTCCTGGCCACCCTTTTGAGAAGAAATTCTCCGCCTGCATCTGGCTCTCCTCTTTTAAATGTTTTCCCCCGCCGCCTCCAGATAAAACAATTTACAAACGCGCAGTCAATAAATTTCAATTAAGCAAACAGCAACTGCAAAACACCACCCCTCCCCCATTTTCCATTGCATTTTCTCATTAGTTTTTTATTATTTTCCTGTCTGCTTGTTGCATTTGTTCATTTGGAATTGCGAATTCCTGTCTACAAACTGATCGGGATTAACGATTGCAGGCAGAATATACAAGTATCGATTTTAATTAATGAAAGTTGTGGTAATCATCAATGGAGTCAATGATTATTATGAAAAGGATAGTGTTTTATTAATAGAAAAAAACTAATTAGGTTGCACTCATCATCAATTTGAAGAAAGGTTTTCCGAAGGGTTCACACTTTTTAAGACGACTTATTTATATGTTTATAAACTGGATACGTTTGTATACTTTTCCAGTAACAAGATTAATAAACAAAATTCATGAATATACATACATTTTAAGGAATATTTTGAAAGAATACAAACCATAGTTTTGTTTAAATTTTAGCATAACAATTAAATTAATGATTATTAATAAAATATAGAACCTTTTGGTTATTATTTAAATATAAGTTTTTATTATTATACATACCCTTTATTTATTTTTGAAATAGCAAAAATTGAACATTTTGTGTTCCTTATTTTAAATGTGGCAACAATACTTATTTTACGGATTAAAAGTTTATTTTTAGCTGGGTGCAGGATTAAATAAACTGAACAAGAATCATATGGGCTTCATTTTCTGTTACAAAATGGATTAAACTTTATACGCCACATAATCCAGCCATATGTTGTAGTTCTATTTTGGTCTACTTTTGGCCACGAGATTTTAGCTCTACATTTGTGCCAAGTCATTTTATCGACCTTTACTGCAGAGTAAGTAATTAGTAGGCAGTCATTTTATGTAACAAAGTTTTCACATACAAAAATTATGACTTTCATAATGCTCAAGTGGCGGCAGGAACTAGTGCAGTCTCCTTCCGGCCTCGCCCCCGATTTGTACCCGTCACACATATAAGAACTCCCCTTCTTGGCCAAATGGGTGAAACCTCCCCGGTTATGAATCATGTCTACAGTAAACTAAATATTAAGTGACTTCATATAGGGCACACCCACACACATGCACATACAGTCGCGTTCAAAGAAATACAAGTTTACGAATACTTTTAGAAAGGCGAAAAGAGCTTCCGACACTATTCCAAAAAACCATTCTAATTAGGTTTTCCAAAGAATTCAAAAACTGAATAATATTATTTTTGTGTTATATTTTATATATATTGATATATACAAAATCCATCACTATTTCCCTATCCGCAGCTGTGCATACCTCGATATATAAATTTATTTGTGTTAAAACACGTGGGCTATAAAAACGAACCACCTGACGATCAGCTATTTCATAAAACCATTCTAATTAGGTTTTCCAAAGAATTTTAAAATTTAATAATATTACTTTAGCATGGGTTATTATATTGATATATAATAAATGCATCACTATTTCCCTATCCGCAGCTGTGCATACCTCGGTATATATATTTATTTGTGTTTTTAGCGAGAGTTGGGCGGAAAAGTCACCCTCATAGTGGGTGAGACGAAAAACGCCTCACGGGAGCAAACACCGTTAGAGAAATTTCGTTTTCGGTTCTTCTCTGGCTTTTGTGGCAGGACAATGAAGAATTCTGAATGGGCCACACATTTCCTCCTTCCCAAGTCCTCCGCCTCCTTGTTTCCAATCAGAAACTATACTTAAAACATAACCAGAGAGGGTTGCAAACGATTCCTCAGGCATTAATCGATCATTGAAATAAATTCGGAGGGAAAAGTGGATCAAATTAAAGGAGCACTTTCCCCTTCGGGAAACTATAATTTTTTTATAGCTATTATATCTGCGCATTTTCTCTTCGGTTCTTTTTTTTTTTTATTTCGCATTTTGATGTAGCATTTCCGGCATTTGGCTCTATTTTCAGTACATCAAACAGAATGTCTGAAAGCGAGACGAGGTGGTAACTCATCAACAAATATTGTTGCAAGATATTTTTAAGACTCCCGCAGGAGATCTGGTTTATGTTAGTGTCCATATAAGTATATAAAAAAGTGGAGTTATAAAAGTTCCTAATCATTAAGTTTTAGATAATTTCAGTCAACAGACGTTAAATCATTTGGATTTCGAGACAAAGCACCGATTAATATATTTCTACTAATATAATCATCTAACCCAAATCCATTATTTCGCTTATTCAACCTTTCACTTTTTTCTGCATATTTAACTGACGCATTCTACTTGAACGCGAGTTATTAATCTCGTAAAAGATCAATTAGTCATGTCAACAGAGGGTTAATAGACTCAAGCTCAACTTGGTTTAATTGTTACTTAATTTATGCACATTTTACGGGTCGAATTTGATTCATAATTTGGGTGAAAAACAAAGGGGTCTTTTATGGAAGAAGGGGTAGAAGACCGAGTGTTTTGGTGTCAATTGCAAGAGAGTGCAGGGTTGCATTTAATTGCCATCCTGCACTGACTTCGTTCCACCTCTTCCTGCTCAAGTATTTCCTTCTGGCGAATGTCTGGAAGAAGAGAAGTTCCCATTCTCCTGTTTTTGTTTCTGTTACGGTTGACACGTGTCCTGGACATGGAATGGGTGTGGTTTTCCACGGGGTCTGGGGTGTGCGAGAAAATTGGCTCCTATCTGCGTTGTGCATCTGTGGATTCTGCCCTGCATTTAATTATCCAGCACTTCCTTACTCCCCCACCCACAGAGTCTTACTGGGATAATTGTTTTTAATTTTTTCTGTAAACCCAATTTTTCGCTTCATTTAAGCTGGCTTCTTCCTTTTTATCCGTGGCATATTTCTTTATACCCATTATCAATTTCCTATGTTATGAGGTTTAAGTTAAAAATAAAAATAACAATGAAAATCCCTCAAATGAATGTATATACATATATAACGAATAAGTCCATAACATAACATTTTTGAAGTACTGCATCTATAAAATCATAATCACTTGTTGGATTTGAACCTTAATACTAATTTAAGCAGAAAACCATCTGCCCGTAATGTATCTTGTGAATGTGTACTTGCATTAATGAATGCCTGTATAGTATTCGTGGTTATTATTTGACTGAGACGTGACTTATGGCCACCAGCGACGAAATAAGTTAAGATTGTATGTGACCAAATGGCAAATATTTCTGACCATTTATCGGTGCAATAAAAAAGTACAAAACAATCTGACAACAACAACCGGTGAAACAACTCGAACAACTAGAAAAGCAATTGAAGTGGATCTGCCGGGAAACAATTGGTAAGTTGTATTAGAAATAAAAGGAAATGTGTGGGGCAGCAGTAGCCGTTACGCGCCAACAATTTTGATAAACAAATAAAAACAAACGAATAAAATTCGTCAATATAAAATGAAACCGAAAACGACTTCGAACCGGTTCACTGCCGGTTTAGAATTGATGCCAAGTCGTGCCCACATTTATAATAATAATTACTAGTAGAATCCAGTAAATAGTATACGGATAAAGAAAAGATAGTTTTAAACAGAAAATTAGTTCATAATAAACAGAACTACATAAGAATTTAAAAATAAAAGAAAAAAGGCTATCAGCAAATGTAATATTTTGTAGTATTATCTTTATTAAAATTGAATTCGTGCAAAACTGCAAAAGTCTAACGCAATTAGGAAAATCGCAAGTCGTACTGATTTCATCACAAAGTTGGATGCACAAATCGGGGAATTGGTTATGAAATTATTATGCAAAACAGAAACCGTAACAAATACAGTACGAAATAACAATTAACGATATTGAGCACGAGTACAGCTAAACACAATCACGACAAGCCCTTGGGTTGGGCATAAAATCTTATTTTCATATTACATTTTTAAACTAAAATATAGAAAACGTTTGGATTAAGTAAAATGAAAACTCGATGCTACTATAGAAAATGTTGGTGGTTAGCTTGTCGCAAAGGTTTTTTTTTATTTAAGCTGTTACCTCTGAAATAAAAACATACTTTATTGGCATGCATGTATCTCACCGTACACGGTATACCATATCTTTATCTGCAGTAAAATGCATTTTGCTTCCTATCTCTCTCACACACGACTTCAGATACAAAATGCTAAATCTTGTTTAGTTATTGTTGTGTTTTTTGCAATGATTTTGCTTTTGTTTGTTGATTCCTCAAGGTCTTTGATTGAGGGAGAGTTTGATTGCCTTTAGTACTCTATACAGAGAGACAAACACATCCGGAAGAACAATAACGATAGGCAAACATGATGCGAAATAATTGAATTTAATCAACATGGGAAAAGACAAGAACGAAGAAGATTTTCATGTGGGTAAGTGTGGGATCACATATAAACAAATAAATAACTCTCGACAATGTTTGCAGAATCTTGCGGCACTGATTGCCCTCAAATGTACAAAGTTAATTAAGTACATTTTTGTGTATGCATCAGCTTTATAAAACTGTTGTTTCCTGATAAATGAAATTATATGGTGGTTAATACGAGAAAGAGATTTTTTAATACCAAAAGCTGGTTAAATAGTAATAGGAAAAAAATAAAGTTCTAGCGGTTGATGCTCGAAATATAAATCATGAAAGTGTTCAAAATAAGTGTTCATTTTTTTTTTATGTGAAGCAACATTTGTGTGAGGTTTTCGTTTCTAAAAATCCACCCGCTATTGTGCTTTGTCCATGTTTCTTGTTTCTTTAGCTTACCTTTAGAGTAAATGCTGCCAGAAATGCTAAGCTCCAGAGCCAGCAATGTTGTGGAACGGCTTTTTGCCTTTTGAGTCGGATTCTAGTAGTGGCTTTACTTAGCTGGTACAACATTTTGGGGCCGTCGTTTTGCTTTTCGTTGCTGTTTTTGCTCCTGGCTCTCTTTTGTTGTCTGGCTTTTTTTGTTAACTTTGTTTTGTGCGATTTTTGGATTGGTTTTTTCGCTAGTTTTTTTCGATTTCGGGCATTTTTAGCGCGAATTTAGTCTTAACTTTGATTAAATGCATTGTTTTCACAATTTTTTCGTCAGCGTAGTAAAATTTTATATATTATCTGGATCCGATTGGTTAAAATGTTGGTTTAAAAATGGATTAAAACATATTTATTTTGTGATCTGCAAAAGAGTATGAATAATAAATGGATGAGCAATCTCAAGAGAGGGACAGAAAGCGTTGCTATCTCGCTCTCTACCTGCTCTGCTCTTCTCTTCTTCTTCACCACTTTGCGCATGCGCCAAAAGCTTTCGTGCGTTTTTTTTATATTGTCTGCGACTTGTTTCCATATCTCATTTCAGTGGATTTCTAGTTTTTAAAATATGTAAAATGGTTAACTAATGGTTAAATAAATACAAATGAACAGATTTTTTTGTGACTCCAGTTAGGATGAATCACAAAATTTCCTTAAAATCAATTTGAACAGCTTTGAAAGTACTCTTTAAATTTGTATTTTTAGTTAATAAAAAATAATAAGAAATAAAAGATAGTCTATTGATTATTTAATACATAAATTTGATTTTAATCTCAATCGCAGATAATTAATTGCACTGTCTTGTGCAGTTGCAAAAAACTGCTGATCAACAATTTAGCCTCCGCTGACGTCATTGAAATGTTTAAAACATCGCAGCCAGCAAATAAAACAAATAAATTTCAAAACTAAATAAAAATAAAGGCCTCAAAACCAGTTTTGCGAAATTGTGACTCTACACGGAACAAAATTCAGATTATTTTGATTGATATTATTTCTTACTTAAGGTTTAGCACTTAAAACGTACAAATATATACTGTTGGTCTATATTTTAAACATACTTTTGATATATTATTTTATCTTTTTTTATTTGCTTCAAAAATTAGAAAATGTAAATGAATAAATTATATTTTTATACATTATACAATTTGGTATAAATGATTTAAGTAGGTTTTGAAATAAATTCATTATTTATGATTATTTTTTTAAAAAAATATCATTGTATGGTTTCATGTATGTACGTTTTGTTACTATTTTTTGTTGTTTTTAACGCTCGGCAATATTGAAATGCAAAAAAGACCTTCAACTTTGTTGCAAAGAGAGAAGAAGAGAAGATTGATTAGACAGATCTTTTTTCCTTTAGCTCGGTGAAAGAGAGAGAGAGAGAGCTTTATGATATCGGCACATAAGACACAAAAACAAAACAAAACAAGTTTTTATTTATGTATTTCTTCACTTCTTATTTATTGTTGAATATGTGACAAGTTTCTTTCATGCGGCTGGAAATTTTTCGCAATTTATATTGATTATTTAATACATTTTTTGAAACAATAACAACAACAGTCAAAAAGCCGATAGAGAACAGGAAATGGAGAAATTGCTTAACAACAACAAAAATTCAAATGAGGCATTCACGAGAGCAAGAGAGAAAGCAACGGCATGCCAAAAAAAAGTAAGAAACAAAATAAAGCTGCGTAGGTGTTGCTTTTCCCCTCTTGGTCTGTCTCTGTCTGCCCCCTTTGCCCTCTTATTTCTCTCTCTGTCTTTCTCTTTATGTTATTATTGTTGCACACACAAACAAACAACTCTCAATTTCTGCTTTTACTTTAAGCTTTATTTTAGCATAGCATTTCTTACGTTTTCCACTGCGTTTCTCGATTTTCTCATTCACCAAAAACAAAATCATTTAAATATACTTCCAAAATTTTGTGTATTTTATTTTATGTTGTGTTGTCGTTGATTAAAAAAAAATAACAAAAAAACGAACACACACACAAACGACCGCGCACGCACACGCAGACACGCGACGGAAACAGACACAGAAAAAGCGGAACGGACAATCGACAAATTTTGCGTTTTTCGAGCGCTTAAATAGATTTTGCCCCGTGCGCTCAACCTCTAACTGCACTCCCGCTCGCTCTTCACAACACTGAATTCGAATCGGATTTCACCTGAGCATCCGCAAACACGGTGTGGTGGATTTCGGGCGTGGTGAGATCGGAACACCCCCACTACACAGCTGCTGTGTGTGGGAGAAGCACAGCTAGCTGTGCGTTGAGGCGCGTGGACTTAAAATTATTTAAGCAACTTTTAATTTAAATCCGTAACCTTAAAACAAAAAATACCAATACATGAAGTAATATTGATATCAGTATCAAATAATTGTACATATTTTAATTATATACGAGAACAATAAAATATGTATCTTTCGCAATCGATGAATGTATTTATGCATGTATGTATATCCCTAGAAAATACAATATATATTTTCCAATAATAGAATTTATGTTGTAAGAATAAATTCGATTATGAAAAACTTTAAAATAAAACAATAAAATATAATCAACCTGTTCAATGCACAAATATTTGCAATAATTTAAATCTAAACTCACCGCGTTTCGAACTCACCTCGAGCTCGAACAGTTGGCAACTTCTTCTACAATTTAACATTTCGATTATGGAAAACTATAAAATAAAACAATAAAATATAATCAACCTGTTCAATGCACAAATATTTGCAATAATTTAAATCGAAACTCACCGCGTTTAGAACTCACCTCGAGCTCGAACAGTTGGCAACTTCTTTTACAATTTAACATTTACTCTTTTCTCTCGAGCAAAGTTAGATACAACTTTCAATTGTTCGCTTGGGTTGCAAGTCTCAATTTTTAAGTTCCTTTGTAAGATTTAAAAATTGTTTAAGTAATAACAAAAAAGTGAAGAATGAATAAATAAGAATAGATAGAATATTATAAATTAATATTATTTAAAATGTATTTTGGGAGGTATATGTATGTTTTTTACAATATGTTTCCCAATCGTCGAGTTTTAAAAGAAAGTGACGAGGTAACTTGGTAAACGGGGAGAACTTTTATTTGGTAACATACAAGGGCGCGAAAATAAATTCAAGCCAACAGTATCTCTAGCTGCACTCGTCTAACGAACATTACTATTCACCACGGCAGTTGGCCTGGTGGACGTTCTAATATGAACTCGTGTCAGCAATTCCAGTTCACCGGTTCCAATTGGCGGTGTTTAATATAAAGTTTAATATAATAAATTCGGTATTCCTACTTCACCAGTTCTTTTGTTACCACAAAGAAGAAAACACTTATTTTCATTTATATAATATATTATTTATTTTCGTTTCATCTGCATGAACTGTTACTGATTATTATAATTAATTATTGTTAATTACAGGCTATGTTTTTATTGCTAGATTTTAGCAAGTTCTAAAAAAGACATTACACATTATTATTCTTACGTAGATTATACCGCTTGACATTTGACATTACACTTAAATCTAATTAACTAAAAAAAAAAGATACAAATTTTGTTTTGCTTTTTTGGGGGGAAAATAACAACACAAGGAAAAACTAACGAAAATTTACAAAAGGTGGATAAACCAAAAGTTTTTAAAGAGCACAACTCGTCTGAACAAACACTGAACGATTCGCTGGGAAATTAGCATTAGACATTTAATTGAATTACACACTAGACAAACCGAGTAATAATTAAAAATACAAACAAAAAATTGAGCTAAACAAAAAGTTAATAATATATATATATATGCATAAGTTTATAGCTAGCAGAATTTCGCTATAGAACATAAAATAAAATAACGAAACGTGGCCCCCTCTGCCCCGAAACCACCCACCGCCTCATAATTACCACTACAACCACTTCCCCGAAACAAATCATATATTCGCTCAGATACGCCGGTGATAAGGACGTTATGCCAAGGACGATGGCAAAGGCTTTGATAACAGGTCAGAGCGAGAGGAGATGCTCTCCCTCTCCCTCTCTGGCATTGTGAGTATTAGACTACAGTCAAACTTCGCTAAGTCGAACTATATCTTCACTTAAAAATTCCCTATTCCCTATTACTATCATAGCTTTAATTTGTCTTCACTAAGAACTTTTAACGAATATTAAAAAACTATAGTGCATAATTTTTTTTTAAGATTTTTGGCATTACCAATTTGGATTTTTCTAGATTTTAATTTGGTCTACTATTTTGCATAATATAAGTTTTCCCAACTTTGTTTTCAAATCTTTATACGTTTTGAACAATATCTAAATTTGGAAAAATAGAGGGAAATATATATAAGCGTACTCAACATATTTCGTTACTTAAATATAAGAACAAAATTAACATTCAGCGACACTTTCAAACAATTTAAGCAAGTTTCCATGAAAGCGTACTAAAACTCGGTTTTTTATATAAATTTTAAGAATATGAACACGTTTTAGAACTCATTATAATATTAAACCACATTATCAGGTGTCTTGAAAGTTCGATTTAGAGAAGTTCGACTGTATGTGGCCCTCTCTTTCATTCTTCAACTGAGACGGCAAAAAAATAAAGCGTTTAATTTCCATTGATTGCAAAATCCGTTTAACTATTAATGAGTTGTTTTATAGCGCGATTTAGACTTAGGGCGAAATAAATATATAATTGTTTGTTTTTGTACTCGTTTTACACTGGTGTGCGGGGTGCGGGGAAAGGGGGAATGATAACTGGGAAATGGGGTTTAAATTTCAACTAAAATCAAAGCCGAGCACTGGTCTAATATTCAAACACACTCATGCACACACACACACTCTCGCTCATACACATACATATTTACAAATTAAAAGTAATTACATAACAAAGATTATTGATTATGGAACGCATATAGCAGCACACACCGATCGGCGATCAATATAACATATTATCGATCTATTTTATGTCGATTTTGCTTGTAAAATCGGTGATAGACAATGCCCAAAATGTATCTTCCTCATTTATCAGTTTAAGCGGCTTTCTAACAATCATCGTGATCAGATTATTATTGCTGCCTTAATCTCAAAACAAATACGCCCTGATATTGCTTTTTTTGACATAAGCGTAGTTATTAGACCATAATGAAGCCATTTAAAAATATATATTAATATATATACCTAATTCTTTTGTTTGGTATATAATAAAGATTGCATACTAAACAAGTTGAAACGTAAGTAGTATAAACCAGAATTCGAGGGAATTCCGATTTTAAATTACAGAATTGCTTTTTTAATTGGTCTTGTAAGACAAGTGATGATGTAATATAAAATTGAAAAAAATGTCTGCTTGTTTAAAACTTTAAATATTGTATCATTAAAAGTTGTTATATGGAGGGTTCTAAGAACCACATGCTCTCGGATGATTTTGACGATTAAAAACTATATTATTAATTTAAGCTTATCAAATGAACTTTAAAATTACTTTTTCTTTTGGCCGAATTTTCAAAGTATCTGATAATAAGCTTTTGTTTTGCTGATACATTTTGGGGTTTCACATGCGATTTGCTTGGATTATATCACCGATGCTCAGCCGGGCAATGTGAGCTACTAATGGCGTCCATTTCCACACCCATTTAGAAGGCAAACCAGGTTCCATCAGCCCGTCATCGCAGCGTGCTGGTCAGGGTTCGATGCAGGACACTGGGACGCGTATGGAGCGGCATTGGCGGCGGCGTATTGCTGTGGGGATCGGGCGTATCGGGCGCATCGGGCGCTTCACCGGCACTCAAACTACTGGCCGGTGACAGAGTGCAGGATGTTGTTTCCGCCTCGCTGAGGCAGCTGCTCAATTGGCGGATCACTCCCTGCGAGGAGTTGCTGCGCTCCTTTAGCAGCTCCCGCTCCCGATCGCGCTGCTTTTGGTGCTCCTGCTGAAACTTCCTGGCCGCCGTCACATTGACCACACTCACCGACTTTGAGATGGAGCTCTTCACCGAGGATGGAGCCGGCGGCACCAGGGCCAAGGCGGGCGTGGGCGAGGGAGCCATCTCCTCAAGGGTTAACGTATTCGCTGGCGAACTGTAGCCATCGTCCATTAGACTTTCCAAGGGCTGTCTCCCAACCGCCTCTTCCGAATCCACACTCTTCTGAAGGTTTTCTATCAGATAGAGCACTATCCTCTCCAGCTGCTGCGGGGCCTGGGAGGCCGGCAAGTCTGGACTGCTACTCTGGGTGGGCATCTCAGCCTTGATGATTGTCGAGAACTTCTCCTTCATCTCCTGCACCTTCTGCCGGCCCGCCTCTTCGTCGAGCAGCGTGTTGACGCACAGAAAGGAGTGCACCTTGTTGCTGCCGCGATCGATCTCTAGGAAACCCTTGGTGTGCAAGTAGATGAAACGTCCGTTGCGGGACAGCAGGCGGTAGCAGCTCTCGCCGTAGTCGCTGTTGCAGTCGTACATCTGCCGCAAGGCCACAATCACCCAACGCACGTCGTCCAGGTGCATAAAGCAGAAGGGACTAAGGTTGCGCACCTGTTTTGGATTGAAAAAAACATTATTAATAACGAGCTCGGAAAAGGGTTGTCATGTGGAATACCCACCTCATCCTTCATATAGCCTGCAACGAGGCCAATCCTTTGATCACAGTCGATGATGCTGCCGTCGATAAGGTGCCTTGTATGGTACTCCAACTGGTAGGGTTCTGGCTGCCTGTAGAAGGCCATGACGCTCGCTTCCGTTTCCTCGGGCGGCCTTTCCTCCCTCAGCACCCTGGCCATGGCCACCAGCACAATGTCGTTGCCACTGATCCCGTGCAGCGCCGCCTGGGCAATGGCATCGTGCTGGGGCGGCACTGTCGCCGCTTCCGCAGCCTCCGCTGCAGCCGCAGCCAGCATATTGTTGTTCCTCGAGCGCCGTATCAACTGCGACACAATGGGATAGTTGGCAGCAGCTCCTCCGGTCAAGGAGGAGTCACTGCGGCGAAAGCAGCCATCGATCTTGACCAGCTCGTATTGCCGTGTGGCCTCTGCCCGCGTGGAGGCCCTGGCTAAGCGGACGGTGAAGCAGCGGCGGTCGGTGCGCAGACGTTCATTGATGGCCGCCAGATGGGCAATGCTCCGTGGACTGGGCGTGCGCCGGTTGTACGGTTGATCGTCGTCCTCCTCCTCCTCTCGATGCTGCTGCTCCTCATCCTCCTGATCTACCCGATTCTCTCCCGTCTCCATTTCCTCCTCCTCCAGATCACTGCCTGAAGCTGAGGCTGAAGTGGATGTGGAGTGCTGCTGGGGAGTATGCCCCTGTTGCTGCTGGTAAAACAGGGTCTCTATATCCCTGGGTATTAGTTGCTGGCGCAGCAGAGCCTGATCCTCGGGATGTGTGATTTGTAGCAGATTCTGACCGTACAAATCGGACTGACAGTGGCCCAATAGCTGCTCCACGCTGGAGGAGACCAAAACGATTTGGCCACTGCAGGTTAGGGTGAGGAAACAGCTGTCCAGCAGTTGCATTAGGGTGTCCGTGAGATGCAGACTGGGATTGGGGACATCACCTCCAGGCGGGGAGCCCGAGCATCCCTTTAACATGGGTTTCCGGCGGCGCCTGGAGGCCGATTTGCCAAAGACATACTGGAGTCTCAAGCCATGGGTGGCGAATCTGAGGACGGCGGTTTTGTCCAGTCGACGGGAGGATTCCGCTGCATGTGGCACCATAGTGGCCAGCTCCTGGATGCTCGCATTTAGCTTGTCCCGCCGCTGTTTCTCGGCGAGATTGCGTGCCTCCCTGCCATTCGCTGGATCCGAGGTGCTGCCCGATCCCGATCCTGTAGAGCCTGTGGAGCCCGTATTGCCCGCCTCTGCTGCTGCCATTTTCCAGGTTTTCCAGCGTTTTTCCGGACCTTGTTTTCCGCGCTTTTACTCTTGCAATCCTCGGTTTATGGATTTTCCCCTTTAATTGGCGCCTTGCGGTAAATGAAAATCGTCACTCTCCATAACAGAGTATACGCTCCTCGTCAAGTTTTGTATAAAAAAATATATTTTTTGTTAAAATATTTTTTTTTCTGCTTGTTTTTTTTTGCTGTTTTTTTATTGTTATTTTTGCTGGTGCTTTTAAAGTTTTCAAGGTCTTGCTTATGCTGTGCTGTTGTTTTTGTTTTTGCTCTCCTTCCCCCTCTCTCGCTCGCTCTCTTTCGCTCACACGCACACACACACGTCACTCTCACGCAACGTACATATGTTTTCTCTTTTCGCTTTCGTACTTTTCCACTTGCTTTTAGTCTTATTATTACTATTATTTGTTTCCCTATTTATTTATGCGTTTCGCCTTGTAGTTTTTTTTTCGTTTTTTTTTTGATTGCGTTGCGAATCTGAATCTCCTGCTTATGTTCTTGTTGTTGTTGCTGGTGCTGCTGGCGTTGTTGTTTTTCTTTTCTTAATGCCCGCGATGAGGTAAGAACGGGGGCGGGTTCGTTTGTAAGACGCACTTGCTGTTTGCACTAGTTTTTGTTTATATTAAGTGATTAATTGTTTATTTTTAACATTTATTTTATAACAATAAACATTGGTTCGGTTGGCCAGGCCAAAAACTATCGATACATCGATGTAACTGACTGTCACGCCGAAATAAGTACGTTCTCACCACGCCCGCATTTCGGTGAGTGCCGTGCAATTGTGTAGTATCGATGTTTTTGGTGCATACTTTTACATATATATTACGCATTTTGTTGAAATTTGATTTGAATTTATGTTTACAATCATATTAAATTTTAGTTGCAAATAATAACTTAACAATCTTAGGTGAATAAATCTCTTATTCGTAACAAGCATGTTTGTTGTTTGTTTTTGTTGCATAATGGTTAAGTTACATAAGTCATATTATATTATCAAAATATTTATAATCATTTTGCCAAGCGCAGTGATATATTCCGAAATTACCAAAAATATATGGCAACGAAATCGTTCAAATAAAAACTTAAATCTGTTTTTTAAAGAAAAAGCTGGAATATAGCATTGGACTATCGATACATTTTTAATTGGAACTAAAACGTTTTTTTTATTCTTTATATGCGATTAAAGGAATACCCCTTAACTGATTATTTAGCATCCGGCTTAAATAATTTACTAGCCACCAGAAAATAATTTCATTAATTTCAAAACAGTACATTTCGATATTATCGATAGAAGACTAAATCGATTTTGGCGCACTTTCTTGTTTACGGCATTTCATTTTCTGCCGAAATTCGCAAAGGCAACTTCCCCGATTAAATTAAATCTTAATAATTTGCTAGAAAATGATGGAGGCCTTTGATCCACGTTCGATTATCAACGGCGGCATGCTGAAGCAGTTTTCTGGCCAAACAGTGAGCATTATGGTTCGCGTGGAGAGCGTGGCAGGATCCACTTTGCTGGCCAGTTCTACGGATAACCACAAGCTTAAGATCAACCTTCCGGGAGAATTGTGTGCCACCGATGGAGCCTGGGTGGAGGTCATTGGAGTGCCCCATGGCGCAGATACCATCAGGGCTAAGGAGGTGGGTGCATTTACTCCACGGAATCCCCTAGTTTATTTATATTCCCATTCTCCATTTTCAGGTTATTGAATTCGGCGGCGAGAAGATCGACTTCGACAAGGATGGCTACAATGGCTTGAGCCACCTGATCAACAATGTCAAGGCCTTCTATCGCAGCGGCTAGGTGTCCATCATCTCATTTCCACATTAAGATCTAAGAATTATATATACGCTAATCTTATTTGTTTCCATGTTTTGTTAACTGGAATAAACTATAAATATTAAGAAGGTGTTACCTATTATTGGGTTTATTGTATTTCTGGACATCTAATAACAAAAGTCCCTATACATAGGAGGGGCTTTGAAATTACCCCAATCATTTCCAAGCTGGTTTTTCACTCCTACAGCACTAAATCGTTTTAATTGCATTTGTTCGTTATTATCTACAGACTTTCCAATTTAACTTCGATTAAAATTATTCTTTAGCTGCTAAATTTATATATGTAATTCTATCAAAAGTTAAAACAAAAATGTCCAAAGTTCATTAAATCCCATAAGCGAAAACATTCTGCACATTTCTTGTGTAATAACTTTTACTTTCACAATTTGTTATTGTATATATGTTGGTATAAAAAGGCTAACTAGCGGATAAACCATTCAACAGTTGAACAATTAACAGAGGGCGAGCCGGCTGACGAGATGATGACCAGTGGCGTGGACTCCAAGTCCGGGTCCAACTCCAGGGTTATTGCAGCACCGCCGCATTGGCCACCACGCTAGGATTGTTGACCACCTCGCCCAGCGAATCGAGCACCTCCTTCCTGTAGTCATCGAACTCGCCGTCGATCTCGTTGATCGACTGGTCCTCAATCACGTAGAGAGTGCATCCAGTTTCACGAATCAATCGCTCGTCGTGGGAAACGATGATCACGCCACCTTCGTACTCGTTGATGGCCTCCGCCAAGGCGTCGATACTCTCGATATCCAGGTTATTGGTGGGCTCATCGAGAATCAGGACATCCGGAGCACTCAGACAAAGCTCGGCGAGGGCCACACGTGCCTTCTGACCGCCAGATAGATCCTTCATCTTGATGGTGTGGGCATGACTGACCAGACCAAAGGAACCCAATGCCTTGCGCGCCTTTTCGTGCGGAAGATTGAACAGACGCTGCAGATATTCCGCAGCCGATTCTTCTGCCGTGAGATGTTCGCCGGAGTGCTGATCAAACCGACCCACATGCAGGCGATGATTCTTGCGCTGTTCACCCTCCTGCGGCTCAAGTTCTCCGAGCAGCAGCTTTAGGAAAGTGGACTTGCCGACACCATTGGGTCCAACGATGGCCACTCGACTGGTAAGATCAATGCCGAAGTCAGCCTTGATGAACAGCGGTTTTTGGCCCGTAAAGGCAAAGGTGACATTGTGGACACCCAAAATGGGCGGCTGGAGTTGCGATGGCTCCGGGAAGCGGAACTTGACTATATATTCCTTGGGCCTGGCCAGCAGTTCCTGCGGACCCTCATCCTCGTCCTGTTTCTGCTGCTTGGATTTGTTCTTCTCCTGCTTGCGAGTAAGCGACTCCTTCTGCTTCTTCTCCGCCGCCTTCTTGGACTGGCCGTGAGCCTTTAGCTCCCGCAAACGCTTCTCCTGCTTCTCGTACTCCTTGATCATCTCGCGACGTTTCTGCACGTACATCTTCTTGAACATGGAATAGTTGCCCTTGTAGTATTGAAGTTTCTTCTGGTCCAGATGGATGATCTCGTTGCACACGTTGTCCAAGAAACTCTGGTCGTGGGACACGATCAACAGGGTCTTCTTCCAGCCCTGCAGATAGTTATCTAGCCAAATCACAGCATTAAGATCCAAGTGATTGGTGGGCTCGTCGAGCATGAGCAGCGTGGGCTCCAGATAGAGGGCTCGAGCTAGGGACACTCTCATGCGCCAGCCTCCGGAGAACTTGTTCGTGGGTCTGTCCTGCATCTCCTTGCTGAAACCCAAACCGGCCAATATTCTCCGAGCCCTGGCTTCCGCTGAGTAAGCTCCAATGGCTTTGAGTTCCGTAAAGGCATCGTTAAGCTCCTCCTGAACACTTAAATCTCCAGCGGCAAATTGTTTCTCCAGATCATCCGCCTTCTTCAACATCTCTGTGCGTCGCACATCCGCGTCTAGGATCGTATCGATGGCCGTCTTGTCGGTGGCTACCACTTCCTGTTCGCAGAGCAGCACATCGATATTGGGCGGTATGGCGAAGGCACGTGTGGCAATATGCCGGAGAAGAGTGGTCTTGCCGTGTCCGTTGGGACCCACCAAGCCATAGCGGCGTCCATGGGCAATCAGTAGGTTGGCGTTCACAAACAGATCGTTACCTGGGTGGTTAAATTATAGATGCAATGACAAACACATATTTCATATGACTCACCTTTGGCTGAGATTGTGAAATTCTCGATCTTAATGTCCACGGCGTGCTCCAGAGCCGCCTGTTGACCAGCGCTTTTCTGCACCTGCGACATGGTGAAATTGTTGTCCAGATCAGAGTGTCCAGCCCCGCCCTTTTTGGTCATCAGCTCCATTTGGCGTTCGTACTCCTGTTGCTTCTTTTGCTTCTTTTTCTCCTTGTGGGTTAGCTTCTTTTCCTTGGCTTCCTTGCTATCCTCGGACTTGGGTTCCGCCTCCGCTTCGTTTTCCTCCTCGGGTTCAGCTTCAGGTTCAGGTTCGGGTTCCGGCTCGGGTTCCTCTTTAGGTTCAGGTTCTGGTTCCGGGGTTTTTTCCTTGAGACTCACAGCAGCCACTTTCTCGCTGAGTACCTTCTCTTCCTTCTGCTCCTCCACTTCCTTTTCGGGCTGCTCATCCTCATCCTCTGGCTCTTCTTCGTCCTCGCTGACGGGAAGTTTCTGCTTCTGCTGCTTTTTCTTTGACTTCTTGGCCGCAGGCTTGTTGGACAGCTGCTCCTCCTCGTCGTCGTCTTCATCCTGCAGATCTTCTACAACCTCCTCATCTTCATCGTCGCTCATCGCGAATTTGTTCTTTTGCTGGGCCTGTTGCTTCTTTTTGGACTTCTTGGAGGCGGGTTTGGCCGCCACCACCACCGTCTCTTCCTCATCTTCAGGCTCCTCCAGGTCTAGATCCATTTTGGGTTCTTCTTCGTCGGAGAAATCGTCATTTTTCTTTTTGTTCTTCTTGTTTTTCTTGCTGGGCGGTGGCTTTTTGGCAGCTGGCTTGGAAAGAGGCGCTTCCTCCTCATCATCCTCATCCTGATCGTTGGCAGGCACACCCTTCGCTGGCTTCTCATCCTCGTCGCTCCAGTCGTCGTTCTTTTTCCCCTTCTTTCCCTTCTTGGCCTGCTTTTTGGCCTGTTGCTGTTTGCTCTGATTCGAGGAGGCTATGCTCTCCAGATCCTCGTTGTCCCTGCTCTTGGGCGCGACATCCTCGTCGCTGGAGTCGCCGCCACCACCTCGCTTTCCCTTCTTGCCACCCTTCTTGTTTGGCGGCGGCTTCTTCTCCTGCACTTTCTCCAACTGCTCCTCGTCGTCATCAAAGCGCTCTTTCTTCTTTCCCTTCGCCTTGGACATTTCTGCTCGGGATACAAGGTCTTATATGGCATATGGGTCGTACATATAGGCCAAATACTTACTTGATTTGATCACAGATTACTTTCGCCGCCTTCGGATTTCACGTGCAGAGCTGGCAATATTATATAGGTATGTAATACGCGTTATATATATGTACATGCATACATATATATACAACCAGTTGTGTCGCCCAGGGATGATTGCAAGCTCGCGATATTTGTGTGGCTATCGATGGCAGCACATGTGTTAGAATTTTATGATAAGCCACTGAAAATGTCAGCAGAAGCGGCAAATTCGTAACATTTTATTAGCCAAATTAAAAATGTATGTACATAACTAAAAACAATTAACTTTTCGAGGAGATTTTTTGAGTTGAATGACAAGGCTAGACTTATCGATAAGTCGGTAAGCTTTTGGAAACAATGTCTTTTTTATGTCATTAAATAGTAAATTATATTTAATTAAATTAATGCTGAGCCCATATCATAATTCCTATTCCACTTTCATTACATTGGTCGTGATCAGCAAAAATTAGTGATCAAATTTATTCTGCTGAACTCGCATGATACGCCATCTTAAAGGTATCGGCCTGGCAGTGGCGTCGGAATTGACGCGAAAAAATTACATTTCAAATTGCTATTAATTTTCTTAAAAATAATAATTGAGCTCAACAATTATGAAAACATAAAATAAAAAAAATTCTTCCTTTATGTTCGTCTTTTTCCGTTTTTTTGTTCGACATTATCATGTAACAGAAAAAGTAGAGTAATATTATTAATACTATTATGTGTAGCAACTTGTCCTATCGGTAGAGTTGCAAAGGTAAAAATGTCAACTGTAAAACTTTTTAAATTATATTAATATATGATAAATAATATAGGTGCGCCAAAAGTCAAAAGTTGTGTTTTCAAAAACTGGCGAAATATCGATATTATGCTGTATCGATTGTTTAAAAACTCACTAACGGAAAAACATCGATATTAATGTATGCAAGCAAACATCGATGCTTTGCCTGACTTTAGACTCATTTACGCTTCTTCACTTTTCGGAGGAAAATTGCTTGATAGAAGTGCTATTTAAGAGTGAAAATTCTACGCTGAGATAAAGAGGTAAGCCGAAAACATAATTAAGTATTGTGGTTCAATGATTTCAAGCCGAATAACTGAAACTTGTGGCCGCTTTAATTGGCGACGCTAACGCATACATACGCAGCGACACCACAAGTTGGCGATGCACCGAAGAAGCTTAAAAGGCAAAGTGTGATAAACACAACGCGAAAGCAAAATAGAGCTCAATGAGTGCTCGCAATGTGATATAGGACTAAAAAATGCGACTTAAACAATTTCCGCTTGTCAAGGACAGAAAATGTGCAACAAACTGGCACTTTCGCAGGCCTGATTGAGCTGTTGAATTCCTATTGTGTGCGTGTGTGTTTTCATTGGCTAAAATAAATGATAATCAAGGGGAGGGGGGCGGTCAAAGCAGAAACCGAACAAAAACAAACCGCCGCACCGCTCACTCACACTTGCACCCTTCATAAAGTACATACCTGCAAGCTCTTGTTAAAAATTTGTTGAGGCTGGCGCACGCATACAAATGCGTAAAGCTCCTTTATATATTTTGAATATACAGAAAGTACAGTGTTTAATGGTTACAAACCATAATTTGTAGTCATCAACGGAGTTTATTTTAGCAGTAAATTAAAAAGTGAGTTCTTGATCTTGTATATTTTTAATATTTTCGCTTTTTTTAAAGTAAACTTCTTAGGAATGAAAACAGAACCAGTTAAAAAAAAAACATACCCCATTAAAGATTGTCTTTAGGACGTCTAGTATTTTATTAAATATTATTGAAAATTTTTTCAGTAGAAAGTTTTTTATGTCAGTCGACACAAAATCGAGACCGTCTTTGATCTAATTTTGTTTTTTCCAATTTTGGACTTGGCATTTTATATTAAATATTAATAATTTACTATTACGATCCCATTCCAGAGCGACATGAGCTCGCCCGACGATATTCCTGGACCGTCAAAGCCGCGCGCCAAGAAGCGCTCACCACGCAGCTCCAGCAGCGATTCCAAGTCGCAGGCATCGCCGCCGCCGACGACCAGCAATGGACATGGTTCCGGATTGGGAGGCACTTCCAATCAAAGCCCCGCTGCCGGTCCAAGTCCCGCAGGTGGACTAAGTCCAGGCTTAGGACCAACCAACATGCGGGACCGCCTACTGGTGGCCAATGCCATGGCCATAGAGCTATCGACTAGCGAGCAGGAAGACTCCACTAGCTCTTCGTCGCCTCAGATGAATGGTCATCACCAAAACGACTCTGGCGAGTCCGATCAGCAAAACGGTGGGGCCGTAAATGGTGAGTGGCAGTGCTTGATTAAATAATAAAAAATAATACAACCAATTTCTAAAAAGCCTTGCTCACACGAACCTACTGCACGGCTGATTATAATTTCATAGAAGTATACTTATTAATTATATTACTATTACTATTAGGTAACCCGTTTTCCTTTCTCCTACCTTCTACAAGACTCTCAAAAGTTACAAGGGCTAAAAAATAATAATGTTACTCACAAATTCTCTTATTCTGCAAGTTTGTTTTACAAATTTTTCAAAAGCCTTAATTTCTAACCATTTGATAGAAATTTAAATAAACATTTGAAGCGCCTAAATTTACTACAATATTTTTTTTTTTCTTACCATTCAGGAGACTCCCGTAAGTCCAAGAAGAAAAAGAAAAAAGGCAGAAGTCGTCGTGAACGCCGCATATCTGGAGATGCCGCTCTCATGGGCTGGACGGGCGGATTCCCGAAGCTAACAGCCATGGCCAGTATTGACAGTAGCTCGGATTTGGAGCCCCAGGTGAGTAGTGGGGATGGCAAAGCTGTGCAGGAAGGGAGCGGGCCTGCTGCTGTCTGTGCGGGCTTATGGAATATCCTTCTGTATACTTGTTTCATCTCCCTAAAAATCAATCTCTTAAAAAAATATTTCTTTACAAAGATATATGATTCTTAAACTTTGAACTTTAAACCTTTCTAAATATAATATTTAAATAAACCTTAAACTCAATGCATAACTTTAAAAATAATATATAGCTTTGCCATAAAAGTAAAGTGTTAATAAAACTCAAAAGGTTCACTTTTTTAGAGACTTCTTACGTGATTTGTTACTCCTGTATTATATTAATTTTAACTAAGTATTGGATTCTTAGCTTTTTTCGATATCAGTTATTTTTTGGACGAGTTCCGTCGTCTTATCTTGTTTATAGGCTGTTACAGTGATACCTTTGTATATTCCAACACATTGAGTAACCGGTATGCAGAGGGTTATGCCTGTTCCTATTTGTGTGTTCTGTAGAATGCGGACAGCATTTTGTTTGTTCTGTATTATTGTATGTACCAACCCGTAACCGTCCTGTGCCCACCTCAATCTCAACCGAACGAACCACAACCCACGACGACAATAGTCGCCGGGCGAGCTGCGGGCACTGGGCAGGAGAGGATTGAGGGTGTTTCCAAGAGTTGAACAGCAAGCGGAGACAGCAGCAGGGCCAACAGAACCGGCTGAAATGGCTGAGGAGCAGCAACAGCAGCAGCAGCAACAAGAGCAGCAGCAGTCGCTAGCATCGCCTTCATCGCCGATGATGACGTCGCCGGTCGAGTCCTTTCTGTCCTCAAACTCTGACTTGATTATGACGATATCAACGCCACCAGGACGTGAACCAGAACCAGAACAGCAACAAAACCCAGAACCAGAACAGCAAATCACTTTAGCAACTGTAACTAGTACAAATCAAACCACAACAACTACGACCACTAGCAACAGCAACAACAATTCCAACGCAACTGGTACTGCAACAACTTCAAGTCCAAGAACAACGGCATCCAGCATGCAACAAACAGAATTAGACAACCAGGTGGAGACCCCAACAAAAACCTTATGCTTAGATCCGGGAAAATCACGAACCCACTAACCTACCTTCTCTCCCGCTTGTGTCTCCCCCCTTAGGAGAAGAATATGGAGATGGAGCAGCCAGCGAAGGCAGAGAATAATCAGCAGCCGGCGAAGGAAGAGGATAAGCAGCCGCCGGCGAAGGAAGAGGATAAGCAGCAGCCGGCGAAGGCAGAGGATAATCAGCAGCCGGCGAAGGCAGAGGATAAGCAGCAGCCGGCGGAGGAAGAGGATAAGCAGCAGTCGGCGAAGGCAGAGGATAAGCAGCAGCCGGCGGAAGATGAGAATGAGGTGGAGAATGAGGAGGAAATTGAACCGCTGGTGGTGGCCGAGGATGAGGTCAGCTCGGATATCCCGCTGGTGTCTACGACATCGCCGCCACCGCCAGAGCCGGCTCCTATTCCTCGTTCCCGCAAACGCGCATTCAGTCCGACCAAAAAGGACACCAAGCTGTCCAAAGAGGAGGATACTGAGAGCAAGAAGAAAAAGAAGGAGGGGGAAGCTGAAGTCCCGTTGGTCAAAAGTCCCAAGAAAATGGAGGACGCAGACTCACCCGTTTCCAGTCGCTTTGCCAAGCGTGCCAAGTCTCTGAGTACTCAGATTTCGCTGCCGGAGCAGGTGCGCCGTACCTCGCGCTTCAGCAGCCAGGAGTTGCTGACCGAAGAGCAGATCAAGACGGATACACTGGCCCCTCCCATCAACAAGGAGCCTGATGCCCAAATCGAGGCCATACCTGAACCACCGCCCACGACCTCAGCCTTGAAGCTGAAAGCCACCGACGAGTTCTATCGCCTGCCCTTCGCCTACGGCTGGAGGCGTGAGTTCGTCCTGCCCAGCACTGGGAATCATAAGCGTCGTACTGGTGACGTTTTCTTCATAGCACCCAATGGGCGCAAGCTGCGATCGCGCGAGGATATTGTGCCCCTGCTGGAGGGCGAGCTGACCATCGAGCACTTCTGCTTCCAGCGACAGGCGCAGGAGGCGGGACCAGAGCACGAACTGGTGCGTCGGGCCACGCCCGCCAGCGCATCGCGTCGCAAATCCCAGCATGCCGTGGCTCAGCTTCAGCCCGCTCCATTGCCAGTCACTGGAAAGCGTGTGTCCAAGCCCAAAGTGCCCAAGGGGGCAAGTCCACCGAGTGAGGGCTGGACCGCCACCATGGCGGTAAAGGGGAATTCTCGAGTGCTGGCCAGCAGCAACGGCAGCAGCTTAGCCGGAACCTCAGGAGCGAGCATCTCATCTCGCAAGCGAAAGTAGCTAAATCTTTTATTAAACAATTTGAATCTGCTTATAATCTTGACCGATTTCTAGCTTCGTGTCCAGACAGTCGTCGAGGACCTCAAGCGGGATGATCGCGAACTGTGTCCATTGCCAGGCTCCATTGCAGCCAACTGGGTCCAAGCAGGTATCGCCCAGGACCAACACTTGTCAGGTAAGCTTCTAAAGACATCAGACATAAAGACACCGATTTATATCTCCATTTGCAGAACTGCTTGAAGATAAAGCGAGAGAAAAAGAGGGAATCTGAGAAGAGCGATATGGTAGCGGAGCCGCAGCTGGAGGATGAAGATCAGGATGATGACCAGGATGATGATGACAACGCGAGCGTCGCCAGTCTGTTGGAGATCGGCGAGGAGATTGAGGTGCCCGGCCATCATCCGCCGGCGCAGCTTTTCAATAACCTGGGACAACGACGCTCGCCCAAGGAGCAGGAGGTTGTTGTAATTGGGGGGCGTAAGGCCATAGCCATCAAAGCCGATCCGCCGCGTCCCCAAGTGAAAGTGTGAGTCGGTTCAGTTCAAAATGAAACGAAGGCTACGAAACCCTTGGCTAATGGCTAATTCGGTATGCATTTCCTTTACTTGACAGGGTTCCACGCCATCCAGATTTAACTAGCTACGAAAAGATCTTCAACAAGCGCATGCAGGCCAAAAAGTCGCGCCACGACCTGGTGGAGAGCCTCGGCGATGCTCACAACGGCTGTCAGGTGCTGATGGCCATTATGAAAACTATGAACCTGAAGGTAAATAAATTCCCCGTTTAATTAATTAATTCTTTAATTAACTGTTTTTTTTTTCAGGAACGTGCCAACATGTCGCGGGTGTGCAAGACCTGGGCTATGGTTAGCCGTGAGAACTCCGTGTGGCGTTCGGTCCGCCTGCGCGACACCCATATCGGAAATTGGGTGTTCTGTCTGCGTGAACTGGCCCGCCACCGCACTCGTGAGTTGGACATGATGGGCGTGATTATGGCTAAACCGCAGATCCGCATGACTGGTGATCTGCGCGTACTCAAAGCATTGCGCATACTACGTACCGATACAACTGATGCGGAGTTCCTCCACTTGGTCTTTCGCCATCTGCCCCAGTTGCTGGAGATAAGAGCCACCTGCTTGAGCGGAACATTGAGCCTGTCGCACTTGGAGCGGACTGATGAGCTGCGCGTACTTCGAATCCAGATGACGGAGGCAAAGGCTACCATTGGATCACTAAACTCGCTGGCAAAACTAAAGCATCTAACTGAGTTAAGTCTGCGTGGAGTGAACAATCTGACCAGGCTGAACTTGCTGCTCTTGAAGGATCTAACTAATCTGGAGGTGCTATCGTTGGGCTCCTGCCAGGACATAAACAGTGAGAGACTCGGCAAACAAGTGCTGCCCACTCTGAAGGCTCTACGCTCCTTTCGCCTGGAGAACGATCACAAAGGAATGGCTATGTTCCCGGTAGATGAGATTATGCGAGGTCTGGCTCGCGCAGGTGGAGTACGTCGACTGGAGCTGGTGAACGTCGACGTGGACGGTGGTTTTAGCGTTTTGCTCGCCAGCTGTCCCAGTGTAACGGAGCTGCTGCTGACCCCCAAATGTATGCATAATACGGCCAACATGACTAATGCCGTGATGCAGGCCATCAGCGACAATGCCGACCAGTTGCTTGTGTTCCGCTTGGGATTGGTAACGCAGCTGTTGAGTGCCACTGGTACGCTGTACAAGGGGACGGGCAAGGACGTAATACCAGTGCAGCGCCCAGTGCCGGGAGTTCCGGCCGACGATCACCTAAATTGCTGCTCCGCTGACGACAATTGTCAGGAGTCGGATCACGATCAATGCGTGGCCTTTCTGCCCGTGGAGCGTCTGGAGGCGATCTTACATCACATGATGCCGCAGGCTTGGCTTTCGGTGGCCAAGGTGGCCATGTGCGACACCACCAAGATCAAGTTCCTGCCCCGTCCAGAGGAGAGCAGCGAGGAGAACTTTTAGTCCAGGATAAATGCCTAGGCGCCATAATTTAGCTCATAAGTAACCCCTCCCAATACCAGAGAATGACAAGACTGAGTCTTCGAGAGTCATCACACAAAAACACAAAACTTATACCTACTCAAAGGATATTCAACAGGAAATGAAACCGAAAACCACATACTTCTTGGTTCTCGCCATAGCAGCGATTGTTGGTTTGTTTTGTATTCGCAAGATACATACTTGCTTTGGAATACAACTTAGGTTAAACGGCGTTTAAAACGTCTTATTGTCATCTTCACGCTGCAGTAAATTTTAGAATATCTGACAGCCACTTAACAGGATCGGTGTTTTTCGTTTGCCCTTGGGTATTAATCGTATTTTTGAATTATAATCAAACAAATTTGAAACAGGAGTACAACGTAATAAAGCGGTTAAATCTCCTAGAGGGAAAATATGTTTTCTTGACTAAATTGATGTAACCAAAATTTTGGAAAATGTTGAATTTCAAATTCAACGATATTCTTAAGTACTTAAGAACTTAGAAATAGTTACAATCCATACATGTAAGTCATGTTGCTCTTAAATATGCAGCCGAGATGGAATATCGGATATGTTTCACTAATTGAATGGACTCATCTTAAATAAAAATAATTTTCTCATCAATTTCTCCATTTATTTCAAATTGAAAAAGTACAACATTTTTCGTTAATTTCATACAAAGACATTGTTTTTATTGCATTAAAATATAAGATCTTAATAATAAATTTCCAAAAATATACAGTACACATTGTTTAAAAATATTTCTCATTATTATTGATTAATCGTGGTTTTGTAGAAAAAAAATTGACGAAATGTACAATACAAATGCAGCTGAGTTTTGTTCTCTGTGGGTTTAAATGGGAAACCATTCCCACACATTTCGTTGCGTCATGTAGATCGAGAATATATATAAATATATAAAAATACGTACATCATACGTACAGATGGGATGAGGCTGCCATGGCAAGATGTAAGAAAATAAATTATGTTTGCAGCTCACATAGGCACATGGTCGGAGGCGGGAGGCGTGGCAAGGAAAGAGGGAGGGAGTTAGGGAATGCTATAGATAGTACTGTGCGTACTGCAGCCTCGGCTCAACATCGAAGTGCACTTTGGACATGGTCTAGGCTAGGGCTAGGGCTAAGTTCTAGAACTTATTGTACTCCTGTTTGGGGAAGTAGTCGGGCACAAAGACATGAATGATAATGCCAGTGGTCATGAGGGCGAAGTATACGATGACGGCCACCCACCAGAGGATGCGCTCCCAGCGCCGCACCTCCAGGTTACGCAGCACCCCTATCCCCACCAGCAAACCGGCCACTGCGCCCGACAAATGTGCCACATAGCCAATCTGATCGTACTGGTCGGTGAGGTGGCGGTACACCGAGGTGCCCAAATCGGTGAAGCAGAAAACCAGGAAGGCCAGCAGCTGAACGATGGCGTACTCCATCTCCGAGTAGTTCTGTTGGCAGAAAGAACACCGATTTATTGAATATTTAAAGCAAAGAATTTGCATCTCTGTGCACACTCACCATGATGATTGTGGCAATGTGAGCGGTGATCAATGCATATACACCACCCGATGCGCCCGCCAGGAAGATGCGGGGACTTGTGAGCGAGGTGCCCATGGATCCTGCTAAAACACCAGCGAGATAGACAAGACCCACACGCCACCAGTGGTGCACCAGCTCCAGGGCGATGCCCAGAAAGATCTGGATAATCAGATTCATCATCAGGTGCATGATGCCCACATGGACGAACATGTAGCTCACAAAGCGCCAGCCCTCATAGCGTTTGTACGGATTGTAGATGAACAGAGTGGCCGCCGGTCCGCTCGTGCTTTCGCCTATGCGATCCTGGTAGTTGGGATCGTCCCTGAAAGATGAGGGAAGGGCAAGATTAGAATCACATATTCTTAGGGAACTAAATTATCTTTCTTATATTAAACCACATTCTGTCACTCAAAGAAACGCCGAATTCCAAATAATAATAATAATATTAAATATTAATAACTATAAATAATATTAACGCAACCTAAAAGATTGAAGAATACATTAAAGTAAATAAAATTAACTATCACATAATTCAATAGTATGTGAATTCTTAATTTTTGTTCTCCTTGTATCATAAAAAAATTATTTCAATTCTAGATAATTCAAATGATTTTCTAGCTTAACAAAAAGTATTCACGCATTTTTGAAGCATGAAACAGATTGTGATATTGACGCAGAGTTTTCGAGATACTTGAAGTGTGCGGCTTGCGTTACAAAATGTGGTTCGAATTTCGGATATTTCGATGGTAAATCATCAGCGATTACTTACTGGAAATGAATGACGTCAACCAGGAACATGATGATCTCGATGATCGAGAAAATGACCATGGTGAGTGGCGGCGGGCAGATGGACATCTGCTTCTCGTAGGCGCCGTCCGGTTCATCGCCTTCCAATGGTTTTGGGGGCGGGACCACGTAACGACAGTAGCGGGTCAGCATATTCCGCACCATCCACTTGTGCCGCAGGGACATCACGTAGAACTCCTCGAAGTCCAGCTTGCCATCGTTGTCCTGGTCGCCGCGCTTCAGGATCTGGTCGGCGATGTAGGCGGGGATGTCCCGGCAGTAGCCGTCCGAGATCAGCTCCTTCAGCTCGTGCGTGCCGATCAGTCCATCTCCGTCGGAGTCGTGCTGTAGGCAAAGGTATAGATTTAGTAATCTGGAGGTTATGAATTCCACAGAAGAGAAACAGAGCAATGAACTTTTATATTTAAAAATAAAATTAAAAATGTTTAACAAAAAAAATCATTATGGTCCAAAATGACAACTTAAAGTTCCATTGGCAATAAATACTTTCGTTTTTAAATTCAGATTCTAGTTCACCTTGAAACCCCATAAAAACCAGAGCCTAAATATGCCAAAAATACTTTAGCAGTAGGCTCAGGGATAAAGTGTCAGCGTGGGATTAAGAAAATGGGTACTAAATCAGTTACTTCCCTTAACTCCACCTGGGCGGACTGACCCGCCCTGACACAAACATATACAACACAGTAGTTTCGTCAACTTAGTAACACTTAGCCACAAAATAGTTTTAGGTCAAAACCAACATGAACGTACACACCTAAAGATAGCCAGGATTTGTCAAGCAACTGCAATTGCTTGGATTCCCACCACGAATCAGAAATCATACAACACGTAAATATCAGTTACTTTCCCAAGAAAAGAAAAACTATAGTTTAAAATGAAGTAATATATCTTGGTTTAACCAGGATCTTCATTCAAGTTCCATAAGATTTATGCAGCTTTAAACGAAGAGACCCTGTTTTAGTGGATAAGAGAGGAGGACAGAACAATCGAGGATGTCGCAACTGGTGCAGATGACCCGCCATGTGACCTCCTGGCTGGGCTGGACACCGACGGCACCGTGCGATTGTCCGCCGGCGGAGGAGGATGCGTTCCAGGAGTCATCCGGCTTTGTCACCGTCATGGTTCTCTATCTGGGCATGGCTGGCCTCTTTGCCGCCCTAAATCTCTGCACCACTTCCAGTGGGGACCTGGCACGGGCACGGGCCAAGCGGGAACTGGCGGCGTTGGAGCGACGGCAGGCTCAGCGGATGGGGCGGCACGACAGGAGGACAGGGACATGCCTGCCGGATTGGCTGGTCAAACTGCCATCCCTGATCCGCGAGGTGGTTGCACCCAGGCGTCCGGCTATCATGCAGCAGAGATTGCGGATGCGGCAGCGCCGGCAGAAGGAGCGGGAGCTGGAGATGGAGCGAAAGCGACTGGAGCAGGAGACCCTGACTTGGCAGGATGTCATTGAGGAGGGCATGGAGGTGGTGGCTCCCAGCAGTCTTGTGCCCCAGCGCCAAAAGTCCTTCTACTTTGACCTTCCCTCAGAGTCCGAGTAAACGCAGTCCACTTCATATCCACCCACCAATCTATTCCAAATCACACTGTAAGACTCAATAAAGAGTCCGAAAAAAATCACAGCTAATTTTTGCGTTTCTTGATTGATTTTCCCCTTTTGGTTGCTTCAACCGACACTTGCAACATAGCAACGAGTGCAGTCGGGGCAAAAAGTGTCCATAAATGGCCAGGAATGCCACAGATCGAGACGAGAAACTAGAAATCCAAACGAGGCTAATCAAAAACACATAGATAGTCACTAAAAGTTGCGCAATTGTCATTAAAGTTAAACAAAATGACGGAGGAATAAAACGTTTTGTCAAGTTCTAGCTAATTTTGAATACATTAAAAATGTAACCTTTTCTATAAGAAGCCAAAGCCATTTAAAATTTTTGAATTTAGTTTTAATCAAGATCATTCTTATCGAAAGCTCTTATATGGATGTAAACTTCTTATCGTTTTTTTTCCGACTTCTAAGCCATAAAACACATTTGTCATAGATAAGCTCTGCACTGACCTTTAAGAAATTTCTTAGCCCAATTTATATATGGAATTTTTTAACATCTTTATAAAAATGAGTCTACAACGAAACTTATTTTCATTTAATAAATATTAGTTTCATATATACATATACAATTGTGATTCATCAAAATATGGCACAATTTTGTTTGGCATAGAAGAGCAACTCACTGTATATTTCAAGTAAATATTTAAGTCAAGATCTGTTTATAGAGCCAACAATCTGGTTTGAAAAGGGCTACAAATTTGGCTTCAAAGAATGTAATGTGAGAATGTAATCTAAACTAAACATATGTAATCGCAAACTTCATAGATTCTGCCCGTCTAGGTTGTTTTTGAGAATGTAATCGGAATACCGACAAAAACAGTAGCTATTTTCTCAGATATATACTATAGTAAATAAACACAAAACCGCCTCAATCAAAGCGACTAATCATAGAAACTGAGAAAACAAAGGAGGAGAGCAAACAAAACCAAGCTAAATGTCAATGTTCGCACTTAAAAAATTCGCTCCACCCAAAAAGACAAAGAATACATACGTATTCTCTAGACAATTAGATAGATACACATGTCAGGTGGTCATGTTTAGCCTTCATCCCAGACATGGGCTAATGTATTACACGTTAAATGTTCTTAAAAAAAAAAAAAACACAATGTGGAACAATAAAGCGATAAGCGGGTGAGCGTCCAGTGGTTTAGGTGTCTCGAGGAGATTGGGACTTAGTCACAGTCAGCCAGTAGTCGTTGCATTCACCGGTTTAAGGTTTACACAAAAAAGGCATTTCAAGTAGGGATAAGACACTGTATTAAAGTTTTGGCATCTGAAAGTCTTTAATTTATACATAAAAACATTTTAAGATCGGGAATTTCTAAAATAAATTAACAGACAAACAACATATGATCTATGTAGTTTCCATTGCTTTGTTAATAAGCTCACTAAAAGAATATCAACAATGGTATTTTCCCAGATCGGAAAGGTTCTTATCTGTGACATATCAACTTGATATTTTGGAAATATCAAAATGACACAGTCGACATGTTCTCTAATTCGTACTCTCCTCCGTCCAAATAACATTGAGCGAAAAAAGTTCATAGCTCACAAACTTGGCCATTATCTGAAATTATAAATAACTCCAATGACGCAATGTTTGCTTCTTAAGTAAATTTACTTTTAAAAGTTCCATTTCCATTAAAAAAAAAAGGAAGAGTTTTTAAAAATCTACCGCAAATCGATAGTTTAGGTACTCAGGTCCACAAAACAGTTCCTCTTTTGGCAGTGCGCGCTATTTTGGTGAACTAAGAACCAAAAACCTTTAAAAAATGCGTTTTTTATGGCCAAAATCAGTATAAGTTTTTTAATCCAAGTCCTCTGAAATACTGGTCGCATGTTGGAATGTAATACCTCATGGAATTTGTCACAAAATTTCCAAGCAAGTCCCATTTACAAAAAAAATATCATACAACAATTTTTTCGCAAAAAAATACAAAAGGGGTACCCCTTATGAAATATATTTTGACCAAAATCCGGAAAAAATTTGCTCAATTTTTCGGTTTTTTAATCAAAACCCTGGGAAATAGAGGTCGCTTGTTGGAATGTCATTCCTCGTTAAATTTGTTATTAAATTTCCAAGCAAGTGCGATTGACAGAAAAAAATTGTATTTCATACCAATTTTCGCAGCCTTATAAAAAATATTTTAACCAAAATCCGGATAAATACAAAATACCAAATCGAAAAATAGAAATTTAAAAAAAACATGTAATCTATTATTCGAACAATTTTAATTCGTTCATTTTGGGGTCTGTAATGCTGTTACCTGCTGTTCTGCTTTCTATTTTAAACAAAACAAGTTCGAGTTTGAGAAGTTCAAATGTACCAACAAATATAAAAAATGCTTATATTATTTGCATATGTTTTGCACAAAATATGGGTTGGCAATTAAATCCATTGCTGTTGTTTGTTATGGACTTTATTTTGGTTATATCATGACTAGATTATTGAATAAAAGCTTGAGGACTCCGAAACCCAGTATTTTGACCCCTCTCTTGGCCACTTGAATGTTTAGAGAGAAAGAAGCCTGATAAGATTGCCAACGAAGAGGAATGTGTCTGGAATGCCGTTTTACAGGCGGTTCGGATTGAATGGGATTGGATTGGAATCAGAGCGGGCAATTCATTTAGTATGCTAATCGAATGATCACAAATATTGATTTTCTTAACTTAAGGCTGGAGAACGCTCACTGCCTGGAATTGAATGATGAAATTATAGGATCTGTCGTGTTGCCGGGGGCCATTGAACGTTATAAAGGTGGTGAATCAAGAAGAGCATGTGTACATTGAGGCGTTTTGCGGTGCCAGAAATCCAGAAACGGAATTGATAATGGAAACCCAAACAACAAAATGCAAACAGGTGGGCGGTGGGTGGCATCGGGGACGGTTGGCCAGTAGGGGGTTAAGTGACTAACGCCAGCGAAAGAATAAAGCAACAAAAAAAACGAAGACAGAACTCAAAGCGAGCAAACAATAATTTATAACCGGTTTTTTTATTCGCCGCCCCTCTGTCACGATAAGAAAACTCACTCCCCTTCGACCCCCCTTTTTCTGAGTTTTTCAATGTTAAGAAAACAGAGTCCGGCGAAAAAATAGCTCATGAAATAAAATAAGGCGCTATGGAAGGTGCAAAATTGAGTGACACCCGGGAGGCGAAGGGTTTATCAACCAATAATTCTTTTTGGATAATGAGCAAATGTCGAGGATTGGAACACAAAACATTTTAAGAGACTACTACATAAAAATTATACAAATAATTAATATTTGAGCAACGCAAAATGTATTAAAAATTTGTGTATTAAGGTTAACAATTAAGCAATGCCACGAAATCAAAATTAAATAAAAAATTCTGAGTAGTTTGTTCCAAAACTTAATATATCGAGATGTTTTTTGTTTTATTTCTCATTTACATTTCTTATTAACTGAAAAGTCACGTTTTTGGATGTAAAAATGTTTTTTTTTACCGATTTCATTTTCGTCTGAGATAAAATCAAGTGAAGTGTTATGTATGGCTTATGTAAGGCCATGTAAGGCTTTTTCTATAAAAGGTTTTTTGATTATTTAGTTTTTCTATTCTTTGAAAATCAATTTTAAGAATATATATATACTATCATGAAATAGTATTTAAAATACATTTTAATTCTAAATATCAGTTTTGCCAAACATTTACCGATTGTTTCGTCGCGTGCTTGCTAATGGGTTAAGGTGGGGTTTTTAAAAGAGTAGCGAAGAGTGCCGCACTAGCGGATCGATGCTCAGATGATTCATCAAACTCAACTTTCACCAAGGGCGAGAAGAAGATGGCTATAAACAATCAACTCCATTCACATGCACATATGCTTGTTGCAAGTGTATAAGTACCGGCTGACTGTTTTTATTACGGTTGTTATTCTGTTCTACAGTTGGTGCAATTTCACAAGGATTAACCAAACTGTTGGTGCAATTTCACAACGTTAGCCCCACTGTTATATTCCCTATGTTAACCTTTAATTTCTTCTATTTAACTTGCAATATCTGTTTTACCTTGTCGAATATCTCGCGCATTCTGCGCCGATCGTCGGGTTCCGTGTTGTTGGTCTGATTCAGAGGTATTTCCTCCATATCGATGGTGTCCTGCCGCAGCGTTTGAGGGCGGGAGGGGGGCGAGCGGCGCTCGGGCGGAATTGTCGGATAAAGGCCATTTTCCACGTCCCGCTGCTGCTGCAACTGCAGTTGCTGGGCGGGCGTTTGGCTCTGCTGCCGATTCACCGTCTTCACGGGCATTTTTCACTTCAAGTTCTGACCGGGATTCGATTCGGATTCGGATTTGGATTCGAATTCAATGTTAATCCCAATTTAGAACACTGTGCAAAACCGTCACCGTTAGCCAAAAAATGCAATTACAATTCTCATTGCCCGCGGTTTGATTTGCGATAAGATGAAGAGCGGGCCATAAATAAGCACCTGAAATCAGCAAAACGAAAAAAAAATTCACGCACCAAAAACCCAACTACTTCAGTGGACGCGAAAAAAACAACTGTTTGGCAGTGTGACCGCTCAAAATTCAAAGAAATAACTATGGGGAGGTAAAAAGTAGGCACTTTATACCATTTTCAAATATACCACAACTTAATCCAAGTTTCCAACCATCAGAGCTAACCTTTTCGGCCACTGACGCTATTGTATTTTTGATTTCTAACAGAAATGTTAAAGAACATCGATGTTTACAGCGGATCGCATTCACTAGACAAGGTTGGGAACTTGGGTTGGCCTTTATCCACAATCAGAGTTGCCAGATAATATTTGAGCTTTATGTGCGCGGTATTTTTAAAATCAAATCAAATCAATCAAACAGCTATTTAATTTTTACAACTCGACCTTCATTTTTATTTGTAATTTTATGGTAAATCATTATATTTAATACAGAAATTAGCAAAAAAAAAGGGTCAAACAATCATTATTCATGACACGCAATAATAAGTACAGTTAATAAATTAAACAGTAGCGTATAATTGAACTAAACTAACTGTGAGCAGCGGGCGAGACTAAGTTTTAGTAAAGGGTTTACGTGGTACACACATGGGTTTTATTTCGACAGTACACTGCAAGAAGTCGGTCAGCGCTTCTCCCACTGTAATTTGGAAATAAATGCAATATTAAATTAAATATTCAACGATTCAACTGTTCTCCTTCTCGCGTCGTTTTTTTTTATGTTTTTCATTTTTAGTATTTACACAAAGAATTACATAGATTAACCAATAATTTCGTTTTTTTTTTGTTTTGTTTTAATATTTTCTTTTGCATTTTTCAACACATTTTGGCGTTGTAATTTTTCCTCCAACCGGCAAACTTTGAGTTTGACAAACAACTGTCCACAAAAAAATTGGGTTTCGCTTATGAAAACCCAAGAGACTTGATAATAGATTTAAAAAAAAATTAGAGTAGCACCTAATAAGTGTGGATTTCCTCTGTATTTTATTCCATGCCCCGGCTGCTGCCTAAAAATGGGGGCGTGGCAGTATAGGACAGCTTCTCTGCGGGCAGCACATTTTCCCCTTTTTATTTGTTTGAATCAGAACTTAGAACTTCGAAATTTCCATACTAGCTATCACTCACATTCGCTCATTCACTTCAGTCAATAATTCAGTCATTCACTAACTTAGCCAAGGTTAACTTCAACTTTTTTCTTTCTTTCTTTAGTACAGATTAATATAGCACTTGTTTAACTTTCCTCGAAATTTTTGCAAAGAACAAAAACACAAAAGTCTAAAAATAAAAAAATTCAAAAAAAAGAGGAGGTTTGTTAAAGTTAAAAAATCTTTACGCATTAGAAAGTTCTTCATGTCGTGACTAGGCAAGTTTAAATATGTTTCTTTTTTTTTAACAATGTTTTCCCTCTTGTTGTCTAGAGTTTTTTTGTTGTTTTTCAAGCAGCAGGTGTATCCCTCAAGAGTGATCTATTCAGAGGGTATTTTCCACTGACACCTCCCGTCGACATCGCATGGGTTAAAACTCGACTAAGCGCTCGATTTTGGTACGTTTTAGAACCGTTTCGTTGTTTTTAGTACGTTTAGTGGTTTAGTGCGATGTTAGAAGTAGTTCGTGGTTTTGTTAATATTCCTGCTAATTATGATGCGTTTTCAAACTGGAGGATATCGTGGCACTCTACAGGTGCTCGTCGCCATGGTAACCGTTTCGAAGTGGCTGCCGCTCTTGCGAGTGATCCGTTGGCCGGTTGCGATTGAAGAAGCCGCACTGTAATGGGACAAAAGGGGAAATTTTAAAACGGGAGTCTTAACATAATAAAATGTACCTTATATTTCTAACATTTCTGAATTCATTTTAATTGAGATATAAAAATAATTTATACAGAAATACGAAACAGAATTTAAAACAAATATGTATACACAAAAAAACTTATGGATTTCTATAAAATCTATATATTTGAAAAGCTAATTTAAAAGTGAGGAACTACAGTCATAAAAAAGTGTTTCGTTTAACTAAAAAAGATTGACCCAAAAATAGGATGAAAACATGGTCCAACTTGGACACAGTATAAGAGTTATGTAGAAGTCATTTCGACTCACCTTGTAGAGCAGCCAGACGAGCAGCAGGAAGATGAGTGCTCCAGCGCAGGCGGCCAGGATGACGACCCACAGGGGCACCACATCGGGCACCTGCTGCGGCTCCGGTTCCGCCTTGTAGAAGATCTCGTGCGTCTTCACGATCGCATCCTTGGGCGGCCCGATGAAGGGCAGCAGGGTGACATTGGCCACCGCCAGCGTGGACACGTTGAGGGGCACATTCCAGGCCAGCTTCTCCATCGTCTTGGCCACCATGCGTGCCCGGATGGCCACGAAGGCGGCATCGCCGTCCTCCGTTCCCAGATCCCTGACCACACACCGGATTTTCTTGCACTTGGCCGACTGGCAGGGTGAGTTCAAATCGATCTGATGCGGCTGCTCTGCGTTCTCCACATCCTTATCGCTGGATCTCCGCAGGCGATGCTGCGAGGATGAGGAACTCGAACTGGAACTGGAGCTGCTCCAGTGTCCCGGCGTGCCCTGCTGCTGATTGCTCTCGTCGTAGAAGTCCTCGTTTTCCCTGCCATAGTACGGCTTGCTGCCCGAGGAGTAGGTCACATGATGCGTCTGGTAGCCACCGGGTGCTCCACTGTATTGGGTTTGTCCCTGGAAGGATTGCCCCTGCAGAGATCCCGGATTGCGAGCCTGGTACTGCGCCTGATTCTGTCCCTGGTAGTATCCCTGGTTGGAGTTGGTCTGGAACTGTCCCTGTCCCTGGCCAATACTCTGGCCGGGATTCTGGTATTGCGCCTGACTCCTGTACAGCTCGTTGTCCACATTGCCTCGGTTTAGGGTGCCCAGATCCAGAGTTCCGGCATGGAAATTGCCACTATGACCGCCAAACTGCGACTTATCATTGAAGTTAACGCCAGATCCCGAAACAGAACCCGATCCAGGTTCAGATCCCGATCCTCCGGCACCGGCTAATAGGATCTGGTGTTGCTGCTGGTTTGGCCAAGTGCGGTAGTTGCTGGAACTCCTGCTGGAGCTGCTGGATTGCTGGGCAGGTCCGGCCATCTGTATGTGACCCTGGGTGCTGTGACCACGCAGCTGTGCCGACGGAGCACCTCCACCCACACCCGACGAGGAGCTGCTCGTGGACAAGGTGGCGAAGGTCGTCTGGTTGATCCTAGGCTCTTGGATCTGAGTGGTCTGGCTGGCGCGATCGCGGTGCACGAAGGAGGCATCTCCGATCGCCTCCAGCGCATCCTCATTCTCCAGTTTCTGCACCTCCTTCGGCGTCAATCGGGTTCTGGCCTCCGTCTTGCTCACTATCACTCCCTGGGCGGACTCACCGCCCTGGGCCTTCTCCACGCGACCACCGCCATCGGTGAAGGTCATCCCCGTGGAGGCAGCCGACTGGCCAGACACCTGAGCGGAATTCGAGATGGCACCCTGGGCCTGCAGATACGATTTCTTCAGCAGCTTCTCGTCCAGCTGCAGATTGTACTCATTAACGGGCACTTCGTCGCAGTGTATCTTGCCACCGGTCTCCGGTTGATTCAGCAGATACATCAGGGGATCTCCAACGATGGTTTCGTGGGGCACATGGATGTAGACCTCCGCCTCCTCGATAATGGACGGACGATTGTTGCGGATCTCGTAGATGTGCACCACTTGGGGTCCAATCTCCTCCTCCTTGGTGGCATTCGACAGCTTCTTGTAGTCCTCGGCCTTGTACAGCTGGTAGTCCGGTAGAGAGGTTCCCTTGATGTCCAGATCCGTGTCCACCCAGATGCCCACGCTCTGGCGGATCTTGTTGTCGTAGTCGGAGCCGGGCTTCTCCAGGTTCGTCGAGTTGACCTCCCAGTAGAAGTCGTAGCTGGATGAGCTACCATACTTCTCCTCCGGTACCAAGCTGATCTTGAAGTGTGCCTAAATGAGATGCAGGAATACATATTAGTTGAAATGTAATGGGTTATACTAAAAACTACTGATAAACTTGTCTTAAGGTATCAACTCTAATCCATCGAATTATCGGAACCCGTAGTAGAGATCCCTAGAATTTAGTATTACATATTTGTACGGTCTTTTATACTCACAATCTTTCCAGACTCCAAGGGATTTCCGATTTCACACTTGAACGTGTGATTATTTTCCGGAGTGGGCGGCGAGCAGGTGATGGGCGTGTCCTTCTTCTCGCCCAGCTGCTGCACCTTTCGGAACTGAAGATCCCGCGGGGTGATCATATAGAAGGTGGCCTCGAAAGCATCCTCATTGTTGTTCGAGATCAGGACTTCGATGACCAGAGGTTCGGGTGAGCCAAACAGATACTTGTCCACCGTGCTATAAAATAAATTGGAAATTACTTTGGTAACAAACTTAAATTGTTGATAAAAGAGGAGCCTTACTTGACAACCAGCTTGAGATCTGGTTCGCAGATGTTGTCGGGACCGCAGTTCTTCTGGATATTGATGGCATCCCGCAGGACGATCTCCCGGTTCTGGTCGATCACCGGCTCGAGGTTGCTCCTCCTGCGTCGCACCAGCGGCTCCAAGGGACGACTGCTGCGCAGATTGTAGCGGGCCTCCACTTCCAGAGGCGTCAGCTTATCCTGCACCTTGTCCAGCAGATAGACCGTCTCATTCAGACAGTACTTCTGGCCGTAGCTCAAGCGGATGGTCTGGTTCCTGATATTCTTGCCCTCGTCCCGCAGGAAGAACATGCGGGGATTGGGCAGCTTCTTGGCGTCCAGCAGCCAGGACACATCGAAGTCCAGTTGCTCGGGCAGATAGCGGCCGGTGTAGCTCCAGCAGGTGGTCAGGAGCATGCAGGGCACCTGCTTGCGATCCCTCAGCAGCTCGCAGTTCCGGTCGTCCAGGCTGATCAACTTGGAGTTGCTGCCGAAACTGGTCTCGGCATTAACCGCGGCCACGGGTCGCGACTTGAAGATGAAGACCTGGTCGGAGCTGTAGGCGCCCACGGCCAAATCCGGATAGGTGTTCCCGTCCATGTCGATGCCGCCGGAGAGGGCGAAACCGAAGGTTCGGGGATAGGGAGCACCCTCGACCAGCTGCTCGGAGTGGATGACCTGCGAGGGTTTGGCCAGTGGACCCAGCGGCGAACCGTGGAAGATGTAGACCACGCCCCGACCCTCGGGTCCGTCATAGGGGGCACCCACTGCGAAGTCCCCATAGCCATCGCCATTCACATCGCCCAGTGTGGTCAGGGCCAGACCGAATCTCCCCTTGCTGCGGATTCCGTCGCGGATGTGCTCCGTCGTCCAGCGCTTCTCCTCGCTGGGACCGGCCTGCAGCAGGATGTAGACCCTGCCCACATCGTATTTGCCCTCCGCATTGTCGGGATCCGTGTACATGGGTGCACCGATGAGCAGATCGTCCAGACCATCGCCATCCACATCGCTAGTTGCCAGCGAGTAGCCAAAGTATTCGCCAATCTGACGACCCGTGATATTAAAGATATTCGCCATATTCCATCGATTGACCACGATTCTGCCGACGAGATTGGCACCGCGGGGCATGCCAATGGCCACATCCTCGCTGCGGTCGCCATCGAAGTCACCGGTGACCATCGAGTAACCCAAATACGAGTCATCGTTCACCGAGACACTTTCCGAGGTGGAGAACACCTGGTTCTCCGGCCTGGTCACATCGTGGGAACTGGCCTGACCTGTGGATCCGGGAAAATACTTCGGTTACAAATACTGCCCAAGATTCGTAATAACTCCTCTTATTCTCTGGTGTTTATGGGTGAGTTTTTGATTTTTTTTATGCATCAGTTGCGGTCAAAGTTATGACACAATTTCAAACACTTCAAGTACTTTTTGAATTTAATAACTTTAATAATGAACATTTATTGATAAAGATTATGTTATCGAAACATAATTTTTCACATTTTTTAAAATGGCTACATTTCTGACCGCAACTGTTTGGCGCTATATGGCTAATGGGCATGCTTTGCATCAACAAACAACGATATCAGCGATGATGGGCACAAGGTGAGATGGCACATGGAACTTTTTATTACTCCCAGCCAAAAAAGCCACATAAACAATTACCACAAGATACTACGTTACGTTTTGGATGATTATGTGTATATGATTACGGGGCACTACTAACAAACATACGTGGGAAACGTGCTCAGATTATGGTTACTTTGCATTCCAGTTAGTACAGTCAACGCCTGAAATAAGCTGCGGGTCGGCAAATAGGTAAAACATGCACTTAAAACTATAAATTATGCAAATCATGGGGTCAGACGGTGGTACAAGTCAGGCAGGAACAGAAAACATATAGTATGTTGTATTCCATTTTTTAAGAATCTTTATAATCATGTAATGCTAATAGGTAAAGTTGTCTATATCTATGATTTTGAATATTGCCAATTTGCTATTATTCAATATCGTAACAATCAAGAAAAGCATACAAATTTGAAGAGGAATTAAGTAAGAGAATATATTAAGTTGTATATTACTTAAAAAAGTCTGACGTTCAGTAAATAAAAAGTGTGCTATAGATTGTCTTAAAAGTTTTTCACTCCCTCGATTAAGACTCATAAACCAAATCAAATTGTAAACCAGTTTTAATAAAATTGAGAATTTATAGAAATATCTGTGGCACTCCTTGGTATCATTAAATTTTAAGAATCCCGTTTCCTGTTGAGGAAAACTAACGAGCCTTTCTTTTGGCAACATTTAGCTAGATAGCTTTTAAATATATTATATCACTTGGTAGTGATTTTCGGGTATGGTAGGGTATAACTGATGGTATACAGTTCCTTCTCTGCCGTTCCGTGACTCCTTTTTCTAAGCCACCCAGAATCGGATGAAAGAGAAATTAGAAGAACCACCTTATTTGTTGATAATTATAATTCATCTTTCATCGAATTGCCCCCAAGAAAATTGAGAAGCGGTTAAGACAACAACCAGTTTAAGCAGAATTGGGCTAAGCGTGAGGTACGTATGTTGCGATTTAACCCTCTTTAACCACAGATATTAATTGGCAAAGCGTTCTAGCGACTTCAATTGGCAACCATTGTACAAATCTATATAGTTTGCTTTGCTTACAATGGGTTGACAAGTTATTTTCTTATATTGATGGATGATGTGGGGTAGAGTTTTCATGAGGTTTGATTTTGATATTTTGTTTTGATTATCAGACACCGTTAATGGGACTCTCATTGGAGTTTGTGTACATGTGGGTGGGTATTCGTGTTTAGGTACATGTTTGAGCTGGGTTAATGGTCGTAGGTACAGTTTCGGTTGAGTTTTGAGTTTGTGTTTTAAGGCAGTGGATGAGAAGCGTAGTTGCTGTTTGTTTTATTTATTTTTATTTTATTTTTTTGCATTTTTTATTATTATTACCTCCAGTGCCGAAGGGCTGATAAAAAGGCGGCTTAAATGGAAACTCGGCATCGGGCGGTATTGAGTAGGTTTGTCCTTTTTATGGTTTTTATTTTAATAGCAACAAAAGTTGTAGGGAAGAATGTTGATTGGGATTCGGTTTTGGTTTCGGGTTCGGGTTTGGGTGATCGAGTGGTGCGGTTCGGATTTGGGAATTGGTACAGAATGCAATTCACATTTTCAATTCGAGTTCGGTACAAAATAGCATGCATTTTGCCCCGACACACAGGATATTGATTGAGTGTAGAGTGAGACAGAGGTGGAGGAAGGAGCAAAAAATATAAAGAGAAAGAGAGAACATAATTTTGATTAATCAGATCAGGAAGAACATGACGCGTTATACGGTACAGGTACAGTTATAGTAACAGATACAATTACAGTTACAGTTACAGTTAAAGTTACAGTTAACGTTAAAATTACAGTAGAAAATCGTGTATCAACTACGGTACAATAAATGCAGCTAACTTCTGTTGGGTTAAATGTACATTAAAATTACGATTAACAATATTAACGATTTACGGTTTTGCTGTGTCGAGTTGTAAATTATATCGGAGTTAGCAAAATGAATTAATTTTCGATGTACCACACGGTACGATACCATTTCGTACAGTACAATATTGTAAGCTTCTGGCAGCGACAACAGTGCGAAGTTAAGCCAATTGGGGTTAAACAATATGGTGGACAACAACTCGACAACACAATATGTATATAGATCAAGAAACTTAGCCAACCATACTTGTTCGATAAATGTGCATTTAACAATTGTGCCCAATCGAAGGGCAAATGTTTTAATATATCATTTAACTTCAGTCATAATGTTAAGACTTAACTTACTATACCACAAGAATGATTTTAAAATACATAGTTTTGTTTTGAAAAATGAAAAAATCAAGTTACTAATAATAACTTCTTAAATGCACACTTATTGTTACTTATAAAAATAAACACTACTATTTTACTATTTGATGGTAAATTTATTATTAATAATAAACAAAAATCACCTAAATTAAATTTAAATGTAAAAATGCCTTGACTTATTAATAACTGGTTTTTTAATCTATCTTTTTATATTTTATCGACTAGAAATGCGGCATGCTTTCTAGATGCATCTCATGACAACATAGTTTGTAACTAAGACTTAATTCTACAGATGCATATTGGATGATATCCAGCCAACTTATATCGAGTGTTAGATACTGAGGAACATGAGTTCCTAATCAAAACGATACGGAATTAGAATCGGGTATTACGATACAAACATATAACTAGACCCATATTAGGTGTATTTTTGTGAAAACTACTTAGTAATTTAAACACACAAAAGACTAGGATAAACTAAACTAGGGGATACTATGTTAATGCAATCACTTTGATTTTGTACATCGGAGGGCAATCAAAATGTAATATTTTCGTGGACTTTTTAGCTAGGGAAAGGACGAGGACAAATGCTCAGTAATAACGGGGATAACGAAATTCAAATTTCAAACCAGACTACGAGTGTGTGTGTGTGTGTGTTTGTGTGGTCGGAGGTCATCTAGATTCTAGAGTCTGGGAATGGTACTTAAAGTTCTAGCTATGACTAAATACAGGATAAATGCCGCTTGTCTCAATGAGACAGGAGATACTAGACAGAACAGCAACTTCAAAATACATACAGTAAATGTAACTCGTCTCAAGAGACAAAAGATATTGAGGTACGGATAAATAAATAAGAAATAGAACAACGGTACACGGTACATGGTACATGTGGGAAAAACGTGCACTTACCTTGCCAGTACCAACTGCCAGGTGCGCCAATGAACAAACGCGAGCCATTCTACAGCGGGAGAAAAAAAAAGAGAAAGAGGTTACAAATATAATAGTCAAATCGAATGCTGGGGATGCAATTGTGTATGCAAATGTTATGCCACGACACCAACGAGGTGCCAACTAAACGTGCCCACGTCTGTCCGTCCGTACGTCCGTCTTTTCCGAACCATGCCATGCATATAATAACTCAATGAAACCCAAAAAAACAAAAAAAAAAGGAAAAGAGAACGTTATGGAGATCTATAGATCGGGTTTTGGTTTGTAAGTCGAACTTGTAATTCTCTTGAATTGATTGAGAAATCATATTGCTCAATATACGATTAGTCCTCTATTAAAGTTATTGGCTTGATCTAAGATTAAAAAACTAGTTTTAATTATTTAAGCGTAATAAAATATCCAATTAAGATGGAAAAATAATTTTTTGATAAGACCTTAGTAGCTTTTAATAATCTGAAAGTAGGTATGCTTTCATGGGGCAAAGAAATGTATTTAAGTTAAAGTATAAAGGTCTAAGATATAATATTGTAATAATATTTAAATAAAAAATAATAAAGTTTTGTTTATATTTTAATTCAAGTTAAGGTTGTAAGTTGATAGGTTGTAACAAAATAAAATTGTAGTCGCTAAGATACTCTAAAGCCTAAAACCTTGCACTGTTAATTAAACCCCTTTTTCGATAGGGTATATGTATACCCAGTGAGTACTTACCCCGTTGATCGCTGCACTAAATCCAGCCTGACACGAGCCCTGGCGATGATAACCCCAGTTGTCTGCAACGAGAGGAGAGATGGAAATGCATCGCATAAGTGAGTGATTGGGCGGAAAAGGAGTCTGGGGCGAGGGAATGTCAGTCACACACAGAGATGACCATTTAGGCACTGTGTGATTTCATCATAAATGTTTTGCAAGGGCCCCAGGGTTTTGTTGGCAAAAGGGAACGGTGTGTGGGACAATAAATTGCAAATAATTACCGATGCAATGCAATAAATTGCGCTGCTATTTGTCAGTCGCTGGACGAGAGTTGGTACAGCGTTGGAGCAACATAAAAGGATTAGAGCGCGCCTTTGGGGCAAGATCTTCGCCCGCCAAAGCGATGGACATTGAAATGAAAACACAACAATAAAAGCAGCCCCAACTGCCGAGCGGCGAACAAAAAGATCAAGACGAGGCCCAAAGTGGATACGGCATCCGCACATACATATATCCACATCCACAGCCACAACTACACATCCTTTTGTTGGCCCCGCCTTTTGTTTGTTTGTTTGTTTGTCCGGCAAAGTGTCTGGCGAATGTTGCCTTGCTACCAAATACGAAATCACGTAACATCAGCAAAAAGATCCAAAAAATAAAACAGTAGAAAGTCGAAGCCCAAGATACCCTTATCAAAATAAACTTCGAAATGTGTTAAAAGGGATTTTTTAAACTATAAGTAATGGTCGTACCAAAAATAAGCAAAGCCCTACAAGTTGTCTTTCTTAATGTTGAAAATAATGTAAAATTGGCGCCCTCGGGTGTACATTAACTGTAATATTTTTTGTATGGCGCCCTCGGGTGGACTTAGGACAAATTGGATTTTAATTTTATCGACCTATATTTATTTATTTCTTAGCCAACCTGACGATATTCTCTATTTAAGGAAAGGGTATTAACCGCAACAACAACTTTATGTCGCATGCGCGGTTTAAAGCTAGGCCTCCACATAAAAGGGGCAGGAAAAAGGGGGACTTGGAGCAAAAACAACAGAGAAATCAACAGGCAGATCGTGCGTTTGATCAAATTAACGATAACAATTTGTCTCGAAGTGTTTCAATTTGAGTGCAGCGACAGCAGCGACGGCAGCAACATGTTGCTGCTGGCACCAGCAATCGCATAAGTCAACTTTTTTTCGTAACGCACACAGGTCCTCGTACGTGAGCATACCCATGGCATTGTCTTCGCAGTTGTGTTGTAGTAATTCCCATAATAAAATCGCCCCGTCTTGAATTACAATTAGTTTTTAGCAAGGGCACGCCGAGAACTCCGATCCTTTGCCGACTTTGCTTTGATTTGTCCCTTTTGTTTTTGTTTTTGTTTTATTTTTTGTATGTCTGTGTTTCGTTTAACTATTTAGTTTGGCATTTTGTGCGTTAAGTTGGTATTTATTGCTTTCAGTGATGTCGGAATGTGCTGAACCGACTGTCAGGATAAGTTGATGTTGCTGCTGATGTTGCTGCTAATCATTTCACAACAACAGCATCGACGTCCGCATTAATAACGCAACAACAAGACCACTGGGAATCGGGTTGGCCCATTCGAATGTGTTTAGAATCTATAAATCGCCCTTGGATGGGCTATATTAGCTGCGGATTGAGCAATCGCCTTATAATAAAAAAAATCAAAATGCCCAGGGACTCGTAAAGTTGTGAACTTGATTACCAGGGATATTGCAATTTAACAAACATAGGGAAATACAAATTGAACAAATAAAATATAAAAATAATAAATATAAAGCAAATATTGAAAGTCCTAGGAAATGTAACTTCTGAATCAGTTTTTTTTTCTGCTTATAACTTTACAGAAATTATGTTTCTATAATATTTCATTGTTTTAACTCACTATTTTGTAAATTTTTGGTTTAGAGTGAATCAGACTTTTAAAATAATATTGCAATAATTTCCTTAGTCATTCCACGAACCAAAAAGCAAATAAGCAATAAAGAATAAAAGCTAGAACCAAAAGCAAATCTTCCTTATGATAAACTAGTTCAAGAGTCACAACCCCGACTAATGGCCATATGCCAGCCGCTATATAGGAACACTCATACGTAAACACACACATATATACGGATATAGCTCCTTTAAAATCCGAAAGATATATGCATATATACGTAAGTTGAATGCTTTGCATCTGCGAGGCGATGCTAAAAATAATCACACCTCATCGAAACTTTGCGGAGGAGGAGGACGCGAATGCCACATGTGTGCTCGCACATATATGCCCATTTATATAGACCTAGATATAGGTATAAATATGACTAACCAAACAAATTTGGCAGGCTGTCCCAAAGGCAAAAAAAAAAAGGAAAACAGAATAGAAAAGAAAATCAGGGAAAGTAATGCGAGGTAGAAGCAAGAAAAACAAATGCATCAGTACGAAAGAAATACAATTTTGAACACGAAAAAAAATAAAATTTGAGTTATACAAACATCACACTGCAAACTACAGAAAATGGATATGTTTTTCCAACTTTTCGGCTGTCAAGTCGCATAAATCTGTCATTGAGTCCAGGTGGGTGAAGATTTTCTGGGTTACAAAGGTTTACGATTTGATCTGTTGTTGGTTTATATTTTCAAAAGTCAATTAGGGCCAAGTTGTGTTAGAAAAATGAGAGAACATCTAAAACATGTCATCTTTACTTTTGAACAGCTGCAGCCTGAATTCTCTACAGAAACTATTGTTGTATCGTGTTCAAATAATAAACTTTATACTTCGAGTGAAGGCTTTTAAAGAGAGTTTTGAAATATTTCTGCAGAAAAAAAGGTGGGTATTTGATTTAATTTTTTAATAAACAATTTTAGGGTTTCTGTGTGTTTTTAATGTTCCTTTGAAAGTAAAAATATATCAGAAAATGGCTAAAAAAAAAAACCAATTTAAAGGCAGAGATTCCTGCAACTTGTTCCAGCCACCTCAATTGTTGCCAAATCGATTGTCGAGCATTCTTGACACTTTTCACTTTCCCTCAAGTGGCCGTTATTCGATACTCGAGCATTACCAAAAAAAAAAAATAAAAAAAAAGGTAAAAAAAAAAACAACAAAAGCCGAAGGAATGCCAGCGACTGACAGTTTGAATTTCGCTTTTCAAGGGATTCCCTGCCGCTCGAATTACAGAATCACACCGAATCGAAGCGGAGGTCGTATTAGGGCCTCCGGTGTGGGTTAATGTTAATGTTAATCCCGATCCGTCCGTCCATCCGTCCGTCTGTCCGATCGATACTCACTTGTCCGGCAGGGGGAGACCTCATAGAAGCGCTCGAAGTCGTGCGAGGTGAAGCAGGTGCCCACGGGATCAATGCGGAACGCCTTCGATGGCGTCATCGTGTGGAACACATAGCGCGGGGCACAGGCCTGCAATGAGAAATGGAGAAATTCAATGGAGATGGAGTACTTTGCACAGTAAAAAAATGTTTTATTTTTTAAGTATGTGTAGAAAATTAATTACGTATATAAGGATTTATTTTATTCGCTTTATTGCCTATAAATTCATGTCTATTTAACCATATAAACTAATGACATTGGTTGGCTACGTCTTCAATCCTTGTTTCTTTTTCCTCCTTTTTATACCCTTGCAGAGGGTATTATAATTTTGGTCAAAAGTGTGCAACGCAGTGAAGGAGACATCTCCGACCCTATAAAGTATATATATTCTTGATCAGGATCACCTCCTGAGTTGATATAGCCATGTCCGTCTGTCCGTCTGTCCGTCTGTCCGTCTGTCCGTCTGTCCGTCTGTCTGTCCGTCTGTCTGTTTCTACGCGAACTAGTCTCTCAGTTTTAAAGATATCGAATTGAAACTTTGCACACACCCTTCTTTCCTTTGCACGCAGTATATAAGTCGGAACGGCCGGGATCGGCCGACTATATCCTATAGCTGCCATATAACTGATTGATCGGAAATGCCATAACTCTGCTGTTTGTTAAGTTAGGAAGTTGGAATTTTATATGGGTTTTATATTTGGCCAATCAATCCGACCTACCAAATTTCATAAAGATCGGCCGACTATATCCTATAGCTGCCATATAACTGATTGATCGGAAATGCCATAACTTTGGTGTTTGTTAAGTTAGGAAGTTGGGATTTTCTATGGGTTCTATTTTTAACCAATCAATCCAACCTATCAAATTTCATAAGGATCGGCCGACTATATCCTATAGCTGCCATATAACTGAACGATTGGAAATGCCATAACTTTGGTGTTTTTAAAGTTAGGAAGTTGGGATTTTTTATGAGTATTAAGATTGCATCATATGAATAATTTTGGAGAATATAATTTACAGAATATTCTGCAAGGGTATATCAACTTCGGCTCCGCCCGAAGTTAGCTTTTCTTTCTTGTTATTTGTTTTTTTATTATATGCCTATCTTTTGTTTATAACATTCCTCTTTGACTTGAAGTTGTTCTTCCAAAAGAATTACAAACTAACCAATTAAATGGTATTTTTTTATTATTTTAATTTGATCTTAACGTGTTTTAAAAATCATTTTCTTGCAGTGTAGGTGAAAGAGACAGGGGCTGGCATGGAAATTATTTGGTGAAGATGTGAGACAATGGCAGGCCAGCAGCAACGGCAAAGGCATGAAGCGGTGGCCCTCCTTAAATGGCCAAAGCGAATTAACAGACCCCATATCCACCAGGCACAGTGGAGCAAAAACTATCCAAGCATGAGCAGAATTTCAAATTGAGATAGACCTTAAGACCTTTTCAAAAGCCATGCAGCAATATTCAATTTTCAACACACCATAAATATAAATTTAATTTCTATATAAGATCAACATTTCATTTGACTTCAGAAATCTGTATAAATTATTGTTTCTATTGTGGGCGATTTAAAAAAATCTTTTTTAAAAACTCTAAAGGAAGTGTTTTCATTTTATCTATCTGGCATATCAGCTCAGTGTTTCAATAAATAAAAAAATTGTTGGCCTAATATTTTGATAAGAATGTTAACTTTAATTTCATTAATTCGGGATATCCCTTTTTATGTCCCGATATCTATGATTTATTTTGGAATTTCTTTCGTGGATAATGACACACTGTGCATGGGGAGTGAGTTAACCTCGTCGCATTGGATCGCTTCGCATCCCAGCCGATCTGTGTGTTTATATAGTTTTATAATGTATAAATGGCTGGCAGTTGGACATAAAACACGCACGAGACTCGGGGTCTCAGCCATCTCTGTCGCAGTGCCGGTCCAAATATGGTTGGCCCAGCGGTTGGAGTTTGTGGCATGGGGCATGAGGCATGAGGCATGGGGCAGGAACAGCCGGAGCAGCCGGAGCAGGAGGCATCAACATCAGCGTCAAGATCTTAGGCCCGGCCATTGTCTCCGCACTGCAATTACTTTTACAAATTTATACATATTGTGCCATTTATGGCAACCAGTGGCTCTCTGTATCTGTCGCTTTTCCGCCTACCCCCATTCCCTTTTGGCAACTCTGACATAAACTCAAAATGACGCGCTATCGCCAAAAATGCATGCTGATCGGATATCGGATGGGAGCGGATGGTGAGGCCGAACCATTCAAATGCCCCATTGAATCACAAATCTATGGGCCAGGCCATATTATGCAAGCAGAAACGGGCAAAGAAATCACAGTCCAGCTAACTCTACACCGGGAGAAAAACCCACAAGGTTCGGATGGTATTTGCTGCAGACTTTTTCGAGCTGATTATGGTGTTCCTTTCATATAATTTATATTTTCCAAACAAATCTAGTTGAAAACTTCACTACAGTTTTCTTTTGAATAAGAAAACCTTTATAATTCCCAATTCTTTTTTTATAAAAAGAACCCACAGCTTATTATGTAGGTCAGAACGGTATTTCCATTAGCTGCCGTCTTAAAAATTAATTCAACTTCCTAATATTTAACATTTTCCCTAGTGTACCTGTAAGAAATGGAAAAGTAATAAAAACAAAACCCTGAGAGTTGGGCCAGACAATCGACTTGCCGCTGGGCACTCGGGGGAGCGTTGAACAATTCAATTGAAATTCCCAACAATTGCCCGCGTGGACCATTGTCCATGCCATGATCAATAAGTTAATAGCAATTTCCTATTAAAAACTTTATTATCAGTTTGGCCGGCAAAGAGATTCTTTTGCGGACTTCGCGGCCAACAGTTTGCAGTTCGCGGTAAAATAGTTAGATATGCAAATGAGGAGCGGCCGGAGGAGAATGGATCCCGAAAACAGGTCCAAAGTTGCTTTTCAACCCGAGCATTGAAATCAAAAATTATGGTTATGAATATGGGTTTTGACCAAGAGTTGGGGATGATATATACGAAATCGCTACCATTTCGAGATGTATTTTTATTGTTTACCCGTTTAAACTATATTAAGGAAGTTATTACAAAGATAATTTACTTTTTAAAGCTTTTAATAGTTAAACTTTTTACTTTTGCTTGTTGATCAATTGACTATTCTTTATTAATACATTTGAATAATTCTATTATTTTCAAAATGAAAAGGATACGTTAATTTAGTCAGCCTTATAATTTATGACACAGGGATATATTTAACAATCACATTTAATATCACATTCACATCAATATTTATAGGCCATTTATGTGATGACTCCGAATGATAAACAAATAAAGAAATGTTATTTATTTGCCAACCGCAGAAAGTTATGACTCCGCCAATTGTATATAAATATTAGTAAAATTAGGTCAGCCTTAATTGCTGTGAATTTGGGCCAAGGATCGGTCAACAATTGGATGCTGGCACCCAAATACTTGGTATGAGATCACCGTCCGACTGTGGCCCCAATCAACAACTTGTCGTCGAGTGGGCGGGGTGGTCATCGCCACCGCCCACAATGGCCATGATCGGCAATCAGCGGCACAACACCAAGGTGACATCACTGTGAACTCACTGCATCGCCCCTCTCTTTCTCCGGCCATCTAGCTGTCTCTTTCACTGCTGTCCTCGCCCGGGGGCTTATGCTGCATGTCGTGCGGTCTCGTTTCGCTACGTTTTTCCATACCCAGTACTCAAAAATCGGTAGGGTATACTAATATCATATTGGTTTTTATAACTATACAAAAAAGAGGTTTACTTTCCCTATCGATGCTTTCGGTTTAAGAATACACTACATAAATAAAAAAAAATTTTTAATTTTAATGATAACATAACCATTACAAAGTGCCTTTGTTCCAGTGCACAAATTTAATAGTTATTGGGAGTTATATTGTTAAAGGACTACTGTGATTTTCATTTAAAAACGATTTTACATTTAAAACAAAATAGGGTACCAGGGTGTTATACATAAAAGTCAAAATAACAATTTTCGGTCTGGTTTTTGTTAAGTGGAATGAAGTTTCTTGAGCAAACCAAAATTGCCAAAATTTAGATCGTGTTGATAAAAATTAAATTCCATGAATTATTTTTGTGTTATTTCCGGGTCCTAAGACATCTGTTTTTTTTCTAACAAGCTGATAAAATTCTTTATAAAGTTCTGCGTTTAATCTCGTAAAATTTTTAAATCTCAATTTCTGTCATAAAAAAATGTTATAAACCATTTTATTAGGTTACTTACTGAAACATTTATATGTTAAATAAAATTCAACATTTTCTTTTGCACTATCCATAAATATTTAAAGGTAATATAAATTCGGTTATAGTTCTTATTCTCTGGGAGAGTTGTTGTTTGGATTGCAGTGTTTCGATTGCAACATGATCATCGACACGATCTGTGAAATTGCCAGCGCTATTGAACTCAAATATGGCACAGATATACACAGATGTAGGTATATATATATATATGTATAGTATATGTGGCGGGGGAGGATCGGAGTATCGGGGGACTGGAGTTGGCCATGGGCCTAGCCGATTTGGCATCTGCATCTGCATCTGGCCCGGGGGACTCCAGATATTCTTTGGCATTCGATTCGCAATGGTAACGTCTGCATGTCGACCATGTCAAACGTGTTGACTTTTGACTTTAGCCGTTGTTGTTTTTGACTTTGCTCCCCCAACAAAAACGACAACAACAACAAAAACAAAAACAGGAAGAACCGACGGCGTCTGCAAAAGTGCAGTTTAATGTCTCAAAAATTTATCGTTGGCGTTTTGGTATGCACTCTGCTCCAAACATGGGCAATAAACCACATGAACAAAAAAAAAATACCGAAACAACAGCAAAATCGGCCAAAAAACAAAAGCCCAAATACAGACAGAGACCTCAAAACTACTAAAACCAAGCGAAAAGAAAGCCCAAACAAAGCCAACAAGAAATCGTTCAAAATATGTTAAGCTGCAAGAAAATAAGTCGGGAACACGACAAAACAATTTGGTTTTAAAGAATGGAAATGGTTGACATGCCTAAAAAATGAGGCAGGCTAAAGGTCGCTTCGGGTAACTTAAGCTTATAAAACTGATTGCAATTGTTTGTAGGGTATTATAATTCCAGTAAAACGTTTGCAACATAGTGAAGGGCATATATCCGACCCAAGAATACAAACTAAGATTTAAACGCAGGTTTTTGACACCTCCTTTATTTATCAATAACCAACAATATACAGCATGAAATATATAATATGCAGCATATACAACATACAACATACAACATACAACATACAGCATGCAACATGCAACATGCAACATGCAACATGCAACATGCAACATGAAACATGAAACATGCAACATGCAACATGCAACATGCAACATGCAACTTGCACCATTCAACAATCTACAAGCAGCAACCAACAATCATTAATAAACAATCAACAAACGACAATCAACAATCATCAATAAATTATCAACATCAATTAACAGTTAACATTAAATAATAACACATGGTAAATGTTAAATAAAATCCATGTAATGTTAATGTAATGCTAAGAAAATGTAATTGGTCAGTCATCGTCATTGTTAAGTTTTTCTCTCCCAGGGAAATTATAATTCCCAACCAGTTCTAGTCAAAAAATTACAAAAAATTAATTAATTTTCGAAATTCTAATTCCACGTGATTGAGAAGCGGCTGAAGGAGGCTGGCAGCGATACTATCTTACTTTGACCGGATGCAGTGCATCAAGGATTTAACCGGGTATGTACCATAATTATAATAAATAAAATTTAAATAAAGAGAACACAACTGAACTTTTTAAAATAAGTGAGGATAAGAGATTCTATGTAAGCCGAAGCTGCCAATGCAATATGCATCGGAAAAGAACAACGACTTTATTTTCGTCATTAAATTTTTTGCCAAGCTAAAAAAACCGACTAAAAAAAAAACCAAGTCTTGAATACAGATTTTTAGGAAATTAAACAACAAGTTTTTAGAAGTATACCACTTTGAATTCGGAGAAATAGTTATGTCTTTAAACGTGCAGGCTTAGGTCATTTTCTGCAAGGCCATTTTTCGAAAATTTGGAAAGGGTTACATCGTAAAAATGACAAAAAATCTACCCAAAAATACAAGTCAAGATTTAAAAACAGTTTTTAGATAATATAATCACAATTATTTAGAAGAACGCACATTTAAAATCTGATTTCTTTAAGAAAAGTTATGGACTAGTTAAGTGAATGTTTTTCGCAATATTCCGAAGCTAGTTTCATTTCTTGTTGTGTTACGTTACGTGTGCGTTTAAAAGACTTTTTAAAATAAACCATGTCATTGGATTTTCCGTTTGAAAATGGTTTATACAGAAATTCTTATTGATATTCTCAATCAAATTAATTCTCACTTAAATTTTATTAAAAATATGAGTTAATGAAATCACTAACTTAAATAAATCTCCTACCTTCCAGAAACCAGTTTTAATACTCAAAAATATGAGGGATTGGCGAATAATTCTAGCAAGTCCACAATCACCCACCGACTGATGTAATCCGGGATGATGATGTAGCCCAGTAATTCTGTGGGGCACTTGGCGTAACGAAAACCAATCGATGACCTGCTCCTCCCCATTCGGTTAATGGGCTTTTGAAGGCCAGTCCCAGTCCCAGTCCGAGTCCCAGACCCAGTTCCAGGTTCCCATTTCCCATTTCCCAATTCGAGTTTCCCAATCCCCGACAGGAGAGCGCGTGGCGGAAGTGACCTGACCTGGCCACAATACACCAAGGGTAGGGAGCGGAAAGCAAGGGAAAAGGACGTATTGGCCATCAATGTTAACGGCTCTTGGTGCGCCACGGCCAAATCAAATGGGCCAAATCAAAGTTAATTGAGAACTAAAGTGAAAATCAAATGTTTATGGTGGGTGGGCAGTCAACAAGCGGCCAACAAAAGAAGCCAACGCCAACGCAATTAACCAAAGTTGCGAGACGTGGCGCACCTTAAAGAATCCGAGTTCCCAAAGCAGAAAAGCACTAAGCACATGTGCACAGAGAAAAATGTATTAGATTGTGGCACTACTTGTCTCTTATCAGTAATATTTTGGGACAAAGAAATTTTGATAATTTTCCTAACGCCGCTTTAAACTTAGAAAGCGGAATTTGGCAGTAAAAGACCTACTTCTCATATTTTAAATTCGATACAGTATCTATATTTCTTTACCCAAATAATATGTTGACAATTTCTTTCTGTGTACCAACAAAACACTGTCTCTGAGCATTGGTATCTTATTATGGTTTTATATCGCTCTTGGTTTTCTTTTGTGGTCTACTTGACGCAATCCACCGCCGAACCGCAGCGATGACAAAACAACAAGAAACTATGAAAACCGAAATCAAAATCGAAATCGAAATCCGAATCCATTGAGAACATAGTTTTCCCGAACACCCACTGACATCCAACGGCGAAATCCATCGCATACCGAATGACAGCCATAAAAAAGGTAATTTTCAACGGAGATTTCCTTGACATATGATAGAAAAGGTGTCAGTTGGGCGATGAGGTGGGCGAAATGCCCAGCTCTCGGCCAAAATACCATTAGTTCCCTTGCACTTTCAATGCAATTTGACATTTTAACGAGCTCTGTCGCCGCGGATGATGATGCCATCATCATCGAACTGACGAACATTAAAATCGAACAAGGTTTTTCCAGCGGTTTGCTTTTCAGTTAGTAGGTCGTCTTGCGGTCTGCGGAAAATGAAAGTATCTGTCTGTTCACTTCTCACATTGTTTACCCCCATAAATCAGGATTTTAAAGGGCGATAATGGGAGTCATCGGTGGGTTATATCTTTTTAAAGCGATACTAACTATTTTAGGACTTTACGGCATGGATATACATATAAAACAATAAATTCAGTCATTTTGTTGGAGTAACCTTTTCAATTAAAGTGAAAGCTAATGTTGCTCTGCAATTTTTTTGGCCATAAAAATATTTTAAAATCATTGATATTCCTTGAGCTTTTACACCATGTATATCCTATATTATACTTTAAAATATAATATCGTGTTTAGAACTTACCACAACCAAGTCACTATCGCGTCCTGTGGCCACCGTGGCGCCCAGCCATTGATAGGATTTCCTGTCCACGACCTCCTTTTCCGTATTCCGATTGTTGCCTAGTACAGGTGAAAAAAATACAAATGAATATCTCTACAAATAAATAACCGACATATTTAGTTGGCAAATTAAAATTGCAAGACGACGGCGATCAGCAAAGATAATAAACCTAATTTTCAAAAATACGACTTAAGCGGGTAAACATTAAGAATAAAACGGAGACAGCAAAAACAAAGACGTGGAAATAATTCTGACAAAATGTGAACGGAAATGAACAATTTAGTGAAATTTATATGTATTTTTTAGGAGGGGAAAGGGAAAAGGCAAACTAATTAAGCTACACTGAGAACACAAAACACTTGAGGACAACGTGGACAATAATGATGATGGTCACTTCCTTTTGTCAGTGATTTATGACACAATTTCAGGGGCAACGTGAGGTGTCATGGGGAGTATACAATTTGCAATAGAGGCTTTAATATTGCTGTGCTGTGCGGACTGTACAGATTTTGGGCGGGTGCTTTAAGGCCTAATGAGGTTTAAATGGCACACGGCACAGATAAATTCACTAAAAATGGTAATTAAGAGTGATGGATGAGCCATGGATTGGTGCAAAAATTATGGAAAATTTAAGTGAATAATGGGTAAAGGAAATTGGTCGATATATAATGTGATATTTTGTAAAGGATAGTCATCCCAAATGATTCACTTGAGAGTTCGCCGGAAATGTTTATCCCGATCAAAGACTTAAAAAAAAATAGCACAATCACAACCACAATTCCTAATTATAAATAATCAGTCAAGAAATATTTACTGAGTCAGCGGTGAACTAATAATTTAAAATTAATAAATCATGAATCATTGAGTATTGAGTTTTGCGTTTGGACAAAAACGCAAGTATTTCCTTTCTTCGCAGTTTTGCATTTTTAGTCGGAAGTAAAATAAGCAATTCCAAGATGAAAGGTGAATAAGATCTAACAACTAATGGATGGATGACAGGGCCAGGTGAATCAGAGCCCATGAAACACATTAGTTGGTGGCCAAACGAACCTGCGAGCTGAATGAAGCACCTGTTGACTCCTTTTCATTTTATTTTTAGCCACATTAAGCATGAGTTTGAGCAGAGATTTATATATTATTTTAGCGAAATTGAAAGGGAACTTGGGGCAGGGACTGTTAATGTATGGGGCACACCCCCCAAGTGGGCATTATGGTTACCCAACATCCATTATCGAGTCTGCAGTCTGATGGGGCACGTGTCAATAACTTTTACCCGATGTTTCTCTTTTTTTTTTTTTTGTCGCTCTGCCTTGCAAAATCAAATTGCATATTTATGGCAGACAAACGCAGAGTGCAGAGCCGTCACTTAATGGGAAAAATATGCAAACAACTTTGCAGCGAGGAAGTGTGGCCGGGAGGTTGGTGAGTAAGTTTATCATTTCCGTTTTATGCCCAGGATGTTCCCGGCAATTGTCTAAAAATATATATTATTGCAGTTTGGTTTTTCTCTTCTTTTTTTTGATTATTTTTTTATTTTTGCCACTGCACGTTGTGCATTCCTCGCATTTTGCATACTAAAAGGTTGCGCATGCGTGTAGGCCATAAATAAACAAATTGCGATTTGTGCTTCCCTGGCGCCAGTTTCTGGCGGGGATTGGCGCCAAGTTATCCGCTAGAGAACTGCCATCTTCTCACGATCAAACCCAGAGACACAGACTCGAAAAATGGGTGCCTGACTTAAGTGTTTTGCCTCGATTAACTTACCTTTGGAGTCGAATGGCACCAATTTGCAGTCGTCATCGTTCAGGCTGCATTTGAAGACGGCGCCGGCCTCCGTCACGCCCTGTTGGTAACGGGATGTGTCGTATTTGGGAGCTCCAACGATCAAGCTAACGCTGCAAGATAAAACATAAGGATACCTTATTAATATACAAATAGGCAGGGTCAAAATATATCATATACATTGCATGATTGTGGTCATGTTCACAGAAGGATTTCCAAAGCCTAAGTCCTTTTTTTCAAAGAACGAACTGTAAAACTGCTAACATAATTAAATAAACATTTTAAGAACTATTAAAATTAAGCAGAAAAGACCAAAACACCAAGATTTTTTAAAATGTTTTTTAAGATCCTAAGTTTGATTTAAAAGCATTAATTTTTTATAAATTTGGAAATAAATGTTGTTTCCTTTCTATATTAAATGAATCCTAGCTGTTATACTTAACTAACTAAATACTTAAACAAAAAGGTCTAGCTTTTTCATGAAAAATACAATGTTAGTTTTTAAATTATAAATGGAAGAATTTTATTAATCAGCTCTTCAAGGCTCAACCCTGCCCAGAGCCTTTGATGTCCCACTTCCAGGCTTATGCCATTCTTTTAACACTTTAAAGCGGATTCTTGGAGTTGCCTCAACCAAGCCGATCACCCTCCCTCCCTATTCGACCTTTGGCCACCCCCTTTATGAGGCAGCCGTGCCCGCACCCTCGATCTTTTCCTCCCCAGAGCTCTGGATTTCTGCGAGTCAGTGGCTCGAGCGGTGGTGCTAGTGGTTCTGGTGGTTATGGTGGTGCTGATCTCAGTCTGGCGGTTCTAGTGGCACCGTCCTCCTCCAGGGGCAGCAGTTCATCATGGCACGCATATTGACAGCTGTCATTTGCATTGAATGCGGAAGTGCGGCGAACAGAAAAGAAAAGGGTGCCCAGCTTAACCCTAGGGTGCACTAAATGGGCCTTCATTAAAATTGAAAATAATAAAACGGAATGCGAATGCATGCACAGCCAAAATTAAGCCATCCTTTCAGTATTTATTCACATCGAAATATCAATTTCAAGTGGATATCAATTAAATATTTCGAAATTGTAGTATACAAAAAATTAGATTTCTGTAAAATCATATAATTTTGTAATAATACAAAATTGACGATAGGTATTTACAATGTGTAAAAATATATAATCTGAAGTTGTATTTCTTGTGTTAAAATCAATTTAGGAATATAAAATATGATATTTATGAAAAATTAAAGTACATTTTGTATATTCTCTCTCTGTGTAGACTTTTACGGATGCTATACGAGGCATGCCGCAAATGGTACAAATCAAACACTTGAGAGTTGATTAAAACCCCCACCCTCTTGCCGCCGCCCCTGCCCTGCCCCGCCCCGCCCCATTTACCACCCCCTTGATGACCCGCCCCCTTATTGGCCGACCTGCTCGGCCCACATGCAACAATTTGACGCTTCACTTAAGCAACAAGAATTGAAACAGACTTCGGCAAGCCGGAGTTTATATACCCTTGCGGCCATTGCAAAAGTAAAATATCCCATAAAACGAATATATTTCGATTTCGATGCTTATACGTTAAAAAACAGTCGATAAATTGAGTGCTACAGTCCATCTGAAAAGGTTAAAATTAATTATGTCTCGTTGTATATAAGTCTATAAACAATGAAGTTATCATTTGTTTTCATATTCTGCGTTGCAAACTTTTGACTGAAATTAAAATACCCTTTGAAGGGCATAAAAATCGCACAGATGCGTGAAACTCGAGAGGGAGCGACTCAAAGGAGATCGCGAACGGAACTTCCTCTGAATGGGCGAGTGAGTGCACTGAGCGAAAAATCAAGAGCCAAATAATATTTGAAAAATCTAAATTGGCTTAAAGAATCAGAACAATTCGTTTCATCCACATCTCTTATAAATTTATTTAAATTCTTGTTAAATATTTCAAAAGCAATTTAATATATTTATTAATCAAGTGATATTTTTCTCCCTTTAATTTTTTTTATTGGTGTATAAAAACAACTATCCAAGTGTACTCCAATAAATGGAAGGGTTTCAAATGAATGAATGAAGCGGGTCTTTGGAAGTTTGCAATCTGTTGTGTTCTAGTGGCATTTCCAATGTATTTTGAAATGATTTAAAAATACACTAATAAGCAGCTGGATTCTATTACAGAGCGAGGTTTTTAGTAGTAAAAACATATACTCGAAAGCTTTAATTAGTGCCTCTACGTCCACTTCTCTATCTATTTATCTTTGCACTGTTCTCGGTGCTGACATCATTCGTATTCATCGAACAGCGTCGATTCGATCATTCTCTCGCTTTCCGTTAAATATAATTAATATTAATTTATGGACAAACAAAAATGAGACAATCTCAAACAGGTTCTCAATCCACTGGTTCTCCTCCACCAATTTTTTGAGGGGGCGCCTTTCCATTTGCATTTTTATTTAAATGAATCAATGAATAAGAAAATTCCCAAAACAAACCATTCTTCAATCGATGATAAATTTATATTGGTTTACTTGACTCACTTCAATTAATTCCAAGTATTGCACTATACTCCAGTGTTCATTTCAATGCCATGAATTTGAAAAATGTGATAAACTTTCATAAAAGACGTCAGAGTAAAATAAAAGATTAAATGTCATGGTGACGTTATAAAAGTTTAAATTGTTGAAAGCTATTAAGCATATGTTTATTTAATTTTATTTATTTTTTTATTCCTTTTTAAAATTAAAACCCTATTTTCGTACTTTTATGATAATTTCTTTCCTAACATTATTAACAGAATTGGACATTATTTTTGAAGTATTTTGAAAGTATCTGGCCTTAACGTTAGTGTTTTTGTGAAAATTGGCAATATTATTAAACAAAATTTATTTTATTTATGACTAAAAAGCGTGCAAGTACATTTTCCTGCCCAGATTTGAATTCAGCACACTGAAATGTCTTGAAAAATAATACATTCATTGTTGTAAATTTTTGATGCAACGCAGTGTAAATGTTCTCCATTGCCAAATGAATTTGAGGCAGTCAAGCGTTCTGGCTTACGTAATTTTAATTTGTAAATTGTGGAGCACGCGTCAGCCCGAAATGCGATGATATTGTTTTGGTGTTTTGGTGTTCAGTGGACCTTTTAAAGATCAAAACCCCCGCGCCGCACACAATGCCAGGCCTATAAAATAATCAAAATCAATGCGAGTCAATTGAAAAGTGAAAATAACATCGGGCCAGGCGCCAAACCAACAAATGCGATTGTTCGATTCTCCATTCCCAATTCCAATACAGTTGAATGTCTCAATTGGGAAGGATCGCAGAAAAGGATAGATCGAAAACCAATTTTCCACACACATGTCTTGCAAACATAATTCAGGGAATAGGAGATACAAAACAATACAATACAACAAACTGGTATGGAATGGAAACCCTCTGTTGGATCGCGCCTCGAATGCTAAATTGAGTATGCCCAGGGACCCGTCTTGAATTACCTTCGACTTTGAGGCTTCGTCGTCGCGTGCAGCAGCACCAACCAACAAACCAACAGCAATAAAAATAATGTTTTAAAAATAACATCTTCGAAAATTACCGCCTCTCTTAACCCCCGACGACTTCCGAGTCATTCGCTGAACACATGCTCGCAGGATGTGACGGGCAGACAGGCAGACATACATATTATATATATATATATATATATATATGTTCCATTCCCAATGCGATTTCTGGACCCACTCCAATTCACTTTCCGAATGATGTGGGTGCGGGGCTCGTGTGAAGCTGCGCATGCTTCCTGCCACACATTCGCCTCCTGAATGAATTCACTTCACAGTGCATCAGAAAAGTAAGTTGACTTATGTACTCAAAGACAGCTGCAGGATCAGCTACATTTCAGACACATATACTGTTCGACTGGGTAATTGAAAATTAAATTGCTGATTGATTGATTAGAATCTTTTATTAATAATTAACCTAAATTAAAATAAACAAAAATATATATATGAATAAGAATTATCTTTAACTTTTCTTGATCTTAGTAATCTGGATCTAAAAATGGTCTTAATAGGTTCCTATGCCAGTGTCTTTAATAAACAATACAATAAAGAAGAAGTTAACTTTTTCAAAAATATTGTCAAAATATTTTGCTTACATTTTCAAACCACTTAAATGTTGTGTCATCGGTTTGTAATCATCAGCATTTTGGTATTGTTTTTTTTAAAGAGAACAAGATCTCAGCAGAAAATCTTTCAAGAGATCACTCCAATTTCCGCTGATCTGTTCAAAACTCATAATTATACCATTTGCATTTCTCAAGTTTTGGTTAGCATTATTTGAATTTTTTCTAGGCTTCGGAGAATACTTTTGTTTGGCACATATGAACCCCACTTCCGGTGATATAGGCTGACTTTTGAGGGACACTGTCACTCGTAACCTTTTAAGTAATGCACGATGTAAATAAAAGGGGGAAACATTTCGTTTGGAAAACAGTCAACTCACTTGCGGAGTCAGGCCGCGTAAAGGAACCGAAACGATTAGATCCCTATTCCTATCCCAATACCTATTCCTATCCCTAACCTACGATATGAGGGTGAGGATCGAAGCCAAAACTGAGGGAAATTTGGGAAAAGTGGGCGACTGCGAAGGCGTGTCGGCGCTAAACATGTGTGCGCCCCCCGGAGGTCTGGGAAATTGAAAACCGAAAGCCGAAAATTGAAAACCCCTGCACACGTGACATACCCGGCGCTGCAGACCGTTTGTTTTGTCCATTGAGCGATTTAACATTGACCATTTTCCATTTCCCATTTTCCATTTCACGGTACCTAAGTGCGTGTGCGGTTTCCCAGCACCTTTTTTACACATTGACACTTCCGTTTTACCAGGCCCCGTATGGCCAGCTGATCCGCGATCGGCGATCGGTGATCAGTGATCAGTGATCGACGATCTCCGATGGATATCTACTCCGCCACTCGAGACTCCGCAATCAAGCGGCAATTAAGGCGGTTCGGCCAAACAAATGAAAATGCCAAGTATCCGCGTACAGAGAAAAAATAAGAAGCCATAAAAATGGTTTAAAAAAATATATATTATTTTAACTTTCGATTTGCAATATTAAGCAATTAAAATATAGTCTGCTTGCGTTTAAAAATATTGTAAATTTAACCAATAAAATAACATTTTAAAAACATAAAATCTAGACTTGCCATTAAAATTAATTTTAGCATATGCATTAAAATAAAACAACGCAATGTATTGATATATTTATGACACTGGGTAATAGAGAAAACTACCTATTTCCTATGATGCAATAATTCCCATTATTTTTCTCCGTGTATGTACAGCATAAATATTTGAAATCAATTACAGTTCTCATTGCCTGCCGCCGTTTTTGCCATTTCATAACCACAACAAAAAGGCCGAGAGACAAACGATCGATGCGATCTCAGCTGCAGCTGACAGTAGTTTATTTGAGTTTATGCAATAGATCGATTGCCCAGACCCCTGCAGCCCACTTACTGGAGGAAAACTGAGGGAAAACTATATAGAAATAGCGGAGGATGGAGGTGGAGACCTTAAATGAACTCCTCAAGTGATCTTCCTTTGCCGCGATGTTGGTGGGCTACTGGAGAAGTGGCTAAAAATAATTTGAGGAAGCCATCGGAGATGCTATCTTGAGAGCAGCTCATGAAAATGGTTTTCAAAATGTTTGACATTAATCTAAAGTTTTTGAAAATGTCGTACTAATTAAAGAGGTGGATATTCGTTTGATCATTAAATAGCTTTATAAATTAGTAGACTTTTTGATAAGCATAATCAGTTAATACAAATTTTAAAAGATAGCAACTTTATATATAATCTTTGTGCAAAATAAGTTTAACTTTTATTACAATATAAACAAATCAAGATAATCTTGGTAAAATAAATTATTGTTAAGTAACTCAAACGCCGGCTAATGCAAATATTATTCTGTTAATGACCATAAACTTGGCTGGCAAACAGAGTGAAATCACGTGCTCGTAATAAAGCCATTCGGTTGAGAAGCAGATAGCTGAACTAGATAGCGATTAAAGGATCCCAAAAGCAGGAAAGTCATGAGGAACGGGGTCAGGCTAATGAGTTGGCCTGGCCATTATCCGTCTATAAGGAAACTTGCGTTGTGGCCAACCGATCGACTCTCGTTCTGGTTAACGGACAAACGGCTTTATTTGGCCAATTGGGTGAAGCGGCGACAACCTTGCCACTCGGAACACTTGACCGTAAATAGCAGACACCACACAAAACTATGTCGCGCCGAGATAGATACAGATACAATTGAAGATACAGGTACAGGTACACATTTGCAGGTGACTATGACTATGGAGATACAAAATGCCTCTGCAGATACGAATACACCCATGTGCTGTATTAATTGCTGCCGCTCTGCTCAGGGCAAACCACATATTGGCCAACAACTTTAGGCCGTTGCCTTATAAACAATAACCACAACAAGTTACTTAGCCACCTTGTGTCTTATTTACCACTTTCCTGACTTCGTTGTCGCCTTTTGTTTTCTGAGTTAGCACACAATTATCTCATGAGGCTGCAGAATGGAGTCAGGTAATTTTAAGCTTTTAACGTAGACCTTTTAAAACTTTTTCAGTAATGCCCTTCGGCAGCTGGGTAGTGCTCCACGGAGAACCCAGAAAATCACTCTCAGATTGGCGACTCTTCGGGGAAACGGAATCGCATGCCCTGATAGGCAATACTATATGAAGTTCGAACATGGTGCAGATAGTACTATCAATGTGTCCCGAGCAACGCAGTATATATAGATTTATTAGCTCGCATTATGTCACAAACATTTCAAAAATGTAATTAAAGTCTAAAATTGATTAATCTAGTAATTATGGAAAAATATATATTTAATAGGTTTATTTTTAAAATACATTTTTAATAGTTCTGATGAATTAAAATACATACAAAACACTTACTCTTTATTTAATAATATTAAATTGGTAAGAAATTATAAGACATTATAAGAGATTTAACCCAAAAAGGGAAAGAAGGTCCGAATTTTGGAAATAAAGTGTCCCACTTGTGAGATTTCGCCTCTCTACCAGATTAATATAATACTTATAAATGATGTTATACCCAAAAAATCCCATATTTACTGTTTTTGAAGACTAGAAATACTGGACCGTTTTTAGTTTTAATTTTAAAAACTTCTATCTTACAGATTCAACTTCATTAGTTTTCTTGGAGATACTTTTCACTGATAACATTTTTTGCTACCTCAAGCTGACAAAGAGCATTCAGAGTTCATCCAACTTGGGTTAGAAGTCGCTCGGTGCTAAGTTTTTGTTCTGCACTTTTATCTATGTATCTATGTATCTGTATCTTGAAGTGTCGCCTCTTCTGGGGCAGGGTCTAACCAAATTCCGTCTCTGTTTGCGTCTGTTTATTGAATTGTAAACATTTTTAACGCTGCATTTAAATAATTTTGGTTGCTTTTAAGTGCACTTAGCGCGGCAGCTCTTCATTTGTTTTCGTATCTGTAGCCGGGCGTGTGTATATATGTGTATATGGATTATAGAGTCAGGGTCTCATGGCGAAGAAAGAAGTGCAAACGGCCAAAAGGCCATTCACACACGTAGCCAGATGCTGTTCCCTGATAGCCTGTTCGCCTCGCCACTCTTTCACCCAGCCACTCTCTCTATCGATGGTACGTATCTGCAGCTCGACCTCAACTCGGGTATTCAGTCTTCGAACTGTCTTCAGTTTTCAGTCCCCATTTTCCCACTCCTCCTATAACAATCCAGCTAACGTGCGAAAAGTCTAAGCAGACTAGCACTGGGTCCCACAATACACAGAAAATATATCAGAAATATTTCTAAATAATTTAAAATAATATATGTGATATAACCTTGGTAATATTTAGGTAGACTTACCAATTTGTATTACCAATTTACATGGCTATTCCTTAACAATTGACTCACGTCTTTAAATAATTGAGTAACAAATATGTCAGTTCACATAGATTTAGTAATTAGAAATACAATTTTTGATATCTTCAGGAAATAACTTCTGGAGATTTTAAAGATATTAATTACTCCAAATCTCAGTATGAAACTTGTACCACTAGTTGTCTATTTATTGTATCATCATAATGTTCTCTAAAAAAAATGGTTAAAAATACCCAATCATTAAATTTTTCTAATATAAAATGAAATAACGAAGTAAGACCCCAATTTAGCTTTCGCATTGGATTTTCGCAGAGTGTTGCACTGAGACTATGAGATTAGCACGGTCCATCAACTTTGTGGGTTCAGAAAAGCTATCGCTTCAATCCAACGGCCAACTTGAATAGAGTGAATGTATTGGGTGAGGCGGGAAATATGTTTTTTTTTGCCATTTGTCAGGGGGTCAGGCTCTCGAAGAGGAGGGCCCATTAAATTTTCCGCCTCAAAGTCGAAAACTGCCCCAGATAGATTTAAATGGCCCCCAGTGCAATGTGACACTCTGCGCCACTCCATCGGCTATTTATCAATGAATCTCTGCGACTGCAACGCTATCTTGTGGCGATTGAAATGAATGGTCGTTTAGCATTCTGAATGGATATTTACACGCTCCTCAAGATAGGGGAAGTGGATGCGTGCTGCGAGAACAGTGGAATATCTCTACTCACAGATTAACATGTCACGGGATTATCTTCAGGAAAAACTACTCTACGCTGCCAAAAAACATACAAACCAAAGTGGTGATCTTATGAAATTTGGGAGCTAAACAACGACTTAATTCTTGCCAAATGGTATCCGGGAAATGCATACTGATAAGAGTAACATGTGAAAATTAAACAAAATATTTTATCAATCGTTTTTCTTTAGAAAAAAAAGAAATAGTTTTATAATAAGTCCACCAGCATCACATATATTTAAGCAAATTTGAAGATAGCAGCATGCATTCCGGCTCTTTTCAGATTATGTGCCAACAAGCTTCATAAAACATAAGGCACGCTTAAATCTCACTTAATTCACTTATCTCAAATGGGGCTAAGCTTAAAGCACATTTCTCCTAATGAAGATAATTTATTGAAAAGAAAATCATAGAAGAAAATGTCAAGGGGGTCGTTTAAAGATAAAGGGAAATGAATGACCCTATTAACAACTTGACTTGGTGAACGAGTACAAGTACAACTAATGTTACGAGAAATAATAACCAGTTGATCGTAAATCTCTCAACATATTGTTAACATCTTTGTCTTATATTATGAGTCTTGCAACTGGTTATCTTCTATATTTGTAATATCCCTTAATAGTAATTTTTGGATGGTATACACTTATTTATTTATTTAACAATTTTTTTAATGAAATCTAGTACACAAAGTAAACCTAATGCATGTACTAGGGCTGCCAAAAATTCGTTAGTAATTAAAAAAAAAGGATTTAGATTGGAATTTTCCTACTTACTTGTGCAGATTGCTGTAGAAATTACTGCGACCTTTGTGCATCGCAATGCTGAACCCGAACATGGAGTTCCTGGACTGCCGGAAACGGACGTAACTGGGCAGATCGATGTTGTAGCCATCGGTGGACACGGCGATCAGCAGGAGGATCAGGATCAGCGACAGGAGCTGACCCATCCGCTGGTGGAATGAATCTCCACTCATTTTAAACGACTTTCTTTCGGTGAGTTCTTTCTTCTGCTTTTTTACTTTCTTTCGAATGGGTTTCGTTGGACTTGCATCGAGAACTTGCCACTTTTACGCTTGCATCTTCACAGCTGTCGATCGAGATCGAGAAGTATTATAACATATGGTCAAAAGAGATGCACACACACACGCGGCTTTATTTATTATATAAACTCAACCTTGGCCGAAATGCGTTGAGATTCCAAAACGGCAAAAGCACAGAAAACAAAAAAAAACCTTATTCTTTAACTCAGCAAATACAGTGTCTCCGGTTTGTTTTTCTCAAAACCAAGCTATCTTGGCCTTGGTAAATCACGAGGTGGGCGAGGTAGTTCGGGCTGGTCGGATGTCAGGGCAATTACGGGTATTCCAAATAGGTCTTTATTACACGGTTCAGTTTCTTTTCACATTACTCGTCGCTTTTCAATGCCAAAAATCCAATAAACTCTATTTTGTGTCTTGCAATATGTTTTGTTATGTCAACATTTTCTATTATTATTATTGTAAGATTAGCATTTTTTTTGGTCATTTTATTTGTTGTTTCTTAATAGAAATGTTTTCACAGAAAGAACTCTGTCAGCGCAGCATTAGTTTTAGGGTATCAGCTTGTTCGTTTATTTATCTTAACCAAGATAAGTTTGAAATCTGATTGGTGAGACAATTTTGACGGTTTCTTGTTTGCTCTTTTGTGCCGAGTGCTTAGATTTTGGCGGTTTCTGCGCTCAGCATCCCAATGGTGACGTAATGGGCCGTCAAACAGGTTGCCCGAAATAACAAAATAACGGCCAAAGACAGCACACTTTTAGCCAGGTTAAGACCAGCCAGCACTTCCCACACAAATTAAATGTATGTGAAACTTTTTCGAAGCGAACTTTCAAAGAACATTGATGAAAAGCAACAATAGTAATAAAAAAAAATCTTTAATATAGTATTTCAAAATATCAGTGATTTTTTTTCTCTGTCGAAAAAAAGACAAGTTGTAGGCGGTGTGCAGGTGACATTTGACACATTTTCCACCATACATAATGCCTAGTTTTTCCGCCGAGTGTGGGCGACTTAAATTCATTGATAGGCGACTGCCATTCATAGACACGAAAATGACTTATAATTAAAAAAAAAAAAAACAGAAATTTACTGTAGAACACACCATGTGGTGTAGGCATTTTAACGATCATACAATCTAATTGATCATGACAATGACTTCATACTATATATTAATTCATATGTATGTATTATTTATACGTCGAACTAGTGGCAAAATGAGACTACCAATATATACAAATCTTTGTATTGTATTTGAAAAATGTTCGAAAGAGAATTTTAACACTTTTCTATTTCTTGTTCATTAATTTAAGGTAATTAGTTGCAGTCTTTGCTGGAATCGCCATACAATCTCGCCAAGATGGTTTAGATATGAATACGAAAAAAACACATCAAATTAGTGGAAAAAACAAAACCGATCGTTCATCTAAAAATAAATAAAACTAAGTTGTATGCTGTGTGCTACGCCCAGCAGAGTCCGTCTATGTATATCTAGGTGTATATATAGCCGTGCATATACAGATCTTTACACTGCACAAAAAAAAGGAGGCAATACAGCTGAGACATCAGTGCGTTGTTTCACTTTGTTGATTTCAGCTATTTGCAGTTTTTAAACACATTTTTGTTTATTTCGTGAGTGCACTTTTCACTGGTGCTTCATCACTTGAAAAAAATGTTTAAAACAAATTTTAGCGCGTCGCGTGTTTGCGTTTTTAGTATCTCTTTTTGTTGGTAATTAGTTAAGTACACTTTTATTTTTATTTTAAATTATTTTTTTTTGCTCTACCTCGGCAGCGATCTCAGCGAGATTTAAAACACGACTAAGGAGAGCGAGCTAATGACGCCAAATATCTGTAAGTTACATCTTAGCGCAGCCATAGATACATAGGTGAACTGCTCGCGCCAGATCGCCTACTCATTGGAGACTCTATGGACTAGAGACTCTAGAGACTCTAGATACTCTAGAGACTCGGGAGAGTGGAATACAATCTCAAAGCTCTCTAACAACCAAATTATAGCAAAAGTTTATTTATTCATCATCTACAAATGTGCGAGCATCCCACTCGAAAATATATTCAAAGGTGTGTTTCGTGTGGGAAGGCTGTAATTTCCGTTAGAGAATGTTTTTCTACCATTTCAGTTGTTATTTCGGTTGGCATAAACGCATGAATGAATTGAAAAAATAAGTTTACTTTGCACCTAAATAACATACGGTCAGTATTTAATATAAATTTAATCTATTTGCTACGATATTTTTCCTATTCAGAACGTTTTATTTAAAAACCTAACCAAATTTATGTTTATGAACTATAAGTATTTATTTAAGAATTAGAAAATGTCCAAAACTATTATTTTTGAAATTTTTTTTCAAATTTTAATCTTTAGAACTGTTCTTTTATTTAGAATATGCAATACAAAAACTTGTATATATTTTAGACTTTTTAACCCAAAGAAATAAACATTCCATTGATAAATTATTAAACATTAACTGCTTTTTAAACAACTTTTTTTTGTAAAAAAAATCTGCAAAATCAACATTTTCTTGATTGCCTTTGCGCACATTCATTTTCCCTCGAAACTAGAGCAGCACATGAAAAAAAGTTCGCTCATTATCCCTATGGTTTTAATTCGCAATCGCTAGATCTCGTAATCTATTGCAATCCGACTATCCAGGCATTTGGCCGGCAATCCGAGGCAGAGCAAAATGCATTGCAAGTTAATAAAAACAAACACTGAGCACTCGGACTTCACCAATATTTGCACACAAATAGCTTCGTTTCGCCTTTCAATTACCATCGATTGAATTAGCATACGCGAATGGATTTAGATTTTGAATTGAAATCGAATCCGGCGCCCGTTAAGTTTTCGTTTCGATCGTGAGAGCTCCGCACTCACATCAGCCAAGTTTCGCTTCACGCGACCGAATGCATGGTTCGCAATTCCATTCAATGCGGCCGTTCAATCCGAGTGCGGCGTTGCCAGACCGTGTGCGGTTTTAAGGGTGAGCGAGAAATAAAAATTTGAATGCTCTAAATATTGAAACTGAATTTGTTAAACAATATGTTCCAGATAAACAAAGTAAGGAAAAGTAAATAGATCTTGAAACTGATTTATATTTTTAATGTTTTATTTATTTTAAACGCAAAATGTTGTATTGCACTTTTTTAATCGTTATATTTAATATTTTATTTTATTTTCTTACTCTTATCGTCTTGTCTAATTTAAAAGTCTTTGGTATACAATGTTTTTGTTTCATTGTTATTATGTTATTTGAAAGCAAATATATATTGAATATTTAGTGTTAAAGCGTGTTCAAAATATAATAAGCAGCGCATTTTAGTGCGTCTTAACAATTTTCACTTTTGTGATGGAATTCTATAGTTACAAGGTATATACAAAAAAAACAGAGCGGCGAGCCTAACAAAAAAGTGCAAATAAACATGACATACAAGATTAACTATGAAGAATTAAATTTCGAAATGGTGATTAAAGGTTATAAGATTTAATTTTTATCAACTTTTATTTTGAGCATTGAAAATACCATTATAGCATATCCGTAATCCGTTTATTTGGATAAGTAAGAAAAATATTGAAATCAAAAATAATTTTTTTAACAGTACTGTAAAGAGTTACCATACTTTCACACAAAACAGTCGCTGCCAGATCGCCCAGAGACCAATCGTTATTTTTACAATAACTGGCGGCGTTAGATGCTTTAAACTTTCTAACAAGTTACTATAGTTCATGTCGGTACTAGTTATATAAAAATCACGGGACTAGATAGAAATTTAGCTTCAAAACAAGGAATTTTTATTATGGTTCATGTATTGGTTACCCAGTTGGTCTGCCACAATCTTTGTGGTATTTTTTTCAGGTGTATTGCTCGGTCACACTGGCAGATTACGCGACCGAAAGAAGTCTGCGTTTTCCCGATTAAATTGTCTGGTTTCTTGTGAGGAAATCGCCGACTTAGCCAGCCAGAATGATGCAAAAGGTGATCCGTCAGATGGCCCAGCTGCGCTTGCAGGCGCCGCCGGGAGCAGCGCTCCTCAAAACCGGGGAAGCCCCGACCGCCATGCTGAGCCACCAACATCCACCTGCCTTCCAAGTGAAATCCCTGCACACGGCTGCTTCGGCCGGATTCCTGTGTGCCAAGTGGAACAAGTACAACTACGGACCCCGGAAATGGCTGGAATACAACAAGACAGTCCATCCGCCGCAGGAAACGGACGAGGAGCCCAGGAAGGCTGTAAGGAAAACGGTTAACTGTCTAACAATTCACATATAATCCTAGACAAAACCCACTTTCAGTACGTCTGCCACATGCGAAACAATATCAAATACAGCCCGGACAAGATGTGGTACATCGCCGCCTTTGTTCGCGGCATGTCCGTTGATGAGGCCCTAAAGCAACTGAACTTTGTGCTCAAAAAGGGAGCCACCGATGTCAAGGAGACCATTCTGGAGGCCCAGCAAATGGCCGTGGAGCGACACAATGTGGAATACAAGAGCAATCTGTGGATAGGTGAGCAGGCCATCTCAAAACACGGCTTAAAATTAGGGTTTTGGAAGAGATTTTATCCCAGGAAATGGATCTGCACATAATTTGGTCTGGTTTATTAATCTAAAAATATACACTAATACTTGATGCTCTGTAGAAGTTTATTCATCCGAACTATCTTTAATTTACATTTTTTGTTCGTTTTGCTAATAGATCGTATTACCATTTGTAAAGTTCCCAAAACATTCGCTATGTCCTGTTTGACAAGAATGGGATTAACCATCTTTGAGGTAGCATAAATAAGTAAAAGCTTTTCCATGTTTTTGTCAAATTCACGTTGCATTTTCAGTCTTCATATCATTAACATAAATAATTATCTTCTACACGACTTAACGTTGTACCTTTTCGAAGCTTTTTTTTAAACGTGTACCTTTTTTTTATAAAATGTTTAAATTAGGGCTTAAACGAGAAGAAAACTTGCAATGTTTGATTGGAACAGTACAACTTACTAGCTATATTCGTAGTAAAAATCAGTATTAGAGTTATTCATTGATTTGTTTCTCTTTGCCTTACAGCCGAATCCTTTGTGGGGAAGGGACGCGTCTTCAAGGGCGTGAGGCGCCACGGCCGCGGTCGCTTTGGCCAGGTGGAGTACAAGCACTGCCACTATTTTGTGAGACTGGAGGAGGGAGAGCCCCCGCAGCACTACTACCAGGAGCCACAGACGCCAGAACAGCAGTACGAGCACTGGCTGGAGCAGATGCGCAGTCGGAAGATCACCAACTCACTGTAGCCCCGTCACGTCGTACTTCCATATTATCGACCCAAACTTTTCCAATCCTCCTTTGCCATCGCGTCCCCACATATAAGGCATTTTTTGTTTTTAGAAGGTTGTTTAATAAAAAGAATAACAATAGAAAAAATCAAAAACATAAAATGTTATCACTTTGGTTAGGTCTTTGAGCTTTTAATTAAACGATTTTTAGGGGATTTTAAATAAAACTTTTTTATTTTGAATTTTTGGTTGTCAAACTAAATAAATAAATAATATATCCTTAATTCCAAATATTAATGGGCTCTAACTCTGCATATTTACAAGGAATCCATCGTTTTTCTCCAGGGTTTTAAAGATTTTCACAGGTTAATAAATAATAATGTCAGGGAATGGAAATCTTACAATACTAAGTATAGGTATTAAGGAGATGAGAAAATTCGCTCCTGGCGGCAAACAATTTAATTCTTTCTAGGCAAGTTAAAGCTTAAAATAAAAAAGGAATAAATTAATGATTTATTAATATCTATAAGTAAACTGGTTCATACTAATCTTTATGCTCGCCCTGAATATTTTATTGGTTTATTTGGTTTTACATAATTTGTTGTTTTAGAGTGTTTTATTTTTGTTTGTTTTGACTATGTTGATTTCTCGCGGCTTGATTTCCAATCTTATACAATTTTCTTTTGTATATTTACAGCCTCTGGTCATTTCTATATTCTTTTAATAATTTTCTAGTGTTTGCCTAAACGTTTTTAATGTCACCTTCCCTCGCTATTCGTTTGTAATCCAAATTCCATTACTCTTGCTCCACTTCATCCTCATCAACCAGGGTCTGCGCCAGCAGCTCCTCGATGGGATCTTCTTTGAGCGATTGGGTGACCTTCTCCAGGGCCATCGGCTGTCTTTCGCGCACCGCTTCCTCGTCATCCTTGTCCAGTTGCAGGCAGGCCAACTTGGATAGTCGGGAATGTTTGCTGCGCCCGGCATCGCGTCGTCGCTTGCGGGGATTGGAATTCAGCCGCTCCTTAACGGCCTGTTTCTTCTCCTTCTCCTTCTTCTTCTTGCCATCCTTGTGATCCCTGAGAAGATGTTTGGACAAATTCTGGGCACTGCTAAAGCAGCGTCCACAGTCCACGGCCTGGCACTCGAAGCGCCTTCCCGAATGGGAGGTGAGCATGTGCTGGCGAAGATTCCTCAGATACGAGTAACTCTTGCCGCAACCCTCTTCTGTGCAGGTGAACGATGTACTCTCTTCCTCCGCCGCCGCCTCCTTGTGCTTTACCTCGATGTGGCGCTTCAGGTCGCTGGGCTTGTCGTAGGCGCAATCGCAACGCTCGCATCTGTGGCGATTCCGGCCGTGCAAGGTGTCGCGGCAGTGCTTCGTGTACAGCGACCACTTGTCGAACTTCTGGGGGCAACCGGGGCACTCGTACTGCTTGCAGCTGCCCTCGTGGCTCTGGCACTGCCACTCCTGGTAGAATCCCCGCGAGCACTTGGCGCAGCTAAACGGATACTCCTGCGTGTGCTCCCTGATCTCGTGGCGCTTCAGCTTGAGTTTCTGCGAGAACTTGGCGCTGCAGTGACTGCACGGATAGACCCGTGGACTCTCGTGCGTTTCGCGCATGTGACGCGTCATGTTGCTGACCGAGATGAACATCTTGCTGCACTCGTCTAGGGAACACTTAACTGTTTTCTTGGCCGCCGCCTCCGGTCGCTCGTGGGTGCTTCTCAAATGGCGCTTCAAGTGCGTCACTATGGAGTACGTCTTGTCGCAGCCCTCGTACGAACAGGCGTGCTTCTTCTGCAAGGATCGTGGGTTATTGGCTACCCCATAAGGATCGAAAAACCCTACTTACAAGCCCGGTGTGGTGATATTCATGGCGGTCCAATTGGTCCAGCCGCTTGAAGGTGGCCTTGCATTTCGGGACGCTGCAGGTGTACTTGGCCGATCCGCCGCTGTTGCGACGCTCCTGGCGCTGCTTGAACTCCTCCAGAACGGTTTCCATGTCGCTATCGCTAGCAATTTGCGTTCCAGGCGGCATTTTCGGAATAGTTTCTAAAACAATCTCGTTTCAAACAAAATGTGACAGTCTGGCCAGTGTTGGGCAATGCAAATAGTGAGCTAGTGATGGCACTGCGGCAAACACACCACGTTAGCGAGTACTCCCACCACAATTTTAATAAGTACACCTCACTTAGCAAGTGCACCCTCCACACGTACCATATTGTTAGTGTTTCAACGCCTGCCAGCGCTGGTCACACCAAAACGAAAACGTCGCAAACACAAAGCGCAGAGAAAGAGGGAAAAACAGAGAAACGGAGGAAAACAGAGGAGCAGTAGGGCAGCAAAGCACAGTGCAGAAAAGAGCAAAGGAACTCCGATTGTGGACAGGATGAACAACGGATTCAGCACCGGCGAGGAGGACAGCCGCGGGCACACGGACCAGACCTGCTGCCTGATCGACGACATGGAGCGGTGTCGCAACCAAGCCGGCTACGCCAGCTACAGCAAACGCATCCAGAAGACGGTGGCCCAGAAGCGACTCAAGCTCAGCAGTGATCCTGCGGCGCAGCACATCTACATCTGCGACCATCACAAGGAGCGCATCCAGTCCGTGCGGACCAAGCGGCGCCGCAAGGACAGCGAGGACGACAGCAACGAGACGGACACGGACCTGCACGAGTTCCCCGATCTCTACCAGCTGGGCGTGAGCACGCTGCGTCGCTACAAGCGCCACTTCAAGGTCCAAACGAGGCAGGGCATGAAGAGGGCGCAGCTGGCAGATGTGAGTTTACACTAGAATATGACAGTTCGCGGTTAGAGCAAAAACCAGGGAAAGCTAAGGTCTTGATTCCACGTATCGGTGGTGTTCTCTTTTTATGAAGTTACTTAGCAAGTGATATTAGTTCATTCAGCACAAAAATATAGCAGTTGAGATCAATTTGTGATCCAAATTGGTTTACATATTCCCTAAAATACAGAGTGATTTTTTTAGAGGCTTTAATCAATACAATCTAGGTGAAATTATTTAATCCATGTTTTTCTGGTTCTATATTTACTTCTCTGGGATTGGCTTAACCTGTATTTGCTGAATAAGTTTTTTTTAGTACCCAAGTTAATGTTTTGAAGCAGGCGAATGAGAGTATTCACTGGATAAAGTACTTAAGAAAACAAAACCATTTGAAACGTATATTTTAGCCCATTGTCTATATAATTCAACGCTTTATTTTAATGTCTTGCCTCTTTTCGTTTAGACCATTATGAAGCACTTCAAGACAATACCCATAAAGGAAAAGGAGATCATCACGTTCTTTGTGTACATGGTGAAGATGGGCTCGAATAAGCTGGACCAGAAGAACGGCCTTGGCAACGACACCACCTGAAGGCGCGTCGGCGGGCGGAGGGAGGAGGAGGACGCCGACGACGTTTACTCCTTCTAACGCTGGCCAACCGCCAGTTAATACTTCTCACATTGTTGCTGCATTTGCTGGACGTCGGCATTGTTCACCCAAAAAAGGAAAACGAAAATACTGATAGCGAAATGTCCTTCTCATCTCTAACCCCCAACCTACACCACCACCACTGCCCAAAATCCTTTCAACTCCCAGGATAAAAAGATATTGAAAAGAAAACTGCAATGAAAAATCGTAAGGAAAAAGGCAACTGGTGCTCCCAAAAAATAGTTTAGCAAGATAAAAGTAATCTTAACCTAAAACAAAAAAATTTACAAACTAATTGTAGCCTTGGTCCGTTGTTAATAGCTCTTTATACACACATTACATTAAATAAACTATGTAAATTTACAAGAGAATTAACAAAAAAACACACAACACTGAATCTAATAGCAATTCGTATTCTTAAGCTTAAAGACACGGCGACGCTAATGTTGTTCATTTAATCGTTTGTATTATAGATCAAATTAAGTGGGGAGGGCTAAACAATAAACAAAACACCAATAAATCATAAATGAATCGAAGCACAATTAGATTACAATAAAAAAATACAAGCCAACAAAATATCACTGTAAAAGATTAAGTGAAACAATCTGCAATATAAAAACTTAAACATCGTCTCGTTTGCCCCGTCGGGTTGGAAATATATTTTAGAGCTCTAGTTTAAGCCTAACTAAGACGAACATCGGTTCCATAAATCAATTGGAATTCCGCATTAAACGATTTCTGTTAAAGCCTAGACTGATTTTAGCCATACATTTAAGCCTAAATAAAACTTAATAGAAAGCATTTTCACTTAACTACATGACTATGATATCGGCTAGATGACTTGCTTGGCTTCCTCCTCCGAGTCGCTGTGATCTGGAAGAGTTTTAGGGCGTTATTAAATGGATATTGGTTTAAATTTTGCTTGCAAACACACCTTGTTTTTTCGGTAATTTCTTTTTAGTGCCTTTGCTTTTGCTGCGATTTTGTTTGCCCTTGCCTGCTTTCGAACTAGATGCCTCCGACGGTGTGGGCAGTTCCTGGGAGTCCTCATCCTGGGGCAGCCAACTACTGGAGTCCATTGGGATGTCTATGAAAAGGTAAATCAAACATGAGTTTATTTGAATTTACCCAAATAATCTTAAACACCAGCTCACCTGTCTCCTGTTTGGACGACTCTTCCTTTGTCTTAACCTCCTCGACCTCTGGTTTTGCAATGGGTTTATTATCCACTTCCATTTTTTCATTAATCGGAGCCTGAAGTTCCTGATTTTGCTGGCCCATTAGTTTCCTGAAGCTCAGTTTGTGTGCCGTTTCTCCTATGAGACCCACCAGTCCCTGGATCAATCGACTACCCTGCAGTCGGCGCTCTTCGTCCATCGACAATGCCTTGCGTATGAAATCTACAATGGCCTTGGCACGAGTCGCTGCATTGCGAGCACATTGCATGATAGTTCGGACATTTGTAGGTGCAGTGCCTCCGGCATTCAGGGTGCACAACTCCTGGTATGAGTTGAAGCTCAGGACAATCACGGAATCGGCGGCGTTCTCCTCGAGCAACGTGGGATCCACTATTGGCTGGCCGCTGCTCTTGTAAATGCAATAGGTAACACTCACGGGATAGTGGAGGAATAGCAGGGGAATGAATTCCCGCTCCTTCTCCGTATAAATACGCAGTTCATCGTCCGCAAACGTCACGTCTGGTCGACGGAAATGCATCAAAGCAGCCAACGTGGCTATGGTGCTGGCATCTGTAGAATACAGTCGGGATTTAGTGGTGGAAATAGTTAAATAATTAATTAGTCAACAATTAAATAATAATTAAATGTACAAAATTGCACTTCTAAACCCATAACTTTTCTCACAGAAATCCGATTAAACTTATGGTTTAATTCCCTAAAAATGCATTTAAAACTTGGTTTTTAGTTTTTGTTCGATTTTGTTGTAAGTTTGTACGATGTATTCGAAAAAACAGCTGCAAAGGCATATAAACTTCGTCTTGTCGAAGTTGGCTCCCTTTCTTGTTAAAGATAGTTTAGAGAAGACCCTCAAGGATGACTTTATCTTATAGCTTTGTACAAATAATCCGACCGATTTTTAAGGTAATGCTGTCTGAAATTGATAATCTTATCATATTATATATCCCACGTGAACTTACCATACAGATTCCCGTCGTGATTGAGCACATTGATGTCCACCCGGATGCACCACACATGCTGCTCGGCAGCCACGCACAGGGACTCCAGGTCGACGCACCTGGAACTGCGAAAGGTTCTCTCGAGCAGGGAGTTCAAAGTGAGGGATCGCTGGTCATGCGTGGTCTGAACTTCGTCTAAAAAAGCAACGCCGCCAAGGTTCACGTTCAGCTGAAGCTTGCCCTCGTTGGGCCGGGATGTGGTCGGTGCTCCTAGGTCGCAGGTCACGTGGGTCAGGACCTTTGTATCACCCAGGGACACCGCCACAGTGCCCCAATCCGCGCCGAAGGTCAGCACCACATCACGGCAATCGTTAGAGCGCCGGCCGTCGAAGCGCTGGTTCTGCTTCACCGCCAACTGGACAAAGTTTCGCTCCGGCTTTGATTTGCCCGGCTCGAACAGATTGGAGTTCATAAACATCCTATTTTTTGATGAATCGCACTTTGTTTTGGATTCGGATTGGCCGGCTTTTAAAAACGTGCTGACAACTGGAGCGGTGTTGCCACGTTGTGCAAAAAGTTCTCATTTTGAACCTGGTTCCGAAGGAATTGGAACTATTAAAATGCGTTATAAATATTTTACGATTTGATAATTTTGCAGTAAACGGTTGATATTCCTGAGAAAACTATAGTTTTTTTTTGAAAAATGTATACCCTTTGTGGGCAGGCACTTTTTTAATATATTAATAATGATATCTGAACTTAAGATTATATTTTTGTTACGCCTATGTTAGGTACACACAGCTGACATAATTCCAGTTCTTTTTCTGGTATTTTTCAGAACCTATTAAAAAAATAGTTTGTAAATGCCTTTAACATGTACGCTGGAAAATTTAATTAATACGATTAATATGTGTTAAATATGTGCTTATGCATACAAGGTATATCAGATGGCAACGTTTACAAAAAAATTTCTCACTGGTTCACTAATGAACTACAAACTAGGGTACCACAGAATCATGGATTTAACAGGTAAAATAACTTTTAAGTTAAAATTGGTTCACGTCATTGTTATCTAGACCATTAATTAATATTTATTTTAACACATAGCGTACCAGCTGAAACCCTTCAAATTTAACAAATCGATTCTAACCGGAATATTTTAACTTAAGTTATTTAAATATAATTTGTGAACGTACTAGTTTATGGCATTACTTACTGCAGTGACAAAAATTCCTACTGTTCAATTAATATTTTATTTTGTACTCGTAACTTGTGAACCAGTTCAGAATTATTTAATAATTACTTATCGCCTGTAAATAAATTCCTTTCTTTTTATATTAATCCTCGCTTGGCGATAACCATATTAATATTTAAGAACCCTAATTTCGTGACTAGTTCACCAGTCCAGAACTTGCTATTGAAAATCGAACTAGAATCCCAGCGTTCGCTTGACAGCTCTCGCCCATCTGGCAACGCCGTCGCTGAGTGTGAGTTCTTTTTTGTGCTGGTTTACAACATAAAAGTGCTGCTTGCTCGTCGTATGGGAAATAAATAAATTAAAATCATTTACAACTGGGCGGCCAGAGGAACACTCGGCTTAGAAGGACGGTCAAAACCGCAGATTACCAACCGATTTCCTGGTAATTCCAAAAGCAAAACCAAGAGTGGTCCAAAGTGCGTGTGTGTTGGTGCGTTTCGCGTGTGTGCCAGTGTGTGTGCGTGTGTCGTCGTAGCAGCAGCAGTAGAAGAAGAAGCAGCAGCTGAAAAGGAGAAGCGGAAGAAGAAGAAGACGGTAGTCCAGGCATTTGCCGGAACGGGAAAAAACCCGTAACTTGGAACAACTCGCCCGCAGGATATAGAGAGAGAGAGTGCGTCGCCGGAGAGAAATGCAACAACAACCGGAGTCGGGCGGCGAGGAGAGCTGGCTTGAGGAGCAGTGTCACCATGAAATCCACGGTCAGCACGACGAGTTCGAACGGGAATATGTCCGTCAGCGGGACAACAACCTGAGCACCGTGTGGGGAGCATTCCAGGATTCGGCCACCGCAGTTGCTCAGCTGTATAGAGGTGAGATCCCGTTATCCCTTCCAAGGGCGTAGGCTTCCATGCTTTTTTGTTAGTGTTCTTTGTGTTTCCATTCTATCCGTGTGTCTGTCTGTCTAGTTGTGTGTGTGCAGTCTCTCTTCAAAAATAGTTTTGGGCGAGGTATTAATAGAACAGCAAGAAGAGGAAGAGCAAGAAGCAGAGGCAGCAGCCCGGCTTTCATGAAAATGCAACTTTCCTTCTCGCTCACTCCGTATACTACGCATTATCAAAATGCAGAAAGGGCTCAAGTGTTGTTGTTTTGGTTGGGGAAGGGGAAAATGCAATAGAATAGACGGGGAGCAAGAGAGAGGGCTTGCAAAGACTGAGACGGCGAGAGAGGCAAGTGCAATGGCAATAGAATAAGAAGAAAAGGGTAGAGTCGTCGCCTTAAAGAATTTTCATTCCCCCAATTTGTTGTCCTTGCCTCTTTTGTTGTTGTTGATATCATTAATCAACATGTGCGTGCAGAATCATCTGTATGTCTGTGTAGGTCGAACAGCTGTTTTGCTTTCGTCATTATTTTAGGATGGCGAAATAATATTAATCTTTCTCGCTTTTCGCTTTACTATTGTTGTTTTTATTTCTTTGCGAATTATTTCGATAGCCTGTAGCCATCCCTCTTGCACCGCTTTCCTGCCCTTCCTCGGGGTCGATAACAGTTTTTCCCCTCCTTCCTTTCTCTCTCGTCCTTTTTCGTCCTTTCGTGCAGCAGGTGTGCAAGGAGCAATAGACAATAGAAAAGTAAAGGATCGACAATCCGGACATGTTTGTTTTTGTTGTTCGCATTCCACCTAGAAATGGTTTTCGCAAGGATCTTAAGTCGGCCATTTTCTCATGCCTCTGTGTGGAAAACTATATGGTGTACCCACCAAAATGTCGTATTCAATATGATTTCGTCAAACGTTGCAATACTGAAAATTAGATATCGACTCAAATATTGAATTTAAATGGAAAAAATACATTTTGTAAACATCAATAATATTGACCAATAATTATATCAAACTTCGTAAATATAATGTTGAAAAGGTCGCATCATTGCTATAAGATCAACATTTTAAAATCAGGATTTTAAACCACAAAAGATGTTTTATTTATATGCTTGTTTTTGCGACCTTTTTTAATAGTCAACTTTACGACGTAAACCCCTGCTTGGTTAAAAAAACACAAAATTTAAAAAATTGTTTTCACCTTTAAGTAAGCAAATTATCATTAGTAAAGAAATCTTTTATATGTAAGTGCTTCAGATATAATATAGATTTTGTTTGTTAACATACAAATTTAGAATTCAAAATAACAATTGTAACTATTTGTAACCTTTGGAAATGTTAAAATGAAGGCTTTTTCTCTGTTAAAGCACACAAAGATTTAAGACTATAACGATTTCGGTATTTTTTTTTGGTTTTTTTCAGAGCGCTCATCGAACACATTTTCCTCAGACACAGGCGCCCTTTGGCTGCCCTTCCAGACCGCAGCTGGCACTGTGACAACACTCTACAAAGGTAAGTTTAAGTCTTCCATTTGAAGAATGCATGCATAACTAATCCATGTCCTTCGATCCCCCCAGAATCATGTGATGGTCTCAAACGCACCAGCGACGCTGCCATTCAGTGCGGCTACCAAAGACGCACTCGCGAATTGGCCGATTGGGCGCGCAGCAAAAAACGCCGTATGATACGACGCGAGGATCTGTTGGCCTATTTGGCCGGAAAGCCCCTACCGCCATCCAACTCAAATCCACATGCCAATCGTCGGTGAGTCGCCGTAGCCATTATTTCCGAACGAGACCAATTCAAATTGGTTCTATCTCTCTGTTTCTTACAGGTCACCGAAGCCAGAGCATCACCACCAGAGCGGCAGTGGTGGCTCTGGTTTGGGATTTCACAGCTCCGGACTGGGTTTGACCGGTGGTCCGCCCACAGCCGCCGGCGGTGGACACCTGCTGTCCTCCGGAGCAACCGGCGGCCGTCAAGAGGGAACGGGTGGTGCCCCCGTCGGCGGAATCGGCGATGATTTGCACACCTTTAAGGAGGCCTTGGTGCTGCGTCCACGGTTAGTTAAAGGGTTTGCCATGCATCCCAATACTTACTACTAAAAATTTACAAAATAATCCATTGCAAAATTATATGTAGTAAGACTTGGGGGTTGAATAAATATGCAAATTTTATTTTCGTCAAGATAAAATAACATTATTCAAAACATGAACCTAAATAGCTTTTAAATTTTGTGTATTTTATCAAGCATATACTAAGGAAATAAACCTTTTTAGCAATTTTATCAGGAAAAATGTACTGACCTTTTTTAGAAATGTCATTGAAAACTAGTTATAGTAATCTTACCAAAATTCAATTACTTACATGTATAGACAAGCCGCAGTATGATAGTTTTATAACATAAGAAAAATAAATCTCATTGGCAGAAAGTAAGCGAATTTAGACTATGTTTTTTTTAAGACTCTCAATTATAATTTCTGTAAATTTTAGTTTATGATTCATAGTTTCAAAATTTGGAGATGGCCTTGTCCATTAACAATTTAAATAAGATAAAATTAAAGATGAGAATGACCATCAGATCGGCAGAATAGTAATTTTATATTTATGGTGAATCTATGCTTGAAAGATTTTTAAAAACAGTTTTAAGTTTGTTTGAAGAACCTAGGTAGCGTCAAGTTGCCATTTAATCATTTATTAAGCATATAAACTTATGTATTTTGTCTATATTTCAGTGGTCCGGAACTATTTGCATTTGTTGCCAATGAAATAGCGCGCCATTGCAAGCGGCCCGGCAGTCCTATCGACGATAAAATGGACATTTGCCACTATAGCAGTAAACGCCAGCGCTTTATGTAATCCAATACCAATAGTAGTCCCAGCCCAAAGCTAAGCTCCCGGTCATCAAAACACTAACCCACTCAACTTTCGGGAATCAAAAAACAAAACAATACGCAGAAATTTAAAGAACGGCCGATTGGAAGTCGAAAGCTTGCGGGAACATAAAGTGTACATTTATGTTTAGATTTTCGGTTTGATATTTGCCTACCATTTATTATAGAAATATTTTTTTTTTTTTATAAAAAAACTCCCTTTTCCCCGATCCTTGCACCGACATACAGCAATTGTACGTAAAACATACAAAAATCACACATAAATAAAGTTAAGTTATGTTTTAGTTAATAGCGCATAAGTAAACAGTCATGCTGATAGTGATGGCAGCAGAAGATGTTTATGTTGATGAAGATAATGCCAATATAGGGCATTACTACACAAACTGTTGATCATTGTCATCATGCATTACAACAAATGGAGTTATGAGTTTAGGAGTACGATATCTGTTATATGCCAGCTGTGCGTCTGAATTAAGATTAAGCAAAGCAGTAATAGTGAAAGGTATTGTAAAATGAATAACCCTTTTTTTTTGGCGTTATGCAAACCACAAATGAAGCTGTGTAAATAACAAAACTAAGAGACACCACAAAAAAACCGAGACAAAAATATAATGTTACATATATATACTATTTATATATGCTACTAAATGCCGCCTCTCCCGCCTCATTCCTCCCAATTTCCCAATCCTAATACAGCTCAAGATGCTATTTGCATGTGGTGTCTTCCCCCCGAAGCAGAAAACAAAATTCCACCTAAAAAATCCAAACTACAACGATTAAATTATGCCCATAACTGAAGGAGTGAGGAGAAAGCGGATATATAAAACTATGATCTAACTATTGGTATTGATTGACTCGACTTCTGTTAAAGTAAATCCTCTAAAGATAATCTTCGGAAGAGATTAAAATGTTTCGGGAGAAGTCGAGTCTGTCAAAACCATAGTCAAATCGGTTCAAAAAGGTCGCTAAACCCAAACGAAAACCATGATAAACAATTTGAGGTGAATGTTACTTCAAGCTAGCCAGGTTATACCATATACACAACATCTATTTATACATGTAGCTATGTATATGAATAGCATATGATGACGTAATATTGATCCATGTAGTTCGGCAAAATAAATAATGAACAATCCAAAAGCAGCAAATTACTAAAGCAAAATATAAAAGAAGCAGCAGGAAGCTGCCTAAATTAGTTGTGTATCGGCGCGAAGTCAAGCGGCAGTCGAAAGTCGGAAATCGAAGTCCTATGAAAATAATGCGTTGTAATTATATGTACTAAAATCTAAAGAATTATTTAAAAAAAATCAATAAGAAAATCTAAAAAAAGAACATCATTAAAAAAAAACAACCTACAAGAAAACCGAAAACAAAATTGTAAGTTAAATAAAAACATATAAAAAAAAAAACAATGAAGAGTGTAGTTTTTATTAACGAAGGGAAGTCAATATATCTGTAATCATGAAAACTTGTAAATTTTTCAGAACCATCTTTCTTTTGATCATAAACTAAATACTTTTTACTCAAAGTTTTTGGTGTATTTTTCTACAGTTATAATTTTATGACTGATGGTAAAATATTTACAATTTCAGCCAAAATCATCTACAACCTGAGCGTAGTTTTCAAAGTCCAATCCATTTTTTCCAATGAAATAAATAGCCTCATCAATTTCACATTGAAATTCATTGCTATTTTTATTTCGTATTTCATTAATATTAATTACATTTTGTATATATCTTGTGTGTATATATATATATAATTTTATTTCCATGTAATTTATGTTTCGTTTTGTTGATTTTGTTGACTGCTCAAAGCTGGCGAATATGTTGTTTCGAAGGTTATCTCGAGTGAGCTACGGAAATAAAACGGTAGCCGCAAAGAAAAAAATACCTGTTTAGCAGCTCAGGGTTTCAACCGTTAATCTATGGAAACAGCGCGTTTCACATCTATAAGGCTGGTCTTTAATATGATGGGAATTGTGTGGGTTCTCCTTGTGGTTTTTAAGAAATGAAAACTGGCAACCAAATATGTTAAAACTTATAATTGAAGCCGTTCTATTTTTGTTAGAAAATGCAACAAAAACATTGAGAGTAGGCTTGAAAAGTATACGGTTGTAGCCGTTTTCTATATTTATCCCATTGAATATGATTGAAAATTACCCCCCAACAAACATAAATTTAAAATATTTACGAAACCCGCTGTTTCCATTCGTAAGTTGTGGGGTTTCTACATAGATATACAGTAGATAAAGCGATGAAGGTGTGTGCCAGATGCAGCTCTAATTATAAACATTTATGGAACAAATAGAACTGTTTTTTTTTTTGGTTTTGTAGATTTTTTGACTTTTTATCATCTTTCAACAGCAACAGATACAAGAGGCCGGAACACAGAGTTTTTGTGTAGTCGCAGGATATTGATTTGGGGTGGGAAATCGGTTTCTCAGGGCCAAAACAAGAATTCAGAGTTAGCAAGATTTCCTTCTTTACAATTATGTGGTTTATTAAATACATATGGATATTTCTTCATATTGTATATTATATATAATTCATTTGATTTACTTAATTGCTATGCATGTGTGTGTGCCACTTTTAAACAAAAAAAAAAATATATATTGCCTTGTTCCCAATTTTGCTTCTTTCAAATTTTCTGGAACCAAAATGAATCAAATTAGCTTTAAGCAAAAAGAAAATTTTCTTTACTATGTTGAAATTTGTAAATAGATACTTTTCGATAGTCAGCAGTGGCGATATTGGAGCTCCTTTTTTTTTACTATTAAAACATTTCAATTTGTAAATAAGGCGTACGTATAAACATAGTTCAACGGATACAATATATATATCTATTAAAATAAATAAATTTCGATTCCAAATAATTTGATTGAATTCAAAAACAGGAACAGGGTGATAGATCTGTATAATTTGTTGTATTCCATATAAGGTAGATGTGAAACAAGTTGATCGGGGAGAATTTGTAGTAAAGTTAACAATAAATTAGAATTGGTATGTAATGCGTCCTATCTCTCGTCTGCGGAATGTCCTTTCACGTGTGTGTATGTCGTGTGTAAGTACTCAAACTTTGAATATTTCACTTTAGTTTTTGCAGTGTTCGTGTTCGTGTATAACTTGATTTAAACTTAATTTGCTTTTTTTGTTGCATTATCTCGACGTTAACAAATTACATTTTAGTATAATTTCCATACAAATTATCGTTATTTTCATTTATACAATTAACAACCAGGCTAAATAGTTTGCTACAAATCCCCACCCACTGAGAACTCGGCCCACTTTCACCTTTCTCTTCCAATTAGAGCGAGATGCAAAGATAGAGAGAGAGAAAGAGGGCGAGTGGTGGGCGGGGAAACTAATACACAATTTCAATTTAATTAAAAAACTTTAACTTTAACGCGTGACGCCTTTGCTGAATGTTCTGTTCAATCTTTTGGTCGTATTCAAAACGAAAATAATTCGAATAACTTGCTTGCAAATGGTAAATAAAAAAAAACATCTGTAGAGTCTTAAAACATAAAGTTTTGGGGGTAGAAGCGCAGCAGCAGCAGGAACAGAAGGATGTCTATTTAGAACTGCACCCAGTTGGCGTTGGCCGAGTTCTGTTGTCCTTGGTTGCCACTGAAAAAAGCAGACATTTTTGTTTTTATTAAAATAATAATTTGAAAAAAGTTTCGTAACTAAATTTAAATTTATTTTAAATGACGATTATGCGATCTAGAGCTGCATAATTGGAACTTAAAAGAAATCGATTTTTTGGACTCTCCAAAACCCAATAGTATACCATTTATTTGGATGTTTGTTTATCTTTTAAACGATGACGGTGCAAGTTCCATTTTGAAATTATGAAAAGTCTGCATAAAGCAATAATGGGCCTTTGATACCCAGCTTAAACTCACCCGGCGGATGCGTAGTCGGTCCATTCGGATCCTCCAGCGGCGGGTCTGTGGGCGGGCGAAACGCCGGGACTTTGCCGTACCGTCGTGGCTGCGGCGGCGGCCGGTGGTGGAGCGATCTTGCCGAGGCCACCCGGCGGCGGTGGCAAAACGCCCGAGGAGCCCTTATTCTTGCCAGTGCGCGAGGGTCCCTCGGAGCCATCCTTTTTCTGAAACAAAGGTAAGGCTAAATTATTAATAAATTCAAAAATAAATAAACCACACATATATGTATGGACGATTGTAATCCTATAATATTAAGTTAGATTACAAGTCTGCCAAAGGTTGCGTTATCTAATCATAAAGCATTTTTTCTTTAAGCTTATGTTTTTCAACTGAAATGGTCTTAAATCAAAATAAACAGCATATACAAACGTTTGGTTCATCTTAAAAGCATAAACATAATTATCAAATTTCAGCAGTTGCAGAAGCTGATTCAACAAAAAGAGAGGAATGCACAACAGGCAAAATTAAAAAATTGGATTGCAAAGAGAAAGACGAGTCCGTTGATAAAAATTATGAAAAACAAACAGTGAATCTTGGTTGCCATCACATGGATAGAAGATAATAAATTTAAACATTTTGACAATGACATTGTGAATTATAAACTTTAGAACCTTTATAGAATTGATGTAATTAAGAAGACTACTTTTTCAAATTAAAACAAATGCAGTTTGAACGAAGATTTTAACCAGAACAAACTGATTTCTTAATTGGCCTTTAAATAACATTCGGTATTTTTCAAAAAGAGGCATTACGATTTGGTAAAATTATATTTTGTTCATTATTTAAATAGTTTGTTAACTAGTTAAATCTAGCTAGCTAAACTCACCGTTATCCTCATGTTAATCTTGATAGTCTCGCCCTCCTTAAATCCCAGATCCAGCTCCTGCTTGGGCTCCGTTTTCTCCTTTTCGATCTGCTCCTGGTTTTTCACCCATTTGAAGTGATCCTGCAGCGCCACATTAAGATCAAACGAGTCCGACCGATCCCCGAATCCCAGTCCGAGGAATGCCGATCGTCCATTATCGTCCTGTACCCGGATGACAAAGTACCGCGAGCTGTCCGATACCGCCTCGATGGCCACGCCGGGATATGTGTCGATGGGGCAGTTGGCAAACAGGGCGCCACTGGTCTTGTCCTCCAGCTTCAGGACGACGGCGGTGCCTTTGGCCACTAGTCGCATCCTTCCTGTCCATGTTGGCTCCTTCAGATTCCAGTCTGCCGCCCTGTGAATGTTGAAAAGTTATTGTGTGAACAATATAAATATCGGTGCCACAATTACAAATCTATGAAATGCGAATTTGTATGTAAATTGCATTTTCTTGGGGATATTTCTCCCCAAAGTTGACTTAGGGTATAATAATTTATGTCTGGTCAAAATTCCATTTCGAGCATTTAAAACATTTAAATCGGGACGCTGCGCTGTGATCCAATAGTAATTAATTAATTTTTAAGGAAATTTTTGATCCTAAAAATAGCTATACATTGATGTAGAAATACCGACTATTACGACGAATATGTTATACTAAATAATATATGCCATTAATTATAATTAAAACAACCGGTAGAATGTGGTTCTCGTAGATTATTTCACCAGACTGCGGTTTGACTGGGTATTGATGGAATTACTTTATAATACCCTCAATATTCGGAATATTTCCTTAATTTATGTTATTTGCTCACCTGAGCGCAGTTAACTGTGAAATAAACAGCAACAAAAGGAAAACAAAGAGAGCAGCAATAGCAACAATTACACACACGCCAACAGAGCTTTTTTAATATTTTTTTTTGGATACGTGTAAGTGAAAATGTTCAACAACAATAATTGCACGGAAAAGAAAATCAATTGAAATTGAACTTCAGAGGCACAACAACAACAAGTCGGGGTGCCTTTAACCTTGGCTAAAACACATAATTAATGCACTCTCACGCCCCCGAAACAGACACGATATATGCATAAATATATATGTACGCACACGAGTGCAATGTGGGGGCGTTGAAATGCACGAAAATCTTTCAATTTTTGGACCAAAAGAAAGGGGCGAAAAAAGTAGTCACCTTTTTTCATTCTGATTTGTGGACTTACCTATAGCCTCGATTGCTCGCGCGCGGCGGTATTTTGTAGATGAACACCTCCGGCTTTACGATTAGCACACTTTCGTATTCCATCTTTATCGAAATTCAACTATTTTTGATTTTGTTTATTATCTGAATTTTGCCAAGTGTTTTTTTTTAAGCTTTTTTAACCAGTGTGACCGCTGCGCGACAGCTCGCGTATACCGCGTTGACCCACAAAAATATACTAAAATTGACTTGGCCAAAACGGGCTAAACGAATATTCCTTTTTCAAAAATGTATATAGTTCTCTTGTTAAAAAATGTATTTCATATGTTTCCACTCAATAAACAAGAATCATACAAACATAAAATAATTATAAAAACAATTTTAAACAGTTGTACTAAAAAAAAAATAGTAAACCAATTCTAACGAATTCAATATACAAATTTTTATTTCCGTCCTTTTTTATCATTGCAATACATTATTAAAACTGTAAATAAGGAGATTTTAACAATAAAGGTTAAATTTTTATATATGAAATATGGACAATCAATTTTTTTATGACTTCAGTATATTTCTATGGGGAAATTTGAATGGAGCAGCCACGGTCATAGTGGCACAAATTGCGATGAACAACAGAGTCAGAATTGTTGTGGTTGGGGATTCGGGTAAATAACAGTCATTAACGCGCTCCCGGACCACTAATCCTTCCGAGCACAACCTCTGTAGGTGTGGGCAAGACCTGCCTGACGCACCTGATCGCCCACAACGAGTCGCTGATCAGACCTGGCTGGACTGTGGGCTGCAACATCCAGGTGAAGATTCACGAGTTCAAGGAGGGAACCGCCCGCCAGTGCCCCTATTTCGTGGAACTCTTCGATATCGGCGGATCGCTGAGCCACAAAAACACGCGCGGCGTATTCTATACGGGCGTGCATGGCATTATCCTGGTGCACGATCTCACCAATGGCAAGTCGCAGGAGCAGCTGCTCGACTGGCTCTACGAGATTGTCAACAAAGAGGGAAAGGATACGTACAAGTCGCGGGGCAACTCCCTGCCCCCATCCCCCACCCCGCTGAGCAGCTTCTCCTCGAACACCTCGGCAACGGACGTCCACGTCCGCTTCGACATGGAGGAGTTTCTGGGCGCCACCCAAACGCCCATCCTGGTTATGGGCACCAAGCTGGACCTCATCGACGAGAAGCGCCAGCCCAAGACGGCGGTAAAAAAGGCCGGCGGAATAGGTGCGTTTTTCCATAATATATTGTATCAGTTGACCTAGTATAACTAAACCTTCTGATTTTTTATAGCCGATAAATGTGGCGCCGAAGAGATATGGCTTAATTGCCGGGACACCCGTAGTCTGGCCGCTGGAACCACCGATGCCGTGAAACTCTCACGCTTCTTCGACTGCGTGATTGAGAAACGCGAATCGCTGGGGGGCAGTGGCAGCCACGCATTTGGAATAGGCGGCTTCAACGCCGGCAGTCCGCCGGACAGGCGACGTTACGGTCCGACTAGCGGCAAAATGGAACCCAGTGCCGTTCCTCTTTTGGAGACCACCGATCTTAAGTGATGAATGCATTCAATGTTAGATATAAGTTATGTTGTATATATCGGGCGAGAATCATTACAACTTGAATTCTGTTTAATCTTTCATGCTTTAAAAATATTTAATTGGACTGACACGCAGATCCAATTAGGTTTTGATCAAAGCAAACTTCACTGTTTAAAACAAATTAAAATATTTTTTAACAGTTTTAAAGATTTTTATTATGTATATTAGGAGTTCACCGTTTTCGTTTCGTTAAAAAAAGTCAAACATAAACTCACAACGATAGTTTATTTTAGCTTATCTAGGTATATTTATCCAGTCTTGAGGATATTACGATACCAGTCAGGAAGGATTTGGTGCTCCGGACCGCGTAACACCTCGTAGTAGGCACGCCGTTCCCGAAAATTCACCTGGACCACGGCAAACGGATCGTCAATGGCCACCAGAAGCTCTTTCAGCTTGCGCAGGAACTGCTCCAGGAACCAGGCCATGGCCGATGGATTCCACGGCTTGTTGCGGGCCAGCGCACGGACATCGAACTCCTCTATCTTCTGCACCATGCCATTGGCGTCACGTAGTCCCGCCAAGATCCTTTTAATGCCCACCAGGAACGATTGACTCCACCAATTGGCCGACTTGTAGTTATCAAAACTGCGTAGTTGGTTCCGGTTCATATTGTAGGCGGTGGTCTTCAGCTCAATGAATTCCAGCGAGTCCAGCACGGCGGGATCTTTAAAATCACTAAAGGCAGAAAAATTAATGATATAGATAGAACTGATAATAATATATGTATATACTGATATACTGATATTAAGATTGAGTTCTAAATTTAACTGATGACTTTTAAGTAATAACTAGGCTTTATCCTTGGGTATGATTAATGCCATTGGATAATAATAGAACATTTGAATCTGTAACCGACTGATCCCTCCAATACTCACACTGGCTCCTGGCTGACAACGCAGTCCATTTCGGCGCCGTACAGAAGCTTCATTCCGGCCAGCTGACCGCGGAACATGCCCATGAACTCTTCGGCCTCGTTGACCGGCACATTGGTCACCGGTTTGCCATGCGGCTGGGCGCTTGTGATGCACTGCTCGAACTTAAAGCCCCAGGAGCACATGTTCAGCTGGGCCTCCGTCATGTTCTCGTTCTCCAGCCGCTGCTCTTCTGTGTCCTCCTTGGCTATGTATATGCTGCCGTTCAGGAGCGTCGCCTTGAGGCGGAAGCCGCACTTCCACTCGTACTGCATGCACATGATCTGCCGGAGAATCCCGCGCAATGTGACAAAGTCCGTCTGGAGGCCCATCCTGCCCGGATCGGACACCAGGGGGCGGAGCAGCTGCTTCTTGTGCTGCTGGATGTAGAGCAGAACGAACTCCAGGTCCTTTTTCTGGTGATCCGTGGGCTTGCGGATCACGTCCTCAATGCCCGCATTCAGGTCGATCGGCAGGCGTGGCCAGGGTGGGTCAACCAAGTAGCTGGCGCCGCTGGCGTCGTCCACATAATCCCGGCGAGCGTCAATGCTGCAGACGCCAATGCATTCTGGCCGGCTTATCGCCGGAAATGGCCGATCGTATCGAGCTCCGTGCCTATGCTGCTGCCAGGGCAGATTGATTAAGCCCGTGTTGTGGGCCATTTAATTCGGGATCACAAAAACCTGTCTGAGAAAGCCTGAAAAAGGGACTTTTAAAGAACTCCTTACTTCAAAATTAAAAATGCAGTATGAACGCAACGCGTTCGTTTAAACTTGCCATGGGACTTCCAAAGAATGCTTAATTTAATGTGTTGTTTTAAAATATACTGAACAAGTTTAGTGAAGTTGAAATGCTGTAACGCCTATCTTTAAATATCAGTACGCCTAAATTCCCTTTACAGCTTAAAACAATTTTTAAATCATATTTAAACATTATTTTACAAATATATATTTTTTAGTGGTCGACATTTTTTTAAATAATTGTATTTTTGAAAATTTGTTTTTATATCCTTATCGTATAAAAATAATGGCTTAAAATACAAACCTAGTGGTTATATATTGATTAAAAAAACGACTATTTTTCTTTTATTTCATAAAATTAATTAATAATTTAAGTCCCGTTATTTTAACTTTATTTGAGAGTCCGAAATATATCTAGTATTTTTCGAGCGACGGCCACACTAGTGCACACAAATCCAAATGCAGTTTGTTTAATATATTACTTATTTTTGCATTTATTTGAAATTAAGAAACGTGACTAGCCAATGAAGCATCTCCTGGAGGATCCCTTGGTCCTGTCCGACCTACAGGTGGTGCCGGAGAAGTCTGATTTTGCGGAGGATCAACATAGGATTGCCGAGAATCCTGCAGAGAACTCCCCGCTTGTTGAAGAATTGCCAGATTCTGGGGAGGATTTGCAACCGGAAAAGGATACCTTATGCCAGTTAGCCTGCAGCCTGCACAAGCTGTCCAAGGATGATCACATAGTAATCGATCGGTGGGTTACAACTACATTAATCGGTTGGCTTAACTCCTTTACCCTGTCGTCCTGTGTAGCAAGCGCAATCAGGTGATTCGCACAGATGCGGTGACCCAGCAGTTGACCATTTATCGCTGCCTGGATCCCGTGGGCATGGGCATGCGTCAGCCGATACCGAAAGATGTCAAAAATCCTCCGCCCAAAGTGGGAAGACCACTGAAAAGGGTCAGTTCAGCAGTTGCTACAGCGCCTTTGGCCAAAAAACCGACTCCAGTGGAGGAAAAACCTGCTCCCGACACCCTTCGCACTCGTTCCGGTCGCCAGGTTCGTGGCTCCATGGCACAGCCCGCTCCCGTGATCAATGGCCATGCTGCGGAGCCCAGTTCCGGTCAGATGCTGGAGATGCTGGTGGCGGACTTGCGGGATAAGGACTACCGGGCACCCATGCCAGCGCCGAAAGGTAATACCAGCAGCGAGGAGGTTGCCACAACGCCCACACCACGAGCCGTGCCCAAGAATGCCGTTTGTCCGGGATGTGGGAAGATCTTCTTGGGCCGTCGATTGCAACGGCACTTTGTCAAATTCCCGGAGCACATGCCACGAGCTGGCGAGCAGCCATCTGCAGCACCACCAGCAGCTTCTCCCTCTGCGCCTACGCTCTTTGGACTCCTGACGGCCCAGCTGCAACGCCATTCGCACCTCAGCGAGGAGCAGCGCTCCGATCTCTTCCTAAACGAACTTAACGACTTTGTGGAGCAGCTGCAGCTGCGCAGCCAGCGGCTCATACGGAATACCTCAGGATTGCATTTTGTGAATGCTCGGATTGCACGTGTTTTGGGAATACCCGAGGGTCAGTATGCCCTGGATATGTCCGCCATGGAGTCGCCGCAGGCTCCCACGCCAGAGCCTGAGGGTGCAGCTCTGGTTGCCGGCAGCGGCGGAGGAGCCCGAAATCTTGTGGTCTACGCCGAGTTGAGTATGTCGCTGGACGATCCGCTTACGGACGAGGCTGCACAACGTCTGAATCTGTCGGCGGGTGGGCAACTTCATCCGCCGTCGGAGGAGAGCCTGCTTAGGAATGTCAGTGATCTCATGCAGCCGCCTGTGGCAGCTGCTCCTCCGACCGTTAATCATGGCTACGATCACGCCAGCGACAATGCCGTGGAGGCCCTAAGCATGAAGGAAACGCCCAATACGGAGGCCATTCTCAACGTGGACTTTTTCCAGTTTAATCAGAATTAGTCAGAAAAATATATATTTTCAAGTTATCATATGTAGAATTGAAAGAATTTTAAAGACTTTGAATTTTGTACGAAACATTCGATTAATTTTGTATTTTTTAGGACAAATCCTAATATTTTAGAACACAATATCAATTGAAGCACAAACAAAAAGAAAGAATGTTAAGATTTCTAAATCTTATGGAGAAAAATATGAAGTTTTTTGAAATGTTACGCTTTGTTATTTTGTTTATTTTGAAAAAAGAAAACAATGTCATAACAAAATAATATAAGAATGAAAATCATGAAAAGTTAATATATTTTATTTTTGTATTCCTACTCTGAATGAAGTTTTTAAAGATGATGTAAATATATTTATAAGAGATAAAAACGCATAGTTTTGAAATATTTTTGTAATATTCTATTTACGTCAACATTTGAGAACATATTTTTAAGAAAATATTTACAATATTTGTACAATGAAAATATTATTATGAATTATTTTTATTTGCACGCACTATTAATGAAAATCCAATTAGAATACCAGTGTAAATGGATGAGTGGCAAAAAATGCCCCGACCGATTGAAATTATTTATGAAGTGCCTAACTTGGCTCACGACAGATGCCCATTAAATAAACTTTGCCACCCTGAGTTTCGAAATGGATGCGTTATTATTTGGCAGAACATTTGTTGGTAATAAAAAAACTTGGCCAATTTAGTTTAATGCATACAAATATTGCCGTGTTTTGTGAATTTAGATGGCCTTTCATATTTGTGATTAATAGACAGCAATTTGTAGGCTAATAAATCACTTATATTTACAATAATTTTAGCCAAATTGTAAATTCCGCGAATATGTTAAATGGGTTTCTACTTTTCTGAGCAATAACAAATTTTTTTTATAAATAAAATCTTTTGGATAAAATTGTACATATTTTTAAATTTATAGAACTTCTTGCCAGTTCCAATTTGAAGTGAGGACCGTGCGTGTATCCTTGTTTACTTACAGGTGTAAAGCTTATGCATGCTGCCATGTAATCGTTTTTTCTGGGCAACTGCATTAATTTCGACATTTGCAGATTGCTGAGGGGGGCCAAAATCAATTTGGTAGTTATCACTGCAAATGGACGACCTTGTTTGCTTTCGGTCAACATGATTAAAGTTGATGACCGCAATGGAATAGCAAGTGCGAGTGCAGTTAGTAGTGACCTATAAATACTGCCGATCCGCAGCAGTCAGGATACAGTGCATCATGAGGAAGTTGACGGACAGCAAGCGGCGCCACAGTGGCTCCTCGATGTGGAAAAAGGATTCCGAATCGGACGATGACGAGAACACCATTTGTAGCTGTGCGGCCATCAAAAGAAGTGTGGTTTACTACCTGAAAAATAGCACGCTCCATGGATTGAAGTACCTTGCGGAGGAGAGCATCACCATTCCAGAGAGGTTAGTTTACTTTTTTTTAAATAAATGTTCATATCCATATGTAGTTTATCATATTCTTTTAATTTAATGCATTTCCCAATCTGATATCAATTTTTAATATTCGAATTTGAAGATATATATATTGTACTAAATATATATAAAATACTATACGATCTTACAGGTTCCGTACTTTAATACAGTTTTGTATTGCAACATAGAGATATCAATATTTTTAAACTCCCAAAAAAAATTACAAATATTTCCAATGACTTTTTCAGGGTCTTTTTCGGCATTTCCTTTGTGCTGGTGGTGATCCTGTCCGTGTTTTTCATATCCAACGTTTACGTGAAGTGGAGCGCCTCGCCCATAATAATTTCGACCAGTGCCAAGCAAAAGTTGACCAGTAACATGCCCTTCCCGGCGATCACGATCTGTAATCTCAACCAGGCGCTGCTCAGTCAAGTGAATCGCATCGGCCGCACCAGCACCAATTTCTCCCTGCTGATGGGTCTGTGCGACCAGGGCGGGGATACCACCATCTCCTACATCGGCACCTGGAAGTACTTCAAGGCGATCCTGGTGGAGGTGGCCCAGCCGTGCGAGAAGATGCTGCTCTATTGCAGTTTCGGTTCGCGGGAGGAGGAGTGCTCCCTGCTCTTCAACTCCATTCTAACGGATGACGGTCTGTGCTGTAATTTCAATGCCCTCGATCCCTCGTACCTCATCCGGAACTATAGCGACGATGTGAGGTGGGAGCCGGCTCAGCCGAATTCCCGCTATGAGCCCATCGACTGGACGCCGGAGAAGGGTTACGCCCGCAAGTTACCCGAGTTCTACTATCCGCGCACCTCGGGCGGCACGGGAATCCGGATGGGGCTCACCGTGGCGCTAAACGCCTCCATAGCGGAGTACTACTGCACCAAGTCCATGAGTGTGGGCTTTAAGGTGGGCTTGGTAATCCATAAATACTTATTTATAATTAATTACTTACCATATTGAAGGTCCTCGTTCACAATCCCGCCGAACTGCCGAAGGTGAGCAATTATGGTTTCGTTGTGACCGCCGGACGAGAGGCCAGGATACCGCTTGAGCCTGTCTACGAGGACGCCCTGCCCTCCATACGATCCATCAAGAAATCGGTGCGACGCTGCCTCTTCTCGGATGAGAATGACCTGACCTACTACCGGACGTACTCCCGCAAGAACTGCGAGCTGGAGTGCGAGGCCAAGCTGCTGCTCCGCGAGTGCAGCTGTGTGCTGTACTACCTGCCCCGGATGGATCCCATGGCCAGGGTGTGTGGACCCAACGACAATCAGTGCACGGATCGGGTTCAGACGGAGATCGAGTCCTCGCTGACGAACCTATCCTGCGAAAGCTGCTGGCCGGGCTGTTTCGAGCTCACCTACAAGGCCACCCTGTCCACGGCATCGATCGTCTCGGATCCGCGGTTCCAGGCCGGGGAGAATCTGCCCGACTACATCTTCCACGGACCGTATAGCAATGCCAGCGAGATCTCCATTCTGCACTTCTACTACATGACCAATATATTCCGCAGCACTACCAAGTCCGAGATGTTTGGCTTTACCGAATTTCTGTGTGAGTTGTTGTTAAGGGTAAATTAATGCATGATATGAATATTATAATGAAACACATCAAGATCTTATTGGAATTCAAGTGCTTTGAATCATACTGCAAACGAAAAAAATTTACGTATGAGTGATAAACTTTGACCTTGCAATTCGTATACAAGTGCACAAAAAAGAGAGCTAAAACGTTAAATCCTATAAACAAATTTAAAGATTACAGATACAAAACATGTTTGGACACCTATATTTTACATACTTATGAACATACTTCCTAATAAAATGTGTAGTATTTAAATAGCCTGCAATGCAGATGAATTATTAAATTTTGTTCGGATTATAAGGCTTAAATTTAAATAATATAGATTGTTTTTTTATTTTTTCATTATATTATTCATATCAGTCGTTGCATATATTTCTAATTAATTAGAAAATATATGTTACTATTGAAACACTAACATATATTTTTTATTTTAGCTAATACTGGCGGCCTTTTGGGTCTCTTCATGGGCTTCAGCATATTTTCCGTGATCGAAGTCTTTTTCTATATCACAGTCCGTCCCTACTGCGCCTCCCGGACTCTCCGGCAGCGCCACAAGCGTCGCCTGGAGCAGCTTCGTTGGCTGACTCCGGTCCGGTTGCCCGGCCGTAGGATTCTCCGGCGCAATCGTGGGGGTCTTCCCCGGAACCCGCCGCCGCCCGCCTACAGCGATCTGCAGAAAAGCCGCGGAAAAGTGGGAAAACCGGACCCAAACAAGAGGAGTCTCTGGCAGACGCTGCATGTTCGCACAGTGGACCGGGTGGATGTGGAACCACCCGTCTATCCCTACCTGGATTAAGTTTATGCGGAGTGGTATGCACAATGGAAAATCTATGCAATGTTTTCACGACATTATAAACAAAATCTATTTGTTTTGCAGTGCATAAATGTGTCTCTACTTAAAAACTTTTGAAGTTTTCCTAAATTTTAAGTTATAATGGTCATTAAAAAATTAAAACACAGTCAATTTGCTTGCGTACACAAATATTTGTAAGCTTTTACATGTAGAAATGAAGAAAAATAATATAAACACAATTTATAATATGTAAGCACTCCTTTAATTAAAAACAATTTTAAGGACGCTTGAACAAGATGTAATGATATCAGAATCCAAACACAAATTACTCAAAAATAAGAACAATATAAAATTTTATGATAAATCTAATTTTTCTGAATCGAATAAATATCCTAATCGAAAATAGGCTTTCTCTCCGTGTTTCTTATGTTTCCGTTGTTCTTATTTATTATACCCGTTACTCGTAGAGTAAAAGGGTATATTGTATTCGTGCAAAAGTATGTAACAGGTAGAAGGAAGCGTTTCCGACCCTATAAAGTATATATATTCTTGTTCAGGATCACTAGCCGAGTCGATCTAGCCATGTCCGTCTGTCCGTCTGTCTGTCCGTCTGTCTGTCTGTCCGTCCGTCTGTCTGTCTGTCCGTATGAACGCTGAGATCTCGGAAACTATAAAAGCTAGAAGATTGGCATTTTGCATGTAGATTTTAGGAGTTCCTACGCAGCGCAAGTTTGTTTCAAAATGGTTCCACGCCCCCTCTGACGCCCACAAGCCACAAGCTGTGGCCACAATTTTGATGCTATTATGAAAATTTTAATTGATATGTATTTGTTTCGTCAATACCTATCGATTGGCCTAATAAAAGTTGGCCACGCCCACTCTAAAGCCCAAAAACCCATTAAACGCTTAAGCCTGGCTAGCGCCTACATTTCGGCTTTCATGGCCCGTATGATGCATGATATGAATATTATAATGAAACACATCAAGATCTTATTGGAATTCAAGTGCTTTGAATCATACTGCAAACGAAAAAAATTTACGTATGAGTGATAAACTTTGACCTTGCAATTCGTATACAAGTGCACAAAAAAGAGAGCTAAAACGTTAAATCCTATAAACAAATTTAAAGATTACAGATACAAAACATGTTTGGACACCTATATTTTACATACTTATGAACATACTTCCTAATAAAATGTGTAGTATTTAAATAGCCTGCAATGCAGATGAATTATTAAATTTTGTTCGGATTATAAGGCTTAAATTTAAATAATATAGATTGTTTTTTTATTTTTTCATTATATTATTCATATCAGTCGTTGCATATATTTCTAATTAATTAGAAAATATATGTTACTATTGAAACACTAACATATATTTTTTATTTTAGCTAATACTGGCGGCCTTTTGGGTCTCTTCATGGGCTTCAGCATATTTTCCGTGATCGAAGTCTTTTTCTATATCACAGTCCGTCCCTACTGCGCCTCCCGGACTCTCCGGCAGCGCCACAAGCGTCGCCTGGAGCAGCTTCGTTGGCTGACTCCGGTCCGGTTGCCCGGCCGTAGGATTCTCCGGCGCAATCGTGGGGGTCTTCCCCGGAACCCGCCGCCGCCCGCCTACAGCGATCTGCAGAAAAGCCGCGGAAAAGTGGGAAAACCGGACCCAAACAAGAGGAGTCTCTGGCAGACGCTGCATGTTCGCACAGTGGACCGGGTGGATGTGGAACCACCCGTCTATCCCTACCTGGATTAAGTTTATGCGGAGTGGTATGCACAATGGAAAATCTATGCAATGTTTTCACGACATTATAAACAAAATCTATTTGTTTTGCAGTGCATAAATGTGTCTCTACTTAAAAACTTTTGAAGTTTTCCTAAATTTTAAGTTATAATGGTCATTAAAAAATTAAAACACAGTCAATTTGCTTGCGTACACAAATATTTGTAAGCTTTTACATGTAGAAATGAAGAAAAATAATATAAACACAATTTATAATATGTAAGCACTCCTTTAATTAAAAACAATTTTAAGGACGCTTGAACAAGATGTAATGATATCAGAATCCAAACACAAATTACTCAAAAATAAGAACAATATAAAATTTTATGATAAATCTAATTTTTCTGAATCGAATAAATATCCTAATCGAAAATAGGCTTTCTCTCCGTGTTTCTTATGTTTCCGTTGTTCTTATTTATTATACCCGTTACTCGTAGAGTAAAAGGGTATATTGTATTCGTGCAAAAGTATGTAACAGGTAGAAGGAAGCGTTTCCGACCCTATAAAGTATATATATTCTTGTTCAGGATCACTAGCCGAGTCGATCTAGCCATGTCCGTCTGTCCGTCTGTCTGTCCGTCTGTCTGTCTGTCCGTCCGTCTGTCTGTCTGTCCGTATGAACGCTGAGATCTCGGAAACTATAAAAGCTAGAAGATTGGCATTTTGCATGTAGATTTTAGGAGTTCCTACGCAGCGCAAGTTTGTTTCAAAATGGTTCCACGCCCCCTCTGACGCCCACAAGCCACAAGCTGTGGCCACAATTTTGATGCTATTATGAAAATTTTAATTGATATGTATTTGTTTCGTCAATACCTATCGATTGGCCTAATAAAAGTTGGCCACGCCCACTCTAAAGCCCAAAAACCCATTAAACGCTTAAGCCTGGCTAGCGCCTACATTTCGGCTTTCATGGCCCGTAGCGCCATCTAACGGATGACTTTGGAGCAGCTGGCCAAGGTGCTAATTCGAGCGGAGAAAAACATACAAGAAGGCATATTTATATTAAGTTGTTTAGCTGAGTAACGGGTATCTAATAGTCGAGGCACTCGACTATAGCGTTTTCTCTTGTTTTTCTGCTTGCATAGTCCAATGTTTATGGCCCAGAAAACAGTACAACAATAAATAGACCCGTGGCAAAGCCAACAATAAAGGCCAACGAACGCCGAATCCAAAGGTGACGTGACCTCAGCGAACACTGTAAAAAAAATATGTATATTTTCACAGAAGTAACAAATAACCTAGGTTAAAACCCAAAGTTCACAAGCAATTATTTGCGCATTACAAGAGAAGGAATCGAAATTTATATAGATATATTATTTGCCCGTTTTTTGCACTGTGTAGAACAGGAAAAAGGGGCGGAAACACGGACTGCGCCCACTGCGATTGCGGATATCGGATAATGGCGCTAATCGCCACGCGACTCCAATTTTAATTGATACCTTTCTCAGTTTCTCCGGTTTCCCTAACCAACAATGAAAAGTCACTTGGCTATGGAAATAATATTGGATAAATGGAATATTTAAGAATCTATTTCGATCGAAATATAGAACATCTTAAAAATGGTAAAAAACATTTATCTGAAATATCAATAATTTTCACTCCTTGTAATGTTTCTTTTCATAATTTTCAGGGCATCAACAGTTCGTTTTATCCATGGACTTGCCCTCGTTTGGCGTATTGTGTGCGCCAATTGAAACTTAATTAAGAGACAATTTTGGTATTGGACAAATTCCGTTCCGGTTTTTATTTGGCCAACGAAAATCGAACATGAAACGAGCAAGAATTTCGCGAAGCTGATGTCACTTCTTGGGTTTTCTAGATTTTAACGAGCTGCTTTGGGGGAGGGACTAAGTGACACCACTCGAATCGGGGATTCCGTGGGATCCACCCATCAATGTCAAGTGGACGAGTGTGTCTGTTCTTGACTTCACATCTCACATCGCTCTAAGTACATAAGTGCCTCATTTTCCTACTCACCCTATTTTTTTTGTACAATTTTATTTTAGGTACTCCCCTTATGTTTCTATCCGCGCGGTTTATTTTCTTTTTTTGTGGCAAGTCCCGCCACCCCGAAGATCTTTTTTACACGGCCAGATGGAATATCTCACATAGCGCTTGTATTTCTAATTCTTTTTCGATTTTCACTTTTTTCTTTTCCGATGGGGATTGTAAACAAACAAGTGGCGGGTTGTTTATAGGTTTAGTCAAAGAAGTGCAGGAAAAAAGGGATGGGTATTTTACTAGATGAGTGTTAAACCTTAGATTTTAAAACACAACTAGTTTTCATTATTTCGCCTTATTTTATATTTACAAAAATAAAAAGGGCATTTATTCATTTCTTAAACATGGTTTTTGCTGCAAAGACTTGGCTTTAATAATTGGTAAGCAAGTCCGCGTAGTCACCCCTTAAACTTAATTGAAAATAAATCAAACTACGCTCTTTGTTGGCCAGCCCATAAACTCTACTTTTCGCCATTATATTTCGTATTTATCCATCTATCGTTCCGCATAATCTATGCATGTCTTGGACTATATATCCATCTGGGAACATTTCACTTCTGCCTCCAGTTTTATGGCCATATATTTTATCCGCCCGTGATTCATGCGATTCATGCCACCACAGACATTCCCGCAAACTACCAACATGTGTCCGCCAGTGCGGATGAATCAGGAGAACTATCTTCCGGACTGGATATAAGATCGTGGATTACTACGTATTTTTTATTGGAATTATTTTACATAATATCCTTGGCTATTTTCAGACAATTCGATTTGGGGCAAAACTTTCTTTAATTCTCGAATCTTCCTTTGAACATAATTGATAAATGGCTTGCCACATTGCTCATACGCCACATAGGTCTGTTGTTGCTTTTTCGCTTTTTGATGTTTTGAGTCGTTTTAATATGGTAAAATAAAACAATGACATGCATTGCTCACCTACACAGAATGCTGAAAACAACGCCAGCAACGGCAGTCATTTCCTTTTGGTTATTTATCTTGTTTGGACAGTGTAGTTCAAAATTATAAAACAAGTACAAGAATATTTCAAATACTAAGAAGTATAACAGACATTGATTGTTTCTTACTAAAAGCTCATTTAAAACCATTGGTTTTCAAAAGATACTCGTAACTGCTGTGATGTATTTAAAGAATTTATATAAAATTCTTGAACTGGTTGTCGACATTTTTAAGCAAGCCCTGAAGAATTCTTTTAGATTTCCGAGTTTCGTAAGCCTTATACACTCGTCGCGCACTGTCCGTGGATGCATGAATGTTTATGCTAACGCAACAACAATTATAGGAACGGCAGCAACAATTGGCCGGCCCACGTGGGTGGATTTGGATTCGGATTTGTATATGGCTGCGGCGATAGCTATGAGGTGGCATGGAATGGTAAAGTTGATGGGAAATGGGGCCGGGCTCTGCCTCTGCCGGCGTCGCTGCCGCAGCATCTCCGGACGGCATCTCCGGCGGAAAGTGAGAATTCAGTCGGAAATTGAACGTCGCGAACGCCGCCGCCATCAAAATTGTCGCTGTCAAAGACGCGACAAACACAAACTACAATTTGCAACCTGCAACCAGCAACCTGCAACCTTCCATCTGCAACATTAAAATCACAATCCCATTCGAAATCCAACTGAAACACCTATTAAAACCCATCAAAGGAATTCCAACCGTGCCATATTTCGCATTCATTATATTTTTTTCTGAAATTTTTTACTGTGCGTGCATTGGCATAAACGATTTGAATCGACTGTGCCAGCTGGCGGCATCAAAAGCTGGAGGAGGTGCTAATCCCATAAAGAGCACAATAAAATCGGCGAAAGTTGCGAAATGCATTCCACGGCATGCGGCGTTGGTGCCTCGGCCACAAACCTCTCAACACTGCAATCGTAAGTTCACCTGGGGTCAACTTTAATCTTGAAAAGTGTTGCAATATCTAAGTTTTTTGAGGGATGCATCATTTTTTTCAAAATATAAATAAGTGAAAATTATTAATGAATTACAAAAGGCGGATCAAAAAAATTAAATATAAACAGATTACATTTAAATCCTTTAATTATTCTACAATATATATATATTTTCGAAAGTTCATCAAAATTTTAAAATGAAATTCGCTGAAGTATTTAACAAAATAATTTAAGTTCAATGAATACATTTTTTATTGTTTTGCTTCCATCTCCAAAATGGATAAAAAATTCTCTTAAATGTACAAAATACAAAGTTTGATTTACTTAAACTAGATTTGCATTTCCTAATGCATACCAAATTTTTTTTTTTATTGCAAACCAAATTTCACTAAAGACTTTAAAAAAAGGTAAAAGCCTATTTTCTTACAAAAAAAAACCTCTGTTCTGAAAATTATAAAGTTAAAGAAATAAACTAATTATTATTTGGTATTCTATAACCACTGTTTAGGTAATCTTTATTAGTTTATAAAACTATTTCAAGGTTCTTTTTAAAATTGTAGTCTTGTATTAATATAAATTCAGTGAAAGAAGTTCCAAAAAGGTAGTACATTATGTTGTAAACAAACTTGTGGATATTTTGGTATGTTTTCGAAGATAACCCAAAAAAATGTTTACATATCTTCAAGACGTTCAAGGGAATTCAAGGTAATCAAAGATCAAATCGTTTTTGTTTACATTTACATGCCAGCCAAATATGCGCATTGTGCCCATCCTTTTTTTTGTGTGTACAAGTGTTTCGTTTGGATATTTTTGTTGCCGTTAGTTCTTACTTTAAGTTTCGTGCATCTCAGTGGACCGCAAAACAATCCATCAAAAAAAGGAAATGCGGGGCGTGGAAAAACCAACAAGTACAATTTTTCTGTTGTGTTTTTTTGTTGTTGGGGGGTTGTGGGGGATGGGAAGAGGGGGCAGAAAATCGGTGGAAAAATGGGGGAGGCGGGGTCACACGCTGGGCCGTAAAGTAGCTCGCAAGAAGCGCAATGTAAACAATTACTCACCCCGCTCATTTCCCACTTTTCCTTTTTTTTTGATTTTCTATGCTTTTCCTGCCCATCGATGTGTGTCAGACGAACTGAAAATAGTTTTTCAGGATTATTGGGGGCGGGGGTCGTGGTATGCCACATGAAAGCGCAACAGAATGTGGAACACTTCAGAAAACAAAACCCGAAAAAGAAAACAAAAACATGGAGTACCAGAAGAGAAGAACATTTCCACGATCATTTAATGAGCCTGTCAAGTGCCCACATCTCCCCTTTCTTTTCGATGGTATAAGGAGATTATTGGCAAGGCAAGTTTCGATCAAGTTGTTGCCCAATTCCCAAGTGACAAGTTCAAATATTGGCTCGGCAAAAATACTTCGATCAAGTTGTTGACCAATTCAACAATGACAAGTTCAGATATGCACTCGGAAAAAATTCGCGTTCACAGAAAAACGTTTTGATATTTATGACAAACAGTTTGTTTTCAAGTCGTCGGAAACTTAGAAATATGTAACTAACATGAAAATGGGTCAAAAAATTGACTAAAGCTAAAATGCAAATTTTGAATGCAGATGTTTAGAGAATCAAACCACATATCTTAGGAGGCATGTCACTTTGAAATCGGATTGAATTTGGTAAAGTTATAAGCTCTAGACATCCAATTGTGGGTCACCCTTTTGCAAGTTGTCGGAAACTTAGAAATAACTAACAAGAAAATGGGTCAAAAATTTGACTAACGCTAAAATGAAAATTTTGAATGCAGATGTTTAGAGAATCAAACCACAAATCTTAGGAGGCATGTCACTTTGAAATCGGATTAAATTTGGTAAAGTTATAAGCCCTAGACCTCCAATTGTGGGTCACCCTTTTGCAAGTTGTCGGAAACTTAGAAATAACTAACATGAAAATGTGTCAAAAATTTGACTAACGCTAAAATGAAAATTTTGAATGCAGATTTTTAGAGAATCAAACCACAAGTCTTAGGAGGTATGTCACTTTGAAATCGGATTAAATTTGGTAAAGTTATGAGCTCTAGAAGTCCAATTGTGGGTCACCGTTTTGCAAGTTGTCGGAAACTTAGAAATAACTAACATGAAAATGGGTCAAAAATTTGACTAACGCTAAAATGAAAATTTTGAATGCAGATTTTTAGAGAATCAAACCACAAGTCTTAGGAGGTATGTCACTTTGAAATCGGATTAAATTTGGTAAAGTTATGAGCTCTAGAAGTCCAATTGTGGGTCACCCTTTTGCAAGTTGTCGGAAACTTAGAAATAACTGACATGAAAATGGGTCAAAAATTTGACTAACGCTAAAATGAAAATTTTGAATGCAGATTTTTAGAGAATCAAACCACAAGTCTTAGGAGGTATGTCACTTTGAAATCGGATTAAATTTGGTAAAGTTATGAGCTCTAGAAGTCCAATTGTGGGTCACCGTTTTGCAAGTTGTCGGAAACTTAGAAATAACTAACATGAAAATGGGTCAAAAAATTGACTAAAGCTAAAATGAAAATTTTGAATGCAGATGTTTAGAGAATCAAACCACATATCTTAGGAGGCATGTCACTTTGAAATCGGATTGAATTTGGTAAAGTTATAAGCTCTAGACCTCCAATTGTGGGTCACCCTTTTGCAAGTCGTCGGAAACTTAGAAATAACTAACATGAAAATGGGTCAAAAATTTGACTAACGCTAAAATGAAAATGTTGAATGCAGATGTTTAGATAATCAAACCACAAGTCTTAGGAGGTATGTCACTTTGAAATCGGATTAAATTTGGTAAAGTTATGAGCTCTAGAAGTCCAATTGTGGGTCACCCTTTTGCAAGTCGTCGGAAACTTAGAAATAACTAACATGAAAATGGGTCAAAAATTTGACTAACGCTAAAATGAAAATTTTGAATGCCGATGTTTAGAGAATCAAACCACAAGTCTTAGGAGGTATGTCACTTAGAAATCGGATTAAATTTGGTAAAGTTATGAGCTCTAGAAGTCCAATTGTGGGTCACCCTTTTGCAAGTCGTCGGAAACTTAGAAATAACTAACATGAAAATGGGTCAAAAATTTGACTAACGCTAAAATAAAATTTTGAATGCAGATGCTTAGAGAATCAAACCACAAGTCTTAGGAGGTATGTCACTTTGAAATCGGATTAAATATGGTAAAGTTATGAGCTCTAGATGTCCAATTGTGGGTCACCCTTTTGCAAGTTATCGGAAACTTAGAAATAACTGACATGAAAATGGGTCAAAAATTTGACTAACGATAAAATGAAAATTTTGAATGCAGATGTTTAGAGAATCAAACCACAAGTCTTAGGAGGTATGTCACTTAGAAATCGGATTAAATTTGGTAAAGTTATGAGCTCTAGATGTCCAATTGTGGGTCACCCTTTTGCAAGTCGTCGGAAACTTAGAAATAACTAACATGAAAATGGGTCAAAAATTTGACTAACGCTAAAATAAAAATTTTGAATGCAGATGTTTAGAGAATCAAACCACAAGTCTTAGGAGGTATGTCACTTTGAAATCGGATTAAATATGGTAAAGTTATGAGCTCTAGAAGTCCAATTGTGGGTCACCCTTTTGCAAGTTGTCGGAAACTTAGAAATAACTGACATGAAAATGGGTCAAAAATTTGACTAACGCTAAAATGAAAATTTTGAATGCAGATTTTTAGAGAATCAAACCACAAGTCTTAGGAGGTATGTCACTTAGAAATCGGATTAAATTTGGTAAAGTTATGAGCTCTAGAAGTCCAATTGTGGGTCACCCTTTTGCAAGTCGTCGGAAACTTAGAAATAACTAACATGAAAATGGGTCAAAAATTTGACTAACGCTAAAATAAAATTTTGAATGCAGATGCTTAGAGAATCAAACCACAAGTCTTAGGAGGTATGTCACTTTGAAATCGGATTAAATATGGTAAAGTTATGAGCTCTAGAAGTCCAATTGTGGGTCACCCTTTTGCAAGTCGTCGGAAACTTAGAAATAACTGACATGAAAATGGGTCAAAAATTTGTCTAACGCTAAAATAAAAATTTTGAATGCAGATGTTTAGAGAATCAAACCACAAGTCTTAGAAGGTATGTCACTTTGAAATCGGATTAAATTTGGTAAAGTTATGAGCTCTAGAAGTCCAATTGTGGGTCACCCTTTATAAGTATAACTTCATTTTCTTCATTTTTCTATATTTCTTAGAAAATGGAATGGCAATTTTTTGAAAATCTTGGATTTTATTAACATAATATTCAATTTGTTTCTAATTAACATTAAATGAACTAAATCATTAAGTTTTATTTGTACAAGCAATTTTAGTAAAAATAAAATTGATAAAATAATCCAATATACAATACAAGTTATTCATTGAAACTCAACTTTTCTGAACATTTTAAACATAGTTTTTAGAGTGTAAGCCGTGAAAATGCGCAAAATATAAATCCCGATTTCCACGCCCCCTTGTTAAGTGCGAGTGAGAGGGTAGATCATGCCAAGGGCAGCTGGTTAAACTAATTTATGACGTCATTGCGTCGGCGTCGCCAACAAACCAACGCACCAAAAATAACAAATTTAAATTGCAAGTGATGGATGTATATTTTTCACATGCATTCGCACCTAAAAAAAGCTACGAGGCAAAAAGCCATTTATTTAATTTGGGTTGGGCTTGTGACCATTGATGGGCAGCTTTGCTGGGGATCGTAGTTGCAGAGATGATATGTGCATATATGAGGAAACTCCCGCATTCCATTCGGCGATATTTTTAGACAAACGGGGGTTGTCTATCTTATTTTGAATAATATACAAAAGACAAGTAAATAATGAAGAAATAAAATATTCAAGTTGGGTGTATTTTGTTATTAAAATAAACACTCAATGTTTACAATTTTTTCTTTTAATTTAAATTTGTGTATATTCTGACATTCCACATACTTTATTAATATT